AACTAACTCTCTCAACTTTGTGTTCTTGCAGTACATCTCAACTAAACCAGAGATGTTCTTCACTTTGTCCAGCCTCGCCATAGAGAAGAGTATTGGCTTTGATCGATCACTCAATGTACCACTGCAAAACACAACTCACACCAAAATCCAGCTTTTACATCCAAAACAAACTGAAAATGAAAGTGAAATTTTGCAAAACCGAACCGAAAATGATTTGGTTTTCGCTTATGGATCCTCAAAACCAAATAGACCCAATTAAACCAAAATTAATAACAGAATGCCAAATAACTTACACATGCTCATCAGTCTGCTCAGGGCTATATAAAATTTCCTCTATTGAACCATGTAAAGCTGTAAGTCTCTTGGTTTCTTCGGAAAACGGGAAATAGATGGTCATGTCTGCGCCCGGCGAGACTATGTTGAACTTCGGATCAAACACATCAATGCCGTGTACTACTCTGTAAAGTCCAGGCAGCGTAAAAGCTCCGTGGCTTTCATATTGACCGACCGTGTTCTTTCTGATAAAGAAATATTAGTATTGCCGATGGTGAATACAAAACACTTCACAATATATTAAGTCACTTACGTTCCTGCGATTTCTTGGTAAGTGCTAGTGATGATAAAATCTGCATTGTTCATTGCAATTAGATCAGCTGTGAATTGACATGAGAAATGATACTTGTTGTCGAAATCTTTCCAGTAAATGTCTGAATCTGGATACTTGGTTTTCTCCAGAGCATGTGCAATAGTACACTGTTTATACAAGAAAAAAAAAAAATCAAAATCAAAATCTGAGATGTTCCATAGACCAAAAAAGAAAAAACATAACATGAAAAACTTGAAACTCTTACTTGTGTAACACCCATTCTATGTGCCATTAACGATGCAACAAGGTTTCCGTCACTATAGTTACCGATGATAAAATCGGGAACACCTTGCAATTCACCTACAATCTCGCTTGCTGCATCCTGTTTTTGCAAAAAAAATAAAATCTGTTACCTTCTATCTCTTACATAAGAAGTAAATAAAATTCAAGAAAGCTAAGATTTTTCAAACCTGAGCATAATTCTCTAGATAAGGCCATACGTCGAATCTTGAAATCCACTTACGAAGGATGCCTTTATCGGACCTAAAAGGAACCCGGAGAATATGAGTATGCTCTGTTCCACTGACTCTCTCCAACCGCTGGTTACATGTAGTTCCTTTAGCATCCGGTATCAACCTCGTTACCTTGAAAACAAGGAGGAAAAAATGTAGTCCACATACACATTTTAAAATCTTGAGATTGATCATCTATAAGGCTATAATATAAAAACTAAGCTTACAATAAGAATCCTAGGAGTTATATCCAACCCCTGTCTCTTTATTCTCAACAGCATTTCTGTCTCGAGGGCTCGAACTTGGTCTAGAATATAGACAACCTGAAACATCGAAGAATCTTGAACGCTAATCAAAATCCGAAAACAGATTCAACTGAAGGGTTTAGGGGGAGTACTTGTCCACCGGTGTCAGGTAAGCCTAAGACATTGGCTTGCCCAAAGTATCCATGTGGAGATAAGATCACAACGTTGAAAACCATTGGCACCATCCCGAGAAACTTCTCCAAGGACGAAGGGTCGGGTGCTTGTAGAATATCAGAGAGAAGATACATCATTTCGAGTACTCGCCTTGCGGTATCTCCCCATCCTTTCTCAAAACCCATCCCCTGTAGCGAATATTCGAATTCCGGGAACGGAGTTTCTTGTGGAAGCTTAGAGATATGTTCTTCTGCTTTATTGAGTTGGCTTTGAAGCCTAGATATGCTTTGAATCCGATCATTCAACATCAATGGCTGCAGACACAAATAAAGTTCGCACTATTACACCAAATCCGACCTTGATTATGAACCAAATAAAACTATCGTATGAAGAAGACTTACATGACCCTTATACTTATGAACTCTAAGGAAATCAAGCAGAGGCTCCAAGCAATCTTTGTTACGGAACATTACAGAAGACAAGTGACGGTTCAGAAACTGAACTCCATTACCAATGGAAGACGAACGAGAAGGACGGGGCACGTTGGCATTGAAGGGCTCAAAATCAAGCTCAAGAGGGAAAGGGTTACTATTAGGTCCATCAACGAGTTCTTCTTTGAAACAAAGATACTCAGAGACTGTTAATTGTTCGACACTTAACTCGAAGACATTAACACGAACATATTCCCAAACACCAGGTCTTGGTCTGACGGCTAAGGCAACAAAAGGTGGCACAACTATAGCTTCCTACAACAAAATTAGCAACCATCATTCTGAAACTAAAATTAGTTTCTTGATGAAGAATCCATGGACTTTTTGAATTGACCTAGAAATAGAAAAAGAGAAGTTTTTTTTTACCATTGCTGATTTAAGGATTTCGCCAAAAGGACCATCAGAGAGACTCTGCTTCGTTGCATCGTCTCCAATTACACATTCGAGTTCGTCGATTAAGTTATGCGGCTGAAGAATCCCTTTTCCCTGATCCACATACCTCCACAAAACACACGATAAACAAATTTAAAACCAAAAGTAGACATTTTCCAGGAAAAAAACGAACTTTCCGGGAGAAAAGAAACAGGGGAATCAGCTAAGGATCTTAACGAGGAACCTGGAGAGAAGAGAGACGAGTTCATTGCGATGAGCGGAGAGAGTATCTTGCACGCGATCCCTTGTGCTTAGAACCCTAGTGAGCTTAGGGGTTGCCATGGATATTCAGATGATTACCAAAACCTCAGAATCCAAAAGAATCGAGTAAAGTTTTGTTTTTTGTTTTTTCCTTTTTGAATAATCGGATCGAATCACCAAAGATAGCTATTGATTCATTGATAAAAAGGATAAAAGGCAGAAAGATTTTGGAAATTTAGGCGACAAAGAGAGAGAGAGGAAGACGTGTTAGATCTTCTCTGTTTCTTGATACTGTATTGTTTATGCTGCAAGTGACGTGTTTGTGTTAAAGCAGAGTACACATGTGACTGTCTTATAGTAGAGTGTATGTATATTTATATGTTAGCAGCACTTACAGTTTAAGGGGAATAGTAAAGCAGTGGAAGCTCCGGCGTGGTGTGAGTGTTGCTCTGCTTTGAAAGCGGTTTTATCGAGAAACTTCAAAGGAACAAGACAACTGGTGCTCTGTTTTCTCGCCACGTTGATTTCTTTTGGAGAATTTAATATACATCATTGAATTAACCGTTCAAATATATTTTTAAATTATTTTGTAGAAAAATAATGATCTCAGAATTAGGGCTGAGGAGTGTGAAAACAGGCTATTCTGGCCCAAGTCCGTATATATTTTTCAAGCTTGGTCCGATTAGTCTTATTGGTCAGATTTGTGTGGTTTAGTGAAGAGATAAGATAGGTCTGAAATGATTTCCTAACATATTGTGCTAGCTTCAGTATAATTTCTAAAGAAACGAGATGTGTCTGTTGCGGGCGGCAAGGGTGCTGCTCCGACCATACTTTCTCACCCTAAGTATTGGGATAGACCAACACACACACACATACACTAGTTATACGATCATAAGTTTAAACGGCAAACCCGTCCCACAAGGCACAAGATATCTTTCCTTTAGGGTACGTATTTCAAAAGCTTAGCTTCTGGATGGCTTCAAGTCACGGGAATATAAGAGCTGTCGATCATAAAGTTGTTCACCATTCATACTGTTTGATACCGTTTAAATCCTATCGTTACAATCTGGTTATAACTTACAAAGAGGGGTCGATCCACTTTAGTTACACAACACTAGACACAGTAACCAAAGTAGCACATTGGTTTGGAATGCACCCACCAAACTCTATAATGGGATGCTTAACAATACTGAACCAATATATTTTACATCATTCAACATCTAAAAGATTTTCATATATCTTTTGCTCCTCCAATGATAATACTTCGTTAGAGGTTCTTACAAACAAATATTTTTGAGAGAAAAAGAATTTCAAAAAACAACAACAACAAAAAAATGGAAGGATTTATGAGAAGCAACACACCCCTTTCCTTTTAATATCCCATACCTCTCGTGGATCCTCCTGTGTTGGATCACACATGGTGAAAACCTCTTTTTGTTGGAATGCAGCATTATTCATCGAAGTTCAATTTGGCATCAGCAGCTACCAACTAATCGAGAGTTTTTCTCAAATGAGAAAGAGAGAGAGACAATTTTTTTTTTTTTACTAAACAGTGACCAACCAATAAGCCTTGCAAATCTTATTTTGCAAATCTTAGGTCATCATTATCCATGAGCTCTTAAGCCACTCTTAGCCTAAGATTTGTTAAGATTGGCCTCTTAAATGGCTTAAAAGCCCATGGTTAATGTTGCTCTTACCCCCTAAAATACTAGTAATGATGATGCCCTTATGAACCTCCCTTCTCTTTGATCTCCCCTTTGGAGATGCTCTTATAAGTTATAACCCTTTATAGAAGCTGAAAAACCGAGGAAAGAAAACAGCAAAAATCAGGTTAAACTCATGAAACTCTACCGCAATAGATGTTTGTAAAATGATACCCTTGTTTTCTTTTATAGAGATATAATAAAACCCTTGACCATTCATGTGTTTTAGCCTAGGGTCTGGCCTGCATGTAAGTCATAATTTATTTAGACTTTTATTCAAAAAATTTAGAGTCATCCACAACTTTTGAAACGGAAAGCAGTAGCATCTAATATCACATTTCCGGATATTTTTTTGTCCATCCGTAAACGTTAGAACCGTCCGTCTTCAGAATTGGTAATCCACACACAATAATGCGACTCACGTCGGGACGTAACACTATTGTATGCCGTGCATACACGTTCTTATTACAAGTTTTTTTTTTTTGGTTTTAATGTTTTATTATTACAAGTTGCTCGTTTTCTAGCTTATTAATACGAATAGATTAATGTACACTAAACCAATAAATTAATTAGAAAACTAACCCTCTTTGTCAACGCAATTAACCTATAAAACCCATGGAATCAGTTTTCGAAAGATTTCACTTGCTTAAGCAACATATAAGCAAATCGAGCAAAAAAGAGAGAGAGAGGAGAAAATGGCTTTCTCACGTATCTCATTTGCAGCTTCTCTTGTAGTCTTCTCATCTCTAATCATATCCTCAGTTGCTTATTACGGCAATGAAGCCGACCCAGAGACCGGAAAATTGATTCCCATCGCCGTTGAAGGGGTCATCATGTGCAGGTCCGGTGACAAAACTTACCCAATCCAAGGTTCGTAAACAATAGAGTAAAGAAAGGTCGTATATTTACTATATATAACTAAAGATTATATATAATGGTTTTCGTTAATGTCTTTTTTTGTATTAAGTAACACAAGTTTTGTTTCTTTCTCGTTATTAAAATTAATTAAGTTATGGCATTGTTTGTTTTACGACAGGTGCAACGGCGAGAATTGCATGTGTGAAGACTGACGCATATGGGAAAGAGATAGTTCCAATATCGATATTGAGCAGCAAAACTGATGCTAAAGGTTACTTCTTCGCTTCGATATTCCCTTCACAGCTTCGTGCAGGAAGGACCGTGACCAAATGCAAAGCTTACCTTCACAAATCTCCGATCGCTGACTGCGATTTCCCGACCGATGTGAACAAAGGTGTCAGAGGACAGTCGTTGAGCAAGTTCCGTGTTCTTGCAGACAAGAGCTTCAAGCTTTACTGGGCTGGTCCTTTCTTCTTCACCTCTGAACCTACTTACTACTAATTATGATCGTTTGATCATGAACGTAACGTGAAATAATTTGACGTGTTCTTGAGATGGGAGAATCTTTTCGTTTTGTTTGATTCGTCGTCGTAAAACGTTTGTCTGAAAATGAGCTAATTGTTTGTTTTCTTTGTTTTTTTTTTAATTTCATGTCGTATGACTTTTTTCATGTACTAATCTTATGTTTTATAAGTGAATTCGTTTTAATCATCTAATTGCTTATTTTGACTTTGCCTAATTGTGATCAAAATTGTGTTAACATTTCATGGGTATATAAATATGGTATTGTTGAGAAGTCAATAATTAACCTTTCATTCTAGGATTGGAAACAACCTTAGGATTAACATTTAGTAGACTAATACCATGCCAAGATCTATAGCGAAGCATAAAATGATTAGTATTCCTACAATTGAACACCCAAAAATGAAACACATGAGAACTATCTATATTTTGGGTTTTGTTCAATATGATCGTTTCAACTTAGAAGAAAACAAAAACTACGTACAAATTAGTAATACACCGTTTTGGGAAATGCATCCGTTTTCTTCTTCTTCTTCTATGTGCAAGTATAGGTTTTACAGGAGTATCTACATATTACATTGTATGTTCATCCCACTCTTTTGGTCTTTATATACAATGACCTTGATTTATTGAACATAACACATCTAAAAGAATTTGACTCTCTTTTTCTTGTTTTTTTTTTCTTTTCCCAAAAACAAAATGATATATTTTCAAGAATATTATAAGAGCTCTCTACCTCTACATGGAGCAACCAGACTCTCTTCTTCAGTTTGCTTATTTTTCCAGTGAACATGACAAAACTTCACGGCCAAGAACCTGAGTCCTTTAGCTTTAACACTCAAGAACTTGAGCATTATCTGTTGATTTTGGCCAGCTACAACCACTCGACCATCCCAACACACCCAAGATTAGATCCACCTTAGCGCAAACACTAACCTGGGAGTTACATATCCGCAGAGACACGGGTTAGTGCTTAGTGGCAAAAGATTCAAAAAAGAACAAAAAGCGAGTTTAGAACATTAGGACACTTACCAAACTTTCAATGTTTGCTTCTATTTGAAGCAACATTACTGCTAATCCTCTTCCTCTGTCAATCTCGGCCTGCAATAAACCATAAGATTTGTGAGATGAGTCGCTGAAAACTATAAACTGTTCAGAATTAAGTCAATATAAAGGCACGCACCACACAAGAACATACTGCGATGCCTTCAGCTGCAAGGACTGTTGTAACTTCTGCAATTATGCCTGTCAAAATGTAACAAACAGTTCTGATTTTACTTTCGAGTTGTTGGAATTATCAATCACGACTACTAGAAATCAAGGATAACATACCTTTGCGATCCATGGATACTACACATAACCATTCGATGGAGTGACCTTCGAGATGATGCCATGAGGCAATTTTACTGTCTCGCCAACTGTCTAAGCCGGGCAACACTTCTTTATAAGCAGGAATGTTAGCAGGCAAAATCTTGGCAATTCCATCTCCTGGTAGGAGGAACTCTGGCTCATCTAAACTCGACTTTTTAACTGTTTTGTTGTGTTTTCCGTTCACCTTTGGGACCCAAATGTTTCCATTTTGAGAAGCGGGTGTTGTATCTCTGACTTTTTCTTGTAATGTATCTCTGCTTTTGTCTTGTGACTGGAATTGCTTGACATTAACGAGGATTTTCTCCCACCATTGTAGGCTCTTTCTTGAAACTTCTGTGAGATCTTCCATATCACTATCAGAGTCTGCCACAAAGTCATTGACTTGATCTTGGGTAATTTCGGCAGCACATTGTGCAGCTTGCTCCCTTAGGAACTGGAACAAGAGGAGAGACATGAAGAATTGTAATAGTGAGCCAATATGCATAAAGTAAGCGAACCAATAATATACCCTCATAATCTTGTGTCTCGCACTCCTTGTTTTGGCATGTTGCAACCACTGTTTATGTCTTTGGAAAGCAGATTTGCTTGAGAGGGCCTGTAATGTGCCAATAAGAAAAAAAAAGGAGAGCTCGTAAATCCTAGGTACTAGAGCTGATGAAGCCAATCATTATTTCCGTACGTAGGACAAAAAGAGAAGGAGAAATGAAAAAAAAAAGCATGAGAACAAAGGTACAAACGTTGTACGTGACAATCTCCACGACCTCAGCATTCTCAAGAACGTGCGTTGGAGAAACAAGATTACCATTGACCTGTAATTTAAGCCATTAAGTATCCTTAAAAGTTTGGTCCAGTTGTTGTCTGTATTTCAAAGATATCATGGAATGGTCAACAGGAATGGGAAATATACCTTAGCTGCTACCATCTTGTTTCCGATTTCCGTGTGAATCAGATAAGCATAGTCAACAACGGTGGCCCCTTTCGGGAGGTTCTTTATCTGGAAATAAAATACCAAAGCATTTAAGCAGAAACGTAAGAGAAATTGATGATGTTTATGAGGCTTTGAGGTGTGGTTTTTCTTACCTCTCCTTTAGGCGTGAATACAAACACACGGCTACCTAAAAGATCCCTTGTAATGGTATCTACAAATTCTCTAGAGCTCATGTTACCCACAAACTCCTCTTGCCATTCCCTTATTGCATTGAGCCACCCAACCTGGAATAGTAAACTTTCATAACTAACATCATACTGGGCAGGCAAAAAAGAAAATATCACAGCACGTCTCTCTGCATTTTTATTTCTGAGTATGGTCAGTAAATACCCTGAGTGCAAAATCTGCATTGTTGAGGCAACCCGTCTTCCCCCTTGAATTTCTACCTATAGGAATTGCATTTCGAACTAATCCAGCAGAAAGAGCCTTGCCATTATAGTAAACAGCAATGCCCCTTTCAGCAATCAAATCCATCTCCTCAGTTCTGATCTGTAGATAAAATGAAGTTTTTAATACCCAATTAAATCAGTCTGAATTTCCCCAAGCTTCACTCTTTGAAAGACAAAAACCAAATCTAACTGTTGTACCCATCATTAGGATTTTTCTAATAACTGTGATGAAATAATATCATCTCAAATACCTGAACCTCCAGTCGAAACATACTCTCGTACAAGAACGGAATCACAGTAGTATGGAGGCTCTGGTAGCCATTAGGCTTTGGGGTTGCAATGTAATCTTTTACCTGTAATAAAAAGGTCGACATGCTCAGACATAATGTAGTGAAAATATATCCTGAAAGTACAGAAGATCAGATACTTACAGTTCGGGGAATAGGTTTCCAGATTTCATGGACTAGCCCAAGAACGTGATAACATATCTGCATTGACGACAGAACAACAAATCTAAGTGACAACTAGAACAAATCGGAACAAAAGATACACACTTCCTTTTCACTGGGGTTTCACCTGTTGTGGACTGCACAAAGGCCCGACCCCCACAGAGGGTTTTGGCTTTACAACAATCCGTAACTGCTAAAATAAACATTATAAGCGAAGCCGCGTGTTAACAATCATATTAAGCTCACAGATGGAAGTTCTGGATTCAAAACCTTTGGTACAACTTGGAGAAGGGAGTACAACACAAACCTGAGCAATCTGGTTATAGTCATTAATGGATCCTTTCGATTTAAGGGCAGCTTTATATATGCTGCAGATAAAAATAAGAGAGTTCAGGTGCTGAAGAAAAGGATAGGTTACATAGTAAAATGAAGAACTCGTTTATGAAATTACCTGTAAGTTTCCTTGCAAACAGATCGAACATCAGTATTCACAGTCACAAGGTCCAGAAACTGATCATCTTCAATCTTTTTCACCAAAATTCTGTTTGCCTAAGATACATAGTAGGACTCTGTGAATGCAGATGAACTAAATAAACGCCCAGATGAATTCACAGTTCAAAAGGTCAGAGAGCATGCAGGTTGATAATCAACATCCTTCTCTAACCTCCTTTTCTTTTTAACCAATATTTTGGCAGTATATCTCAGACACGATAGTGAGTTGAAATTACCTCAGTGAGTTCTTTTTCATGCTCTTTGTAGAGGTTAGCAATCCTGCTTGTGACTCTATCATAATCCTCAGCACTTACGTACATGAAAGATAGGTTTTCCAATTCAGACTGCAAAATAACCACCACAAAACTCAAAATGCCATAGGACATAATAACTGAGATAATTAGGTTTCATATACACACTAACATATTAACTGATGTGACCGGAAAATATGGACACCTTGTGGCATGATTAAACGTAAAGGGTTTATACCTTTATGGAATACATTCCAAGCAATTTCGCTAGAGGAGCAAAGACCTGCAAAGTCTCCCCTGCAATGCTGGACTGGACGAAACTCACAAATTCATTAGTTATCCCAAATGAAACATAGAGCTGGAGCTAGATCGGTAACAAATCTCAACTACTTGAAGGAATCACCTGCTTATGAGGAGGCATGTGGCAGAGGGTTCGCATATTATGCAACCGGTCAGCTAGCTTGACGATAATGACGCGGACCTGGAATGAAGCAGTTAGGCCTGCTGATGAATAATAAAACCACACCAACTGAAACAGAATCTTAATTGATTGAAACCTCGTCTGTCATTGCCAGAAACATCTGCCGCAAATCATCTGCTTTAACATCTTGTATTGATTCACTATCCGTTTTACACTTTAACTTTCCCAGTTTTGACACCTAAAAAGGGAAAAATCTTCTATTATTAATGAACTTCATGGCAAAGGAAGCATGGAGTTTCTTTTTTTTGTTCTCTACAAACAGTTAAGAGGACAGGAAAAATATTGCAGCAAACACACATAGGCAGACCTTGGTCTCCCCTTCTACAATGTGACGCACAGTTGCACCAAACTCTTCTTCTATCTTTTCAAAAGTAATGAAATTTGTATCCTCAACTGTGTCATGGAGTAATCCAGCAACAATAGACTCCCAATCCAATTCCTATACAAGTACAAAAGTAACTTATTAAGCTTCCCATCTAATCTTCATGTGAATCCATATTCACAATGACGTATCATGCAACTCACAAGTTCCCCAAGGATACGAGCAACTGCAACTGGATGTATAATGAATGGTTCCCCACTACGTCTCTTTTGACCATGATGTGCCTCAAACGCTAACTGCACAAACCTTTCTTACTGAATTCAGAAATGAATACCAGAAAACTGAAATACACTTCAATAATAACATGTCGAAGGGAAATCATATATGAATGTAGCTGAAAGAAGCCTTTCTTTCAAATATAAAGCAACTTAAATCATCATACCTTAAGGCCCTTTTGAACAAATTCTAATTCTTTACAGGGTAAGTAAGATATTGATGGGAAAAGGTCCTGCAGATATAACCATCAATTAAAATGATTGAGAGTATCATTCTAGTAGAGTGCAAATGATAAAAGAAGAGGCCAGTGTAGCGTACCTCCCACAATGTTTCGACAGTAACAACATCGGATGCACCAGAAGATTCAGCTGATGCGCAATACAGTTCCCATCTTTTGTGACTTCCACAAGATAATCTGGACTTCAAGATATTTCTCACATTTACAAAGTAAGGAGCCTCAAAAACGCCTACTTCACATTCATACCTCTGCCAGGCGCACTGCATTATCCAAAAGAATTACCATAAGGAACGTCATAATAAATAGCAAATACTGCCACCATGGCAACATGAACAAGGTGATCATGCACAAATTCAGTAGAACAAACAGTTCTGGAGCTTGAGGTATACATTGAAATAAAACCTTAAACACCCTACTGTAGAAACAGAAGCAATAAAGAATACTAAACTTACAGATTTCATTCGGCTCGTTCTTCCATTTCTGCCACATGAATACAAAGAACAAACAGGTGGATGAGCAGTGGTAGCTAGAAACCCAGTTAAGGCTCTTGGAGCTTTCCAAGCACAGGAGAGAGCATTGCAATCACTTCTTGCGTTCCCGTCTCCTTTGGTTAGATTACATATGTTCACACATTCCACAGACACTGGCATTGTACATACATAATCAATCAGTAAACCCAAAACAGAACCAGCCAAAAAGGATAAAAGTAGATTCATGAAGTCAAGGCCAACTAAAAAATATTAGGTTCCTTAACTAGTAATAGAAAACTGTGGTCCTCAACAAGAAAGAGTTGGATATGTTTTAGTTGGGACATGAACTTACTCAAAGAAGCACTAGTCTATAACCTAATCAACTCAACATTCAAGCTTTCCTACGCTTACTCACCGACCCAACAAACACGAGAAACCAAAAAAAAATTAGAAATGATCAGCCAGGTGGATTATTTCTCCGTCGCCCACATACACAAAACAAGGAAAACAACTAAACCAGCTTTCAAATTCAATGGGAAGCTAACGAACTCTCGGAATCTTAAGCAGAAAACGAAGCAATTGGATAAGCTAAGAAAATCACAGTCCTATGGGGAAAGAATCGCTGGCCTAATAAACTCTGCCTTGGAACATATAAAAGGCGATGGAACAAAATCAAAGAGAAGAAAACGCACCGGACATGGAAGAAGCAGAAGTCATTGCTAATGAGGCAAAGCAATCTCACTAAATCGATCCACCATTTGATTGATTCGAACAAGGATTTCAAAATCTACAGATTCCGAAACCAAATTCTCCAACTCTTTCGAAGAAGAGGCGAGTTTGAAATTAGGATAGCGAAGAAATTTGAAAAGATAGAATAGAGAGAGAGAGAAGGAGAGGAGAGAGAGAGAGACGCGCACACAGTGATGTGAAGAGGAAGAAGAAGAAGAAGAAAGAGAGAGAGATATCAAGTCTCAGGTAGCCCCTCCCTGGCCACACAATTGCCGTCCGATATACAAAGCGAGAAAATTAAAAAACTTGAAAGATATTTTTTTCTCCTGTGGTGGTCAAAGATTAAATATATATTCTCCCAATCTCCCTATATATTGTACTTTTTAATTAATAAATGACATATTATAGTTTCGTATTATGAATTATTGTATTAAATGACATCTTTAATTAAGATGTTTTATTTAGTTATTTAAGAGATGCTAGTAAATTTTAGATTATAAAAAAATTGAGATATAAGAATTGTTCATTTTTAACAAACAAATAATATTTATTAACATTATGTTTTTTTAATGAGAAAATGTAAAAATAATAAAATATAATTGAATGAAATTACTGAATGAGTTAATTCTAATTTTAGTTATTTGTAAACGTATTTATAAATCATCATGTACTTTAGTGATATTATTAGTTATTAGATTATTCATCTAATTATCAAATTAGTATAAGTTTTTACTTTCTATCACAATTATACATAAACTCTGTCCACAAATTTTGAAATAATAATTTTTATAATGATTAAATTTTACAAGTAATTTGGTGCACTGGTTGGTGAATTTAAAAAGTTTATGGAGATGTAGATTTATGATGGCAAAAATGGTGAATCCATCATATCATGACTTATAATCAAGAATAAAATAATCAAATTTAATAATATATTAGCGAGTAAGGTTTTCAAATTGAAAACATCATGGAAATTCAATTTTTAATATGTTTAGTTGTATATTCGATGTTTTCATGATGTATCAACTCTTACATCCTATTTCAAGTAACAAATGGTATCATCCCTATATTAGTAAAAGAAAAGTACAAGTAGGAAATGGGTCGGGTCAATTTAGCAAAAATACCCAAAATTTGCTAATTGGATACTTATAATTTGGATCAAATTTCGGATATAGATATCTATACTATTAATTGGGAAGGACAACTTGAAGCCAAACACCCCCTAATTTTAAAAAAACATTTCATGAAAATAAAACCAGTTGCCAAACAGAATTAATGACAGCAAAAAAAAAGAACAACACCAAAACCAAAAACAAAAACAATCTATATTTATGGAAATCATAATAATCTTTTACCATAAAAAGTGGACAATTAAATTCAAAACTAAATATATGTAAACAAATATATTTTGAATATACATAAACATATTTATTATTAATTTAATATGTTAATATAATTTCGAAATTAATAATTTATATAGAATGAAATCTAATAAAACAAAATCATCATATCTAAAATAACAAAGATAACTTTTTTTAGAAAATTAAAAAAAGATAAAAAAAATATGTTAGCATATGAAATAATCAACTAATCAAATTCTACATAGTATATATACATAACTGATCATATCATAAAATTTTAAAAAATTATATAATTTTTAAATATAATTTTTAAATATAAATAAAATTTAACTAAATCAATAATTAAATATTTGTTTGCTAAAATCATGCGAATAAACATTCTAGATCACATAAATTTCTTATTTTCACATAAAAAATATTCATATTCAAATATCAATCTAGCAATTATAGCACAAATGATATCTACAAAATTTATCATTAATTCAATTAGTTAATGATTTTTATTTGGTCAAACCGTTAGTTAATGATTATTCTAAACTTCTTTTTTCTTATTAATTTCACACAATCTTAACAGAATAAACCTTCGTCCATTGGCAATTTGCATATCATTACTATTATCAAATATTAAATAATTGTTTTATCAAATCATAAACTACATTTTGAGATTATAAACATATAGAATTTCTATTAAGATTAAAACTAAATAACAAGTGGATATATCACATTTAAATGATTTTAACGACTTATTACCAATTTTTAAATAATAAATGGATTATATTTTTAATGATTTAATCTAATTGAAAACAAATAAAATGTCAAATTGGTATGATATAAATGATATAATAAATAAACATCTACAAACATTATCTCACATATACGTAAAATTTTAAACTATCCTTGACAAATATGATATATAAGTTTTGGATAACCGGTTGAAATAAAAAAATTGGTAGTTATATTTAATTCTTAAAATCTCAAAATATTGAACAAAACTCAACTTTGGGACGTATAAATCTCTACTTTTGGACAATTATATGAAATTTTACATATATTAAAATTATATTTATTTACATATAAATGGTGTTATTTATTAAAAAAATATATAAACTTATAGGAATGGATACGAGACGGGAACATATAATTCGAAACAAACAATATCTGAATTATTTCACATAAAAAAAACATGATTAGATATAATTGTTATGAGACACGGTCATAAAGTTAAATTCACTTTCAGCTTTCAAATATAAAACTACGAGTACAATACGAGGACATGTAATTTAAATTGCTAAATTTAATTTCCACTTTCCCATTTATTTCAAATATTTAGACATGAAATGACAGGTACAAGAAGATAACGTATACTTCGGATAACAAAACTACGATAAATCCATGTATTAAAAAATAGAAATACCTAAATCTTTAAAAAACAAAAAGGCTAAAACGTGAATCTTTGAATTGAAGAAAGTAACGAGAAATAAAGATGAAACTGAATGATCAATAAAATTAAAAATCGAACAAGGATTGTCTATGCTAGGATTACAGACAGTGCATTGTGAACGAAAATGGTGGGAGCATGTGACTTAGATTGATAATTAGATTTTTATTAGTTTGATAAAAATAAATATTTAAACAAGGAATATGAGTATCCCGTCTAAATCTTTTGCCAAGTTTCTTATAATAAACATTGGCAAATGATTATGTTTTAAAAAGAAACGATTATGGAATAGAAATTTTATGACAGATGGAAGACGGGAAGGGACGGGACGGGTCAGGACGAGACGGAAAGAAACAAGACGGGTTTCCATTCTAAACTACACATAAAACAATTCAAAGTAAAGCCAAACCCAAATCCGACTGAACATCTCTAAGCAAACAGTTAGAAATGTTTTCATTAGTTTAAAAAATAAACACGTAATATCACTTATCATTTTCATTTAAAAAATTTTAAAATTTTATCATGTAATACAATATCTATATTTTACAACTGTATGTCTATATATAGTTTATCAAATAAACTCATATAACAAAATTTTACCGAAATAACATCTACTTAAAAAATCGTAATTTTGTAAAAATAACTCCGCACGTACGTGCGGATCCATCACTAGTAAACCATAAAATCTGAACTGATTTTGGAAATATTAATATATTCCTTTTTTTTATGAGCTCCATTAATATATTCCTATAATTTAGGAAACTATGTTAATTATGCATTACTCCGAAAATTATACAATAATTTCCTATAATTTTGGAAAGTATTTTAAATTAAAATTTATTCCGAAAATTATATAATAAATTCATATAATTTAGGAAAGTACTATATGTATTAATATTACATTATTATAGTTTAGAAAACTATATTAACGCAAAATATAAAGAGAAAATGTTTATGAATATAAAAGATCGCAATATTTTAAAAAATTTTTAATTAGTATAAGAAATTCTTATATAAAACTAATAAAAATATAATGTTTTTGAACAAAAATTATAAATATAAAAAATATAAAAAATGCATATATAAAAACATAATTTAAAAATATTTGGTATAAAATATAAAAAATGCATATATGAATACATAAATAATAGTAATAAAATTAATAATAATGCTAATTAGTTGGAATTAGTTAAATGTCTTTTATTAAATATATTGTGATTATGTAATTTTTTCAAATGCAATATCTTATCTGTATTATTATTTTTGATACTAATAAATTGGTCAAACTGAATTACATATCCTTGTAAGAAGTTTTTTTAAGTTATTTATACGGTATTTATGAACTATATATATTTATTTAATTATACTTCTATTTTTTAATCATTATTAATTTTATGTCTTTATTTTAATTAAAAAATCACGGGTTGGCTTGCAAATTCACAATCACATAGGAAAGCGGCTTATAAATAATTTTTTCTTTGAACACAATTCTTTGCAGCTTAATTCGCCACAACATATATTGTGAGAATGTAAATGAATATTATTCCTTTTTTCTTGGTCACCAAATTTTTTTACCTATATTATTATTTCTACTACTAATATGATCAAACTGAAAATTACATATCAAATCAAGTTGTTAAATGCTTCTTTTTCTCTACTGTTTAAGCTAAACTCATGTACATATATATAATTTACCGTAGAAATAATAAGAAGTATAATATATTATAATTTATTATCGGTAGCATAAATCATGAATATTCCTCCGCGCTGTAGCGCGGGTCCACTTCTAGTATTTTCTTTAATTTACATTGTGTATATTGTATACTAGAAAAAGGTAATAAAAATACACAATTTGATTATTTTCATTGATCATTATTAGGGGAATATAAAGAAGACATTCACATATTTATAAAATCCCATATGCTCATTCAAAGTTTCCCAAAAAACAAGTTCTTCAAATATCGTTAACTTTACACCCGATTCAAATCAACGAGCCATTTAAAAAAAAACAAGTGCACAAATATAAAATAATTAATCGGCAACAAATTTAAATTTAGGGAGTTAAAATAGTGTTAATGAGAAGAGCGTCTTTGCAAAGCTTCAACAAGTTTGTGTTCCTACGAGCAAGTTCAGCATCATTACCAGCACGATCGTTCAAAGCGTTTTCACACGACTCTCCGTCACTAATTGCTGTATTGAGCCAAATATCCACGTCGATGAATGAGTTTTGCATCAAAGCAGCGAGAGAATCATCGAGCTGTGCGACTGCATCTAAATAATTTTTAGAGCAATCGTCGAGGGTGTCTTCTAGTGCTGGCTCGAGGTTTTTTTGCTTCAATTTGGCTTTGATGTAGAAAGATGTGTCTGAAGCGTTTGAGGACGCGATGCTCAAAGCGATCACGCCTAGTTTTGGTGCGGTTGCGGTTGCTGCCTCAGGACGTGATGTCAAACTTGCAACGCAAAAGGCTTTGTCTTCAGATTTTTCACAAAGTTTCTCCACCAGAGCTTTCCCTTTCTCGGTGAATGTCGGTGGTGGAGCTTTACCAGCGATAGTCACGGTAACATAGACGGAGAGAAAAATGAGAAAGATCTTTCCGACCATTTTCATCGTTTCTTTTTGTTCTTCCTTTCTCAACTTCTCTTCTCGTAGTTATTAATTATTAAAAAGAATAATCGAATTGAAATATGTTATTTAAAGAGCTTAGAAAAAGGTATTTTTGGGTTTTTCTATTTTCTAAGTATTATTTTACATCGGTTATTCTATTTTTAAGTTGTCGCCTTCCCTCTCAGCATATTTTTAGGCTATTGGTGGTTTTTTTTGACATGTTTCTTATTTTGGGTTGAAAGAGTTTTGTGTCACGAGAAAGAAGGTCAACGCACATATGTAAATGATGGTCTTATTTTGGGTTCCGTAGGAAATGTGTAGTTTTGTTCTAAATGACGTAAACGTTTGGGTAAAAAGTATAGTTTATCTGTTTCGGTCTAAATATTTTATTTCAACTATTCGTTTGTGTCAAAGCAACTTTGTGTTAAATTCAAAAGTAGACCTATAATGGGCTAGACGGAAAGGCCCAATTAGAAAATGGTAGCTTTTTGCGGAAGAGTAACCCTAGAAGATATCATATATAAAGATATTTCTCTTCTCCGATTAGCTCTTCTCCGCCAAAATCTCAGCTAAAATGGTTTCGCTGAAGCTCCAGAAGCGTCTCGCAGCATCAGTGCTGAAGTGCGGGAAGAGGAAAGTATGGCTCGATCCGAACGAAGGGAGTGATATCTCCATGGCTAATTCGCGTATGTTGTTCTTCATACTTTCACATGTTGTTGATTGGATTTAACTTTCTCAGTCTCGTTCTGGTTTATATCTGCGATTGAAGCTTGTTGGTGAAGATAGTAGAAAATACAGATGATTAAGGATTTCTGTAGCTTAATGTGTAGGAGACGTTGAATGATTTGAACTCAGTCTGATGAATTGGAGCTAGGAAATGGTGTTGATATTAGATAGTAATCTGATTTTAAAATTCTCAAAAAAATTGATTAGTTTAAGCTTTGGGTTCACTATGTTCTTCTCGGATTCATGGTCTGTGGTTTCTATATGTTACGGAATCAACATGCCATAGCACACTGTTGGATCATGATTTCTGTGTGTTTATGATATAATATGGTGATGCATCTATATGCATTTGACAAATGATTGTAATTCTGATTATGGTTTTGGATTGTTGCCTAACGTATAGGCCAAAACATCAGGAAGCTTGTGAAGGATGGTTTTATCATCAGGAAGCCAACAAAGATCCACTCACGTTCTAGAGCACGTCAACTGAATATAGCCAAGAGAAAGGGACGTCACTCTGGTTATGGTATGAAACATTTAACCCACAATCTTGTAAAAACTCTCCACAGATGTTTTATGATGTGGCTATTGTCTATAATGGTTAAGGTAAGAGGAAGGGTACCCGGGAGGCAAGGTTGCCAACTAAGGTATTGTGGATGAGGAGGATGAGAGTTCTGAGGCGTCTTCTAAAGAAGTATAGGGAGACCAAGAAGATTGATAGACACATGTACCATGACATGTACATGAAGGTCAAGGGTAACGTCTTCAAGAACAAGCGTGTCTTGATGGAAAGTATTCACAAATCCAAGGCTGAGAAGGCTAGGGAGAAGACTTTGTCTGACCAGTTTGAGGCTAAGAGGGCTAAGAACAAGGCTAGCCGAGAGAGGAAACATGCTCGACGAGAGGAGCGTCTTGCCAAGGGTCCTGGAGGAGACATACCTGCCGTTGCACCACCTGCGCAAACCACTGAGTAAGTTTTGGTCTTAATCACATGAAAACAAAAGAAATTATGTGATGTGGCCACATTCTAAACATTTTTCATGGGGTTGTTTATTTTGCAGGGTACCAGCGAAAAAGTCTAAGAAGTGAGAAGTTTGCTCAGTAGTGAATTTTCTTTAGCAGTAATTTTGAATGGTTTTTGTGTTTCAGCTTTGTGAAAACTCTTTTTTTTGTGACAAATATGAGAACCTTTGTCAGTAATTCGTACTGTTTTAGGAGACTTAATTCTATATCTTCGAGCCCCTTTTCTCTCTCAATCATCGCATTATTACTTAATCTATAAGTTTTTGCACGTAATTATTGCTAAAAGTTGGTTTGTGAACACTTGTTATTGGTTTGTATAGATAATTGAGTTATAAAAATTTGTAAATCCAGGATTATGACAAAAAGATTTATGTATTAATTTTCTTTTCGTAAAAAAGTCTATATATAACAAACAAACTCATAAAAAGTTTACAAATATTAGGTCCAGATCGATCGGAAGGAACCCTTTAAGAACAAAACTTCTGTCTGACAACAGGCAATAGGGAACAGAGATGAGAAGATCCTAAGTTGTCTGACTGTATAGTTGAACCCAGACAAACTCTTCCTTGTAACTTAAGCTCGAGTCACATGAGTTCGCACACGTGTACACCACAATTGTCGCCCAATCGAGAGATTCCCTATCGTTCTTCCCGCCGAAGAAGAACAGTAGCTGCGGCATTACCTGATAAAACCGCCATTAAAATTATCAAGAACAGAGAAATGAAATTGTGTTTTTATTGGTTAAAAGTTGATTTGATTCAGCTTAAATTGTTGGTCAATTTGACCAGTTTATAAAGATAAATAAAAAAAAGTGACTAAGAACACGTCCGTACAAGTTTCATCAAATCCAGGTGAAAAGCGAAAGAATTACCTGAAATTCAAAACAAAGAGAACCACCACACGATTTGCAATTGGGTATCTCAGATTTAGAGACTCGTCCGCTTGCCATTGGCCAAAGAGGTTTAGCACCAGAGCTCCGGGAATATCTGTATCGATATGTATTTCACAAATTGATGTTATCAGCAGAAAATCAAGAAAAAAGTATGCAAGAATTCACAACTTCTGTGTGTTTGAATCACACCTCAGAACTTGTTCAGGGGCTTTGGCTACACGTTGCTGGAAATTGACCCAAATCTTTTTATCAGCATCTCCCTGTACAACCATGAAAGCTGAGAATCATTTGAGTCATTTTGAAGTTTGCAAAAATGGCCATTACAAGTGCCTTTACCTCAAAATCGTTCATTAGTGATTTCATTTGGTCGTCAACTTCTCTCTTTGAGACCAAAGATTTAGCCATTTCATCATCTCCTGACATCTCTGTATCATACTCACTTTCATCCTCATTGATCACAACAAATTCTTTCCATAGACTCTTACTCGCAACTGCACACACCAAAAAGTTAATATTACTTTTGTGAATTTTGTTCCAAAGCTAGGACAAGTTTGTGAATTTTACTAACCTTTCTGGTTTTGAGTTAGGGCGACCCCATTATTGACAGCATCTGCGTCAGATGTCTCGATAACCGTTCGAAGCTGTTGGCATTCTGTTTTATGACCTACGCGCCAATGCAGGGCCTGGAAATCAGACAGTTAACAAAGATTTGTTAAAAAGAGCGGATCTAGTAGAACAACAGTAACTACGATGCAAATATGCACACACCTGGTGTTTCTGTGAACAATATCGAGCACTTTTGCAGCCACTACATATTTTATCTCCTTTCCACGTTCCACACCAAGTGCAAAGAGGAGCTAAAAGTGAAGCAGATTATATCAAGAATTGACGATTACAAGAGAATTCTTGAATTTAGTCAAACCCATAAATCAGTTAATAATACCTCCATCTCCCGATGGCTTGTCTGTTCCATTGTGCTTTGGAGCCTCACTCGAGTAAAAAGGATTAACGCGAGGCAATTGGCAACGGAAAACCTTGGTACTTCAGGAATAAAAACAGTACTTTAGTGTAACAACCCACTTAAAGAGGAGACAAACAATACAAAGATGCAATATGTATAGTAAGAGGTGTCTATCTACCTCCGCATAGCCTTCTCAGGGGCACGTTTCCATTGTTCATGTTGATCACGAAGGAGACAAGACATAGATGGACACATGAAGAGAAACAACGTCCGATGAAAAGTTGATTCCTTGTCCGGTATAGGAGCATAAAGCTGCCAAATCCCCCCCCCCCAAATCCCATAAATTAAACCGGAAAAAAACATGCTGGATCAACAAAGTAAGTTGTATGAAACTTACCTGCAGTACAAATTGCATAGGTTCTTCACATAGATCGCACAGAATTGACTTCCCTGATGGTAAATTAACTGGATCTAACCATGCCTATATCAAAAATATCAACCCAAGAATCAACACCTAAGCACATAAACAAGACGACACCTTGATTGCAAAAATTGAAATATGTTTTCACATAGTACCGGAACACCACCAGCTAGATTAGGGAACAGTTGACGGAGATTTGACCATGAGAATCGAGGACTCTCTACGAAACCTAACGTCACAGGTTCATAATCTTCGTCATCTTCCTCATCATCATCATCAAATTCATCAATGTTAATTGGTTCCATTGCAGTCTCCTCATCGTCGTCATCATCGAGCTGAGTTATCCGGAGGCCTTTGAAATCATCCATGGAGTCTCCGTTGAAGCTTCCCATCGACTTCTCTGTGATGAATTGATGAAATGAAGACTGCTTAGCAAAGAAAGAAACTGAATTTTAGAGTTTTACTCATTTGTTTCCATAAACCTCTCAGAAGTAAAATGCAAAAATCAAAATCTGCTAATGAGTTTTACGAATTGAGCTCAAAACACAGCTAATTAGAAATCCCAGGATTGGTAAGAACAAATGAGCTCAGTAGTCACTATTAACGAGACTTAAGCTCCAGAGGAAACTTACAGTACTAATCAGTGATTGAGATATTCTTCAGATAGCATTAAAAGAGATGGAACCTTCTTCTGTCAATTTAAACAGCAAAATTTTGTGAACATCTCTCGCGAAGACGACGACGAAGGCAAAACCAAACGTCCCTTCGGCCTAGAAACAAACCCTAGAGGAAACGTTGTCGTTTAGCATTTTAGGCCCATGATTAGTTAAAGCCCAATAAAGTATTATAAGCCCATTGATGTTTCTAAATTGGTTGCGCGAATAAAGATAACCTTATCCTGGACAACCTTATCCCTAAAATCTCACCGGATTTCCAATTTCCCGTTCACCGGAGCTATCTGTAAGCGACATCCTCTGCTCTCTAGCTAATTTACTTGAATCTCAGGTATGGGTATGATCCTGTTTCTTACGCGAATCTGATTTCTGATTTCATAATTCGATTTCTCCTCAATTTCACAATTCGTGTTCGTGCAATCGAATTTTTGCAGGTGAGAAGAGGGAGTAATCTACATAATGAGCACACTTAGTAGAAACGGCAATGAGAGATTAAGGACGGTGTGGACACCTGAAATGGATCAGTACTTCATCGAGCTCATGGTGGAACAAGTGAGAAAAGGCAACAGATTCGAAGATCATTTGTTTAGTAAACGAGCTTGGAAGTTCATGTCTTGTTCCTTCACTGCCAAATTCAAGTTTCCTTATGGTAAAGATGTTTTGAAAAACAGGCATAAGACGTTGAGGAACTTGTTTAAATCTTTGAAGAATCTTTTGAGAGAAGATGGTTTTTGTTGGGATGAAACTAGACAGATGGTGGTTGCTGATAACTGCGTTTGGGATGAGTTTCTCAAGGTGTCTTTTGCGTTTTGTTTCCTTGTGAGACTCTGTGTTTTCTTCTTCTCAGGATAAATTTTTTACCGGGATTGATTTGTTTTTGCTTATGATTTCTTGAAGGTTCATCCTGATTTGAGATCTTTTCGGATAAAGCCAATACCTTATTACAAAGATCTCTGCTTGATTTACACAGATGGAATGTCTGAGCACAAAGGTACAATCTTTCGTCTATTGTTACTTGAGTCCTTCCCTGTCCATTCGTTACCAAGATCAAAGACTCTTTATGAGCCTTTAAATTTGTAGTCTGTGATCGTAAGTAATTTGTGAATGAACAATATATATAATTCAGCTGAGGAGAATAATACTGAGGGAGAAACACTGATTCAGGAAGATGAAGGTTACAACAGAATATGTGAATCTTCAACAGTCACGTCTAACTCAAAAGGAGGCAACATTACACGGTGCAGGACTACTTGGCATCCTCCAATGGACAGATATTTCATTGATCTGATGTTGGGCCAAGCGGGAAGAGGAAACCAGATTGAAGGTGTTTTTCGGAAACAAGCATGGACTGAGATGGCTAATCTCTTCAATGCAAAATTTGAGTCTTACTTTGATGTTGATGTGTTGAAGAACCGGTATAAGACTCTAAGAAGACAGTTCAGCGCGATCAAGAGTCTTCTTAGATCAGATGGGTTTGCTTGGGATGATGAGCGTCAAATGGTTACAGCTGATGATAACGTCTGGCAAGACTATATCAAGGTAATTATTTTCTATGGTATAAGCTCAATATACAAAAGTTACAGTGTTTGGTCACTTTTTTTAAATGCGATATTGTCTGAAACAATTGTAGGCTCACAGAGACGCAAGGCAATTTATGACTCGGCCAATTCCATACTATAAAGATCTGTGTGTGCTCTGTGGTGATTCTGAGATCGAAGAAAACAACTGCTTTGTAGCTATGGATTGGTTTGACCCCGAAACTGAATTCCACGAATTCAAGTCCGGTGGAACCACCACAGATTTGTCAATTTCAGCTGAGGAAGAAGATAGCAACTCTATTTTGTTGGACCACCCCAAAAACAAAAGAGATCAACTTGCTAATACTGATACAATCCCTATAAATCCAAAGAAGGCTCGAGTTGATGAAACCCAATCCATGGCAATAGAGGACGCTGTTGAGGCTATTCAAGCGTTACCAGACATGGATGAGGAACTTATATTAGATGCTTGTGATCTGCTTGAAGATGAAATCAAAGCGAAAACTTTCTTGGCTCTAGATGTAAAACTACGCAAAAAGTGGTTGTTAAGGAAACTCAGACCTCAAGTAACTTAAGGATTATGAGCTGTAAACCAACAATATAGATGTTCGAAGATAAACAGACGCTCATGGGCTTATACTATATACTACTTTGGTGTACTTTGCCAGAGTTTCATATATAAATACTTAACTAAGAGCAACAAAGATTCAAACAATGTATCACATCTTTTCTAATTCTGACTCAAAAGTTGTCGATGTGATCAAATATGGTTGATGATATTAAACCTTGTACAAACTCTCTCTTCTTTGCCTTTTCTAGGAGCTCTGTATTTGACAAGGGAGACAGCGGTTTTCCATCTCTGAAGCACATGCAAAAAACAAAACAAATTTTAAGCCAAGGTTTGAGAAAGTGAAACAAGATACGCAGAACAGAGAAAAAATGTCAAAAAAGATGGATGCTTACTTCTCTGTTGAATCCCTAATAGAGCTCTTGTCTTCCATGCTTGTTTTACCTGATAAATCAGGCAGTACAAGCTTGGACTGGTTTGGTAACGGTGAGTTGTAGATAAATGATAATAATGGGTCAGGCACACTTTTAGATGTATGATTAGTAGACAGTGGCTCATCGATTAGAGACTGTAAGTATTTCCTAGTCCCTGGAGAAAACGCTGAATATGTCTCATCCTTGTAAAGTCTCTGCTTTTGTTCAAGGTAAATTTTCGTCAAGGAACCCAAACACCTCGATATAATATACCATCATTTAGAAGATGCACAAAAAAAAATTCACAAGTTTTCTACTAATGGTTGAAACTCAAGACGAGTAAACTAAAAAGGATATCTTTAAGACATCTCTATGCTGCGTGGTAATGTGGTCAACCATATGCATCTTCACCCGTCTGCTACAAACTGGACATATCTACATCACAGCCAAAACTGAATTTGTAAGAAGTTATTACATTCAGCATCACCAAAAGACTACAACTTTATCACTAAAAGACTACAACTTTATCAGAATCCTTGACAGCTTATAAGTTTCTAAAGGTGATCTCTTTAAGCTCAAAAAGGTATTGGAGATCACAAGGCACAACCTTTCTCACCACCAAATGGTTCCTCATAGCATCAGACAAATGACCCAAGTAAACTAAAATCCAAGAGGTCCCTACCAACTCTCATTACAGAATCACAATCCTACCTACTAAAGTAAGCATGCAAAGCACTAGAGGACAAACGATCATCACACGATAAGTCGCCTAAATTCACAACTAACAGCTTCTTGTAAAAAAGTCAGTGTCTATGAACTGAAATTACCCCATTGTTAGCGTCTAGTTGATGCTCCTCATCGATATGGTGACACAATTCAACTAAATCATAATCATCTGAGCAAAACGGGCAAGGATAATCCACTTCCATCTCATCGTCTTCTTCAACATCTTCAAACTCAATACATGAACCTGTTATACACAAAATCCCGAAAAAAATTACTAAACTGAAACCCACTAGACCGTAAGAGCCAAAAAAAAAAAAACTGAAATTTGATAAACAAATTTTAAAACTTTCATAAATCAAAGCCAAAGCCAAATCCAAATCCAATTGGGGAAAAAGAACCAGTTTGAAGCTAACCAGACTGATACTTTGCAAGTTCTTCTAACCGATATCTCTTCGAAGAATCAAACCCACAAATTCCCAACAAAGCTTCTTCCATTTGATTCTGAATCTTAAAAGAAAGAACCTGAATTGAAAATCTCAGATCACCTTTTTATAATTAAACGAGCATATTCTTGCTCGTGTATTTATTAGCATCTGTCAGTACTTTGTTCAGCCTGAAAGTGCGAGGAAACACACCTAAAAGGCAAGACCTTTAAATGTGGTCGTTTTTTTATTTTTCCTTTCTCCTCAGGGCGACAAGGAGAATCCATGGACAAGACGAATCTATTGAGGTAAACCCACAATGACCAACCTACCCCTACTCGGTCACTAACAGTAGACTTCTAGCCGCGTAGAGTCGACGGGCCTTTTCGTCTTTGCGTCCTCGTCTTAAAACGTGTGCTCCACACACTTAAATTGACCCAATATCGCAAGTGGCATAAAAAGCCTACATTGGGCCTTTAAAGCCCATTTGAAGTAAAGCCCAAATAATTCTCCTTCGTTGTTAAGTCTGTTAACATTAAACACGCGGCTAAAGAAAAAGCGTTTATTTCGATTCAGATTCGTTTTGCTTCTTTTTTTTTTTCCGACGACACAAAGCTTCGAATCCGATCTTGTGTATTTTCCGGGAAAACTATACTGTAGATATTATTGTTGAGAACCAATTGATTTGGCATTGATGGCGACGAGGAATCGAACGACGGTGTACCGGAAACACAGGGATGCGTGTAAGAGCGCGCGTGCTCCTTTATCTCTATCGGCGTCTGATTCTTTCGGTGGCCCGGTGATTGAAATGGTTAGCGGTTCGTTTTCTCGGTCAAATCACTCTTCTTATGCTCCTTTGAATTCCGATGATCCTGGTCCGTCAAGGTAATTATATAAGAGTTCTTGTTTTTGTTCCGTTTTCGTGATTTGATTCTGCAAAAATTGGGGAATTCTGGGAAATATATAAGAGCAAACACGGAATTGATTGGGAATTTTCGAAAGAACTGGACTATGTACAGTATTTTTGGGTTTTAAAAGCTTTGTTTTCTTGCTTTTGACATATTTGTGCAGTTAGTTTGTATTCATATGCTATCTAAAAATATAAACTTTGTTGTTATGGTGAATGTTTGCAGTAGTGATGCCTTCACAATTGGTATGCCCCCAGCTTGGGTTGACGATTCTGAGGAGGTTACATTTAATATACAGAAGGTGCGAGACAAAATGGGTGAATTATCGAAGGCTCATTCTAAGGCTCTGATGCCTACTTTTGGAGATAACAAAGGGATTCAACGTGAAGTCGAGATGCTCATTCATGATATCACGGATTTGTTGAGGAATTCCGAAAAGAGATTGCAGAAGTTATCGACTAGAGGGCTTTCTGAAGAATCAAATCTCAGGAAAAATGTGCAGGTATTGTTGGACTATGTTAAAGATAAAGAATGTGTGGCTGTTACAATCAGATAGTGTAAGGTGGTTGTTAAATGATCCTCATATGAAACTCGTTGATTACGATATTGTGGACATTATCATTTAGCAAAATTATATGAAGTAAATTCTGGTTTTTTTTTTCCATTATAGCAAACTTTGGCTTAATATATGTTTTTAAGTTTATAGCATGAGGTTGAAGTTCTGTATACATGTATAGTGGGGTTCTCCAATGGACTTGACCTACTCTTTGACATACTGTTTTTGACAGCGTTCTCTTGCAACAGATCTTCAGAGCCTCTCCATGGAGCTCCGCAGAAAACAGTCTACGTATTTGAAACGTCTCCAACAGCAGAAAGAGGTATGTTTCCTTTTGTATTAAGAAACAAACAAAAAAATATGTGATTCTTGGGATATTCATGTATCCTAACATGGACGAATTTCGTGCTCTTATATATATTTGACTTCTCAATTCACAGGGTCAGGATGGAATAGATTTGGAATTTAACATGAATGGAAAGATGTCGAGACTGGATGAAGAAGATGAACTTGGTGGTTCGGTAAGTGCTTAATCGATGTGTAAAATACATTACGAAACATTTGTTATGGTTGTCAAGCTAGAACAATTATGTTTATCCAAACTATCTTTGCCGTCCTTACACTGCCAATATTATAATGAGAATCACTGGTCTTCAACAAATCTTAGGGTTTTGATGATTACCAGACAATCAAGATGAAGAAAGGGCAACATGTCTCAGCGGAAAGGGAAAGGGAGATACAACAGGTAGCTTGGAAGCTGTTACTATACCACATTTTAGGGAGCTGCTTGTTTCATTTTTCTAGGGTGATTAACTTAAACTTTCCTTTTAGGTTTTGGGGTCCGTGAATGACCTTGCTCAGATAATGAAGGACTTATCAGCTCTTGTGATTGACCAGGTTACTTCTTGCTGACAGATAAATTAAAGGCATATGAATTACATATATGGATACAGAGTTTTTGTTGGTTTCTCAACAATTAGTTTTCTTATGTTCTTGTATCAATTAGGGCACTATTGTTGATCGGATAGATTACAATGTCCAAAATGTTTCTACATCTGTTGAGGAAGGGTTTAAACAACTACAAAAGGTTTGATTCTTTACCATAAACTCTGTGTGAATACTACATAATTTTCACCTTATCTCACTTCCCATCTTTTGAATAGGCGGAGAGAACACAAAGAGAAGGACCAATGGTGAAATGTGCGACGATACTCCTTATACTTTGTTTCATAATGATTGTTCTTTTAGTCCTTAAGAATATTTTGCTTTAATTATACACACCTTGTCTTTTGTTGTAACAAACCATACCATGTTTTTCTTCTTGCTGAATATTAATTTTTCCAAGTGTTTTATTGAATCTGGAGAAGTACTTCATGTAATCTTATCTAATCAGTAAGCTTGTGAGGCATGGTTACAAAATGTTTCATTCTAATGTTTGTACACCATCGTTTCTATGTTAGTTAATGTACACCATCGTTTCTAGGATATGATTAGGTTAATCATATCAAAACAAGATTGCAAGATTCTTAGATAATGACTCATACTGGAAAGAATATGTAAAATAAGAAATCTGAAAGAAAAATCTGAAAGAAAGATTCTTAGATAATGACTCATAGTGAACCTCGTTTGTAACAAGAATAAGCCGCTCATTGTATAGCACATGTTGTTTCTTCGTTAGAAATCCAGCTCAGTGTTGGTGGAGGTTTAACTGTGTTGCAATCAATTACCTCATCTTGCTTCAGGCATTTCAAAGAGCAAAAGTATTCATCTGAGGTTCCAAGCATCTTCAAGATGATAGGAAAAATGCAATGCAACTTACATGAGCTGCAAAATGGACGGGATACACTACTATTGAGCACCACCTCGTATGATGCATTCCTATCTTCTATCGTGCTTCTTGGCATGAGATTTGAAAAGTTGCCGAGCACACACTTTGTATGCAAGCTAGACTGGTTATCTTTACATGTGTAGAACCATTTCGTCGGATTGGTTTCTTTTTCACAAATGTCACACCAGTACTCACCAGTTGCGTCTTCGTCATAGCATAGTGAGAGAGGATGATCGTCCACTCTATGCTTAACCACTTGTGGTAGAGTAGCACATTTGAAGCATAAGACAAATTTACAATCATCTTCAATGCATCTTAGCACATCATTACCCTTCTCATTGCAGCCATTGCACCTCTTAATCCCTCCAACTTGTGAAATGTAATATAAGGGATGATCATGAAAACTTGGATGGGAAAATGGCTCAGAAATGGAACCGCACCGAACATCGAATGTCTTATCCCCATGCTGGTATCTGAAACCATTGGAAAACCTACCACAAGCAGCACACCCGAATAAATCAGCTTTGTCTGTAACTAAAGTAAGACGCTCATTGTGTAACACATGCCATTTTACTCTAGGAAATCCAGCGCAGTTTTGGTGGAGAATGAAGTCACAATCCATACAGCCATAGAAGGGTTGGAGACAAACTGGATGAGTGCATGCGCTGCACCGTTTGTTGTCGTCACAAAGAACACCATTGTCGTGGAGTCTTAGGTGATGCTTGTGGCTGAAATGTTGTATTGTGTTGTCATCTATAACCACATAAGGCTCTGTATCCTCTGTTTCTTCAGGAACTCCTTGGAGTTCTTTGCCATTCCACACATCTTTTCTAGTAGCACATTTCGAATGAACAACATAGTCGGGACACCTTTGACAAGAAAACCCTCCACAGGTCCAATCCACCTTATTCCGACAAACTCTACATACAGAATTCACAACACCAAGAAGTGAAACCCGAGAGACACGGTGATCGTGTCGATTAATGTTTATGAGGCGTGGTAAGTCAAGACAGCCTTGATGAATCATGAAATCACATTGAACACAAATGTAAGGGCTTCGATCTCCTTTAAGCCCACAAGCATTACATGTAAATTTAAGGAGTCTTGGGAGAAGGGTGAGTTGGTGATCATGAGCTTTCAATTTCAGAAGAGATTTTTGTGGCTGGTTCAAAACACAACGGATATCCAAGGTGAAGTTGCAAGGAGAGCAATGATAAAACAATCTGAATCTTTCATCAATCTTTCTTGTGCAAAGACGACATTTTCCATCAGAATAGTCAGGTAACTGACCTGTGAGGCTCTTAAGAGGGTGTAAAGGGTGGTAGGAATGGTTTACCTCAGACGGGTATTCCGGCTCCGATGGGCGCCATACGCAGTCCACATGGAAAGCTAATTCACATTTCAGACATACGTAAGGAAACTCAGCTGATTCAGTAATCTTCCCACACTTAGCATCACAGTTGAACTTGGTCTGAACCTTGTGAAGGGTGAGCTTGTGGTGATGTTTGTTGGAAACGTCAATGACCTCTGGTGGTGGGTACTTGGCGCAGTATAGATCCAGGTAGAAGTCACAAATACCACAATGATAGAATAAGTCACCCTCACTTATATTCCTTCCACATAAATCACAGTATCTACGTCCTTCACTTAGAAGCTGAAGAGTGTGATCCGGGTGAGATGGGTGTTTGATATATTCAGAGGGCTCATCGATACATTTCTTGTGGATGAAAAAGTCGCAGCCTTTGCAATAGTAGCCATCACTGATAGCTTCCAAGAATCCACAGCAATCACCTTTCCTTACATCATTCCAAGGCATCATGAGATGTTCATGGACCAACGGCATTAACACTCCCTCAGAATCCATTGTCGTATACTACAAATTTTGAAAGGAGAAGAAAAAGGTTGGGTCCAAAATCTCAAAGCTATGCTCCTTTCACGTTTCTTCCTCTCTATTAAAAGTCTTCCTTTAAGCACAACGATGGTCTTATAAAATAATGATTAACTTCTTTCTATATATCATTATTTTAGACATTTGATTCTGGTGGTCTTTCATTAACAATAAAGATAATTTTTCGATAGTGGCAATCCAACAAAAACTAATCGTATTATTTTACTAAAACGAACCACTTGTTAAAAATAGTCAATTTAAAAATTATTCTGCTTTCTAAATACTGTAGATGCCTATTCTTGTTTGTGTTGTTTCGGTTTGTGTCGTTTGAAAATCTATATAGGACGTTGTCTTTGTATTGTAACACATTCAGTTTTTCATAATAATAGAAAGTTGTGTTTCAAGTAAAGGAGAGAATCGTTTACCCATTCTCTGTTCTTCTTATTTTCTTTGTCTCTTATACTCTGTTTTGAATCCAAATTTAACAAAGCCAACATGTCTCAGCAGAAAGGGAGAGAGAGAGATACAGCAAGTATCTTGGAAGCTGTGTTACTCTACCATAGTTTAGGAAACTGGTTTCTTCACTTCAGATTTCGCTTTAAGTTATGGGTTCCGTGAATGACCTTGCAGAGATGATGAAGGACTTATCAGCTGACTCATTACAGAGTTTTTGCTGGTTTCTCAACAATTAGTTTTCTTGTGTTTGTGTATCAATTAGGGCACTATTTTTGATCGGATAAACTTCAATGTTCAAAGGTTTGATTCTTTACGAAACACTCATGTCTCTGTGACTACAACTTTTTCATTTTATATGACCTCACAGTGATTCATCTTGTATAACCTCAAAGTTCAAACTGTTGTAAAAGAAGGTGAATTTCTTGACTTTTTGATTATTCCAGTCAAAAGTATAGATGATTCATATATTTAAAAAGTAGTCATTTTAATTGTCTGTGTTTGGTCTTCCAAGTTTTGAACAGAATATTTGTGTGGAAAACGAAAGACAGGAGACGTTAGAAACAGTCAAACTACGATTGCAAGATTGTTAGATAATATGATTTACATTAAGTAAATCAACTCATTATGGAAATGAACTTGTAAAAGAAATGGTACAAGAAATCTAAATGAAAACCCCACTCGCTAGACATCTTGCTTCATTTTGGGCTTTAATGGTCTCTATCTTCACCCCCACTTGCTAGACTTTTAAGCAGTCGAAACAGCAAAAGTATTCAGAGGTTCCAAGTATCTTCAAGGTGATAGGATAAATGCAATGCAACTTGCAGTTTCTGCAAAATGGACGAGATACACTATTATTGAGCACCACTTCAAATGTCAGCATACCTTCTATTGTGCTTCTTGGCATCAGACCTGAAAAGTCTCCAATCACACACTTTGTATGTAAACTAGCCTGGTGGTCTTTACACGTGTAGAACCATGTCTCTGGATCAACTTCTTCTTCACAAATGTCACACCAATATATACCATTAGCCTCTTCATCTTCGCCATAGCATAGTGAGAGAGGATGATCCTCAACTCTATGCTTTACCACTTGTGGTAGAATTGCGCATTGGAAGCATAAGGAAAACGTACAACCATCTTCAACGCAATTAAGCACCCGAGAGTGCCACATGTTGCAACCATTGCAGGTTTTAATTTCATCTCCTGAAATGTAATATAAGGGATGATCGGGATGACTTGGATGTACAAATGGCTCAGAAAATGAACCGCACCGAACATCGAATACCCTGTTCTCATGCTGGTACCTGAAACCATTGGAAAGTTTTCCACAAGCATGACACTCAAAGATTTTTGCCTCGTTTGTAACTAAAGTAAGACGCTCATTGTATAGCACATGCCATTTCATTCTAAGAAATCCAGCGCAGTTTTGGTGGAGAATGAAGTCACAATCCATACAGCCGTAGAAGGAGTGGAGACAGATGGGGTGTGAGCATGCGCTACACCGCTTGTTGTCGTCAAAAAGAACACCATTAACATGGAGCCTTAGGTAATGCTCTTGGTGGCTAAAATGTTGTATTGTGTTTTCATCTATCACCACATATGGCTCTATATCTTCTATTTCTTCAGGTACTCCTTCTAGTTCTTTCCCATTCCACACATCTCTTCTGGTAGCACATTTCGAATGAACGACATAGCCAGGACACTGCTGACAAGAAAAACCTCCACAAGTCCAATCAACCTTCTGGCGACAAACTCCACATGCAGAATTGACGACACCAAGAACAGAAGTTCGAGAAACACGGTGATCATGCCGATTAATGTTGATGACGCGTGGAAGGTCAAGACATTCTTGATGGATCATGAAGTCACATTGAACACATATGTAAGGGCTTCTATCACCACTCAACCCGCAAGCGTTACATGTAAAAGAACGGAGTCTTGGAAGAAGGGTGAGTTGGTGATCATGAGCTTTCAAATCCATAAGCGATTGCTGTGGTGGATGTAGAACGCAGCGCATATCCAAGGTAAAGTTGCAAGAAGAACAATGATAAAATAATCTATCATCAATTTTTCTTGCGCAAAGACGACATGTTCCATCAGAATAGTCGGGTGGTTGACCTGTGTAGAGCTTAAGAGGGTGCCAGGGGTGGTAAGAGTGGTTTACCTCTAAAGGGTGATGATGTACTTCTAGCAGTGGCCATACGCAATCCACATGGAAGGCTACATCACATTCATGACATTTGTATGGAAAACCATAAGTAATTTTCCCACATTTAGCATCACAGTCGAAATCGATCCGCTCCTCGAGAAGGGTTAGCTTGTGGTGATGCGTCTCGGAAATGTCGATAACCTCTGGTGGTGGGTACTTGGCACAGTTTAGATCCATGCTGAAGTCACATATATCGCAGTGATAAAATATTTGACTGACGATGTATATTCCACATAAAGTGCAGAATTTATTGTATGTATAACTTCCAAGCTCAAGAGTGTGATTGGGGTGAGATGGATGCTCGATATATTTGGAGGACTCGTCGCCACAGTTTTTGTGGACGAAGAAATCACAGGTTTTGCAATAGTAGCCATCACTGATACTTTCCAAGCTTCGACAGCAATCACCTCTCCGCAGATCATTCCAAGGCATCATAAGATGGTAGTGGAACAACGGTAGTGACACTCCCTCATTATCCATGGTCGTATACTTGGAGATTGGTAAGAAGAAAAAAAATTGGATCTGAAGTCTCAAAGCAATGTTCCTTTCGAGAGCTAGTTAAAAGTCTTGTCTCGCTAATCTCAGCTCTTATAAAATAATCGTTATATTAACTACATACACGAAAGTATTTTGGTGTTTTCGAAAAATCATTAAATATTATTGAGACTAACCACTTGCCAAAAATAGTCAATTTTGATTATTAGCTGTCTTCGTCTTTCTTTTCCATTTTTATAAAATGTTTAAAACATTCTATAATTATTTTTATATGAGAAATTTAACCAGTTTGACAAAAAAATTAGTCAAAAATAACTGAATTAACTTTTCAATATTGGTCCTTACAAAAATAATTTCTAATTTTGTTTAATAAAAACTAATTTTATCTCAAAAATAAAAATTATTTGATATATTTTTACTAGTATTATTTATTTATAAATATATATATATATATATATATATATATATATATATATATATTACAAAAAATCTAAAAATACAAAATTTACTCAAGTGTTATTGGAAAAACTTGTAAGCAAAACTGATTTAAAATGATCTAAAATTTTTGTAATTTATTAATTTGAAAGCAAAACTAAATTTTGATAAAGCTTACAGTCAAATTTTGGTTTCAATGTTTAATTTTCACCATTATGTTATGATACTTTGTACTCTTTTTCGTCACTTAATTTTTTCTAGGGTTGAATTATGTAATGAAAAGTTTCCCCATTATGTAATTTTCTCCATTATGTAATTAATTATGTAATGATATTTTTCCATGGAATAATATACGGTAAAAAAGAAAAATTGTAAAATTTGGAGATAAAATGAATTACAAATGAATAGACAGATAAAAAAATGAAAATATATTTTGTGTTGTCGATAGCAATTAGAAGATGGTCTCAATTATCTACAACAAGAACAAAAAATTAAAGGAGAGATCAAAAACATCATCGTCGTCAAAAACCTATATTGATACGCTATAGTGATACGGCGTCGTTGTGTTGTTTGTATTCTTGTCTCTGCAACTTGATTTGCTCATAGAACTTAGCAATGAACTCCTCTGCTCTCACGTCCACCCCTTTCTCTTCTTCCTCATCATCCTCCTCTTCCCTCCAAGATTCATCGTAGCCGTACGATTTTACCTCATCGGAATAATCTTGACGGTCCATTTCAAAGTCGTAGTCAAACTCTACGGGAGGAGCAATGCAGGGGAGGAGGAGGAGGAACCTCATAGACGACGTCGTAGGACGATGCATCTTCTTCTTCTTGACGTGAAATAACGGCGTTTCATCAAATGAAAGCTGGCGTTCTCCGTAATAACGGTCACCGTAATTGCTACTACTATGATGATGATGGAGATGAGCTAGGGCTTTGAGATGCTTGGAGAACAAGCTACGTAGTTGGAACAAAGGCCATCTTTTGAAAACTCCACCTCTTCTTCCCCATAGAAGAGCCATCCTCACGAGACTCCATGCTTTATGTGTTATTGCGTTTCTTCTGGCTTTCTTCTGAGACGAGTCCCCCATTAATAATGGTTTGAAGTTTGAACTCTGCGAAATTAGTATTTTTTCTGGTGGTGATTTTGATCTGATATGGGGTTTTTTTTTTTTTTTTCTTGATGAAAGAGTGTTTTTTTTGTTGTTGTTGTGCGTTGCTTATGGTTTCTTGAAATGTTTATATATATACACACAAAACAATGTGCAGCTTTTGCTTGCTGTTTGCAATTTGCTCAACACGGAGTAACAAATAAAAATAAATTATCATATTTATCCCTCAAAAAGTTATATTATCTTAACTGACATCCCTACTATAGTAAAAGAGAAGTACAAAAGGAATTCGGGTCGGGTTTTTCAAAAAATTCCGGGTTAAATTTTCAATCGGATACTTGCCAAATTTTTTGTTAGATATTTTCCAAATATTTCAATAATATACACCAGATTCCTATCATTTATGAAACTATATTAATGTGAAAATATATTAATGATAAATAAAAAATATCTCTTATAAGGAAAATTTGTTTATGAATATAAAGATCTCAATCTTTTAAAATTATTCTAATTAGTATATTAATTTCTTATATGAAAAACAAAAAAAAATATTTTTATAAGTTTAAATCTTTGATATATAGAAAAAAAATAATTTAAAAATATTCGGTATAACAAATATAAAAATGCATCTAAAATACATAAATAATGGTAATATAATCAATAAAAATGTTAATTAGTTTGAATTAGTTAAATGTTTCGAAAAATAAAATTTGAATATATATATATATATATATATGGCTATAAAAAAAACAAAAGATTTTATTAAATTAGTGTGACGTTTCTAATATATTAAATTATTATTATTATTTTTTATATTTTCTAATATATTAAATAAAAGATTTTAATCAGAATAAACAATAGTATATGAAAAGAGGTTTTAAAATTATTCCAATCTTTATCAATTTGAATTACTTATAAAAAAGAATAATATTTTGTCAGTAACATAATTAATGCAAAATTATAGAGAACCATATATATCTAGAAATGGTTATATTTGAATTTGAAAAAAAAATATTTTGACAATCATTAATATATTTCAATGAGTAATACGAAAATATTTTGGATACAAAAAAATAATTAAAATTTTAGGATAATTATTATAATTAACTAAAAATACTTTAATAACAATATTTTATCTTTGTAATTATTAATCATCGAATCACTTCTAATACAAAATCAGTCATAAAGAATATATAATATATTCCATAAGTTAGTTTAAATAAATTACCTTAAATTCTGAGTTTTTCTTAAAATGTTCTGAACATATATATTAAATTAAAGGAAATCACTTAAATTTTTTTACAAGCTGAAAAAGTGTTTTCTATAAGAATTCAGAATCACTTAAACTCAAAATAGCTATAATCGCCCAAAAAAACGACACTCTCTCCTCACAATATATAGTCATACATTTGTTGAATAAAGACATCAATTTTTTCTTTCTAACTTTTACATTTTATTTTGAGTTTTTTCTTATGATTTATCCTTTACTATTTTTTCTTTTTTATCGTTTACTATTTAGTTTTATGGTCTCTTATTCAATATGATGTATATTAATATTTTTATTTTATTTTTATAGGATACAAGTATATACAAATTTTTCAAACTCATATGTCTTATGTGATACATGTATATACAAAATTTCGTTTAATATTATATATTTTCATGATTCTTTTTAAAATACATGGGTTTTTCATGATTGGTTCGTCACCACATACATTGTGAGTATATAATTTGTTTAATAAACGTTCTTTTATTTAGTTTATTAAAATATTATATTTAATTTTCGAAAACACACTTTTTCTCAAATAATTGAAACCAAATATACATTTCGAAATAATAATTGTTGATACTAAAATAAACGAAATAATAACACATACGACAAAACACTTTAAAATAAAATAAACATGAAAATATTCTCCCGCGCTGTAGCGCGGGTCTGAACATAGCACGGGTCTGAACCTAGCATACGTGACAAAGTACACATCCACGATAGTACATATTCTCATACATGCCAAATTCAATACCAACAATTCATTTTAACAATTAAAAATTTACGTAATTCGGAAAAAACAAAAACGGACACTTTTCCCCCGCGCTGTAGCGCGGATCCGGATCTAGTTTAGTGCATAAAGGAAGCTATTTTGTGATGATTTTTTTATATTTTTTTTGGGTGCAAATTATGAAGGATTTTTTAAAAACCAGGTTTTGTAGTCGATTAAAGAAACAAATTTTCTTTATTACTCATAAAAATGGAAACAAATTTTACAAAAAACAAAAAAAAATGTAAAACAAAAAACTTTTACAAATAAGTTCATGTGGGTCACGGACTCACACTGCTGGACTCGGACCATATCTTAGCTGTGTTAGCCGTTTTGTTTCTCAATTTACGCTTTTTTTCGTTTTATTTCTTTTGTCTGTTTATACTTTTAGTAATTTTTTCATTTTTCTTTCAACATAATTATTAGTTTCACGTTTCCTTTATCCAGATGTATACGTTTAGATATTGTCTTCTTTTTTCTTTTTTTTCTTTTTTATATCAAATCTTTCTTAAAATTTAGAAGTTACGTTTTATATATTTACATAATTAACGGTTTGCCGTTTGTATTACAAATTTTTGTAGATGCTACAACAAATAAAAGAGTTTGGATGGACTGAGAGTTATTATTGAGTAGAAAGAGTTTAATTTGTTTTGTCTTTTATAGAAATGCAATTTAGTTTTATTAATTTTTGTAGATATGCTACAACGGTTAAAATATAGTAAGGGTTATAAATTTATCAGAAGAAAATAAATTTATAAAAATTGTTGTAATTAAGCAAGGACTATAATTAAAGCAAAGAACTAGAGATCTAACTAAAACTTGGGAGAGAAGGCTGGATTAGTTTAGTTGTGTCTGCCGTTGAATCATGTTGTATGCGGCTGTCTCCTTATCATATAGTTTCTAGTTTTCACGAAACCGTGTTCCATTTCCTGATACTGTAACGTGCGTTCTTTGTCGGATCTCAGAAATATATAGATTCATGTATCTTTTTGTGTACTATATACATATGTACATATCGAACAACGATATATACATTTGACAACAAAAACAAACAAAAATAATGTAAGAAAAAAATCTCAATATAAATTAGCGCCGGCCAATATATTTTATGTCTTTGCACCTCCAAATTATATAAAAGATGTCTTGTTTTCACTATTTACTGCAACAATAAAAATTTCTTAGAAATATATTTGGTGAGAATTATAGTATTTTATGATTGTCATAAGTGGTTATATTTCTTAACACATGGATACATTTATCGTTACATGACGAGTTCATGCATGGAAGATGGACCATGGAATAGGGTGAAAGATTAAAGATATAATAATGTCAATTACATAGATATCATAACTGTGTTACGTTTTGGCTGAGAGAGAGGAAAGACTCTGCTCTTCTGTTTGAGATCATAATATGACATTATATATTTAATGACCCTATTTACTTTGAACATTCTCCTTTAATTTTTCTTCCAAAGATGTCAGGCAAAAACACAAAAACAGATCAAGTGCAAAGATATCAATCCAGTAAGCAACTATACTGAAATTAAAGAGCTAAAACTTTCAAGAAAACTCTTGAATAATTAACTTTGTTAATTAAAACCTAAATGATGATTATTGTAGTATTGCTATAATTCTAAAACATGATTCACGCGTCACTTATCTAAACCATTAAGCCGAACCAAACCAAAAAACATAAGAAAAGAACCTGAAATCTAAACAAAATTGCTCATATATATTATTTCAATTATTGTGAAGAAAAATGATATTTCAGTTATTAATCACTTTTTATATTCATCCGAATAAATATTAATTAGGGCAACAAAAATAATTATGTAGTGTTTAAAAAGTGATTAAAGGAAAGCAATAACTAATTGAATTGCCAAAAAATATACTAATTATGAGTAGTAATTTTATATAAAAAATACGTTTGGTTTTAGGCTTTTAGCTGTGAGCTGTCCTTTTCTTTTCTTGAACTTCCTCTTCCCGTAACTAACGCAGTTTAGCGCGCGCTGTCTTTGCTAGTTATGACGTGAAACTTCTCTTAAGAGACAGCTTTTACTTCAACCGTTAAACCCCAAAACTCTTCAATATCTTAGTCTTTAACCCCAATACTTTAAAAATAGTCAATTACAACCTTGTATATATTTTTCCATATAAATAGACTTGTTTTGTACGTATGAAGAACCTTGGGATCTCTTCTTCCAAAATCTCTCTTCCCTGCTCATAGCAGCAGGGAAAGTTCTCTCCCCATCTTGAATCTCTTGTAATCACCATTAGTCTGCTTATATATATGGAAGTACTTCAAAATCATCAGATCAATGGTGGCCAAGAAGAGATCAAGAATAAGATGAAGAAGAAACGGTCACGTGGTTTGCACGTGTTCGGTGTCGTTTTGTACATGCTTCGCCGTCGGAGGAGGAGGACGAGGAGCAAGCCGTTTAATAACGGGTTTTGGCGGCGATTTGTCGAGTCTTTTAATCGTCATCAGTTGAAAAACGACGACGATGATGTTACGACGCTGCCATCGTCTACTATTGCGATAATGCCACCACCATCGTCTTCTCCTCCGGCGACAGAGGAGGTTCCGGCGAGTAGTGATGATCAGTTATCGGAGATGGTTGAGGTTTTCACGGCGACGTCTAGTTCTTGCTCTTCGGGAATATCGGGATACGGATCAGCAAAGTCGTTGCGGGATATGGATTGTCTCGATGAAGAAGAAGATGATGATGATGATGATGATGATGAATATTATGGTAATGATGATGGAGGTGACGAGATGATTGATGCGAAAGCTGAGGAGTTTATTGTGAGATTTTATGAACAAATGAGGGTGCAAAACCAGGCTTATACAGAACGTTACAATTTACAAACCTAAAGAGATGATGATGGTCTAATTCGCATACATATTGTAATTCTTCTATTCATTGAAGCATATTATATTACATGAGTACTACAATTTACACACATATATATATGCATGGAGACGTGCTTATCTATTAGTTGAAAGCGTTCTTAGGTTCGTTCTTTGTCTTTAACTATTTCGATTCATTTGATTTAAGGTATGAAATATATACATTCACTGAAATCAATTAGTCTTTCTCGATTATTGTATTATATGATTCAATGGTGAATCTACGCAAAAATTTATATCAATAATGTATATTATAAAAGATTATATCTGAGAGTTGTTTGCTTTTGTATTGATGTGGTGAAGGTGTATCCATATCGCAAAGCTAGATGCATCACATTCGCACCATACATCAAAATTAACTTGTGAAGCATGCATTATTATGTAGAACTTGATTGAAGTCTTATGAGGCAAATGATGTTGGCGTATTTTAAATATGACCGTGCTAAATGGCATTGAAAAGAATCGTCGTTGCCTCAAATTAATTATGATCGATGGTATTGGAAAGTCTACTTCCCATCCTAACAACACGTACGCCTTTTTCATATAGAATTTAAGCAATTAACTACATTTAGTACCAAAGTTAAACCAAGAAAATAGTCTACTACTTTTTCCAAGTCCAAATCTAGACTCTTAATTATATAAACTCCAAAATGTAAAATGCTAAATTTCATAAGTTTTGTAGACTACTAGTTTGTGGCGTTAGCTAGGTTCAAACTCGCTTGGTCTACAATATGAATATGTTGTTGACAAGTTATATCTTACAGCTAAAATCCTAATGTTGAAACTTTTTAAAACTCGCTAAGACGATCGCATTGATCCCTCTCTACCGCTTTCACTGTATAGTTTTGTTACGTTCGGCTACATTTGAGCCAAGTTTGGGCTATATAATAACTTATTGGGGCTTTAAAAAGCCTCTTAAAAGATTATTAGAATATTTGCTGCGGTCTGCGGAAAAGGAAATAAATATTCCGTGGAGAAAATAAAGGAAAAATATACAATATAATAAGAAATGAGTCGGTGTATATATATACCTAAAAAAGTAGAGAGACGTTAAAGATTCAAATTCAAAAAAGAAAAAAAAAGAAGAAAAAATAGCGTGGCAGCTTCGTAATTAATAACAAGAGTTAAGGCCAATATTGGATACAAACAAGTCTCCTGAATCGTGGCCTCCGAAGTAGACGCTCTTTGTATAAATACACTCGCATCAAACTCCAAAACCCTTATTACTCTCTTTTTGTCGAACTCGTCTGTTAAAAACAAATTCGATCGTTGATTGATTCGATTTAGCGGCGATGTCTCTCAGACCTAGCGCGAAGACGGAGGTACGACGGAATCGGTACAAAGTTGCGGTCGATGCGGATGAAGGACGGCGGAGGCGAGAGGATAACATGGTTGAGATCAGGAAGAACAAGAGAGAAGAAAATTTGCAGAAGAAGCGGCGCGAAGGAGTCGCGGCTTCTTTTGGCTCAGCCGCCTCACAACCGGAACAGGATCTTTCTTCTGCGAAGCAAGTATGTGATTATTTCATTTCACCTTTTAGTTTTTCCAATTTCATGTTCCGATCGTATCTTTTTTTTTTTCATATGAATATCTAAATTGGAGATCGATTTGTAATAGATTGGTGATGTTTCTGTGTATTTTTGGTGTGAGTGTTTGTTTCTGGAGATTTGCTTGGTTGTGAGATTGCTATATGGAATCTAGTTTTGGCTGTGTTGAGTTTGACATGTAGAGAGAATTAGGTTTAATATCTCAATGGAGATCATCTAATTTGCTTTCGCTAGAGCGGATTTGTGGATTATTATAGTTGTCTCTTCGTGTTACAGTTAAAAGACAATCTACCAGCTATGGTTGCTGGAATCTGGTCAGAGGATAGCAATTTACAATTGGAGGCGACAAATCTCTTGCGCAAAGTGCTTTCGATTGGTATGTGATTTATGTTATTAATCATCAATAGTATATAACAATCAGCGTTTTGGTTTAAGAGTCTTTAGCAGTTGTTTTCTTTTGGTTTCTTTTGTAGAGCAAAATCCTCCTATCAATGAGGTTGTACAATCTGGTGTTGTTCCTCGTGTTGTGAAGTTTCTTTCCAGGGATGACATTCCCAAACTTCAGGTGAGTCGCGCCTGCAATTGGTTTTTATGGATAGATTGATAGTTACTAGTTTGATGTATTTATTAACTTGCCTTTGCTGTTCATTTCTGTCCTGTGTTATAGTTTGAGGCAGCTTGGGCGCTCACCAATATTGCTTCAGGGACATCAGAGAATACAAGTGTCATCATTGAGAGTGGCGCTGTCCCAATATTCATCCAACTTCTCAGCTCTGCAAGTGAAGATGTCCGCGAACAGGTATTTGTGTAAATCCTCACTGTCATTGGTTTGTTTATTTATGTTCTCAAAGAAACTCTTAGACCTTAGGATCAAGTGTAAGATCAATGAGACTGTTACCATATTGATGTCTGTTTTTTCCTAGTATAGGCTGTTTGGGCGTTGGGAAATGTTGCTGGAGACTCGCCAAAATGCCGTGACCTTGTCCTAAGCTATGGTGCTATGATGCCTCTTCTGACTCAATTCAATGAGAATACAAAGCTTTCAATGTTGAGGAATGCTACATGGACATTGTCAAACTTCTGCAGAGGGAAACCTCAGCCTTCATTTGAACAGGTTTTCTTAAAGAACTTTTATTGACCAAATTTGAACTCTCCGTAATATTTTATAACATGCTTCTGATATGTTGTTTCTTTACGTTTTTTTGAGCAGACACAACCAGCTTTACCAGTTCTTGAGCGCCTTGTGCAATCAACAGATGAAGAAGTCCTTACAGATGCATGCTGGGCTCTGTCATACCTCTCGGATAATTCAAACGACAAAATACAAGCGGTCATTCAAGCAGGAGTTGTCCCTCGCCTCATCGGGCTCTTAGCGTAAGCATCTGATAATGATCTTAATTATAAAGGCCAGGCATGATTATGTTATCTAAATTATATGCTTCTTCTTCCTCTGCTTAGTCATTCATCACCATCAGTGCTGATTCCCGCTCTTCGTACAATTGGAAATATTGTAACGGGCGATGATCAACAGACTCAGGTGCATATAATAATATATTCACAATTCTACTTTGAGTTTTCAGAAGCAAATGTCTCTAACTCATTCCTTTAACACAGATGGTTCTCGACCATCAAGCGCTTCCTTGTCTTTTGAACCTTCTAAAAAGCACTTACAAGAAGAGTATCAAGAAGGAAGCTTGCTGGACTATCTCTAACATTACAGCTGGGAATGCAAATCAGATACAAGTGAGTTTAGTTTTCTATATGGCATTTAACAACAAAACTGAAAATTGAACTTTCCCATGTCTGATTTTATTTAATCCCGGATGTGCAGGCAGTGATTGAAGCAGGTATAATCCAGTCTCTTGTTTGGGTGCTTCAAAGTGCAGAATTCGAAGTAAAAAAAGAAGCTGCTTGGGCAATCTCAAATGCCACTTCTGGTGGCAATCACGATCAAATCAAGTAAGACACACAAAAACAAAAAAACTAATGTTTCCTGTAATTAAAAAAGGTCATTTTAAAAACATTTCTGTTTATAATTATTTGTTTCTGCTCAGGTTCATGGTGAACCAAGGCTGTATCAAACCGTTATGCGATCTCCTTACTTGCCCGGATCTGAAAGTCATAACGGTTTGCTTGGAAGCGCTAGAGAACATTCTCGTGGTTGGAGAATCAGAGAAGAACTTAGGTCACACAGGAGACGAAAACCTCTATGCTCAGATGATTGACGAAGCAGAAGGACTTGAGAAGATTGAGAATCTGCAAAGTCACGACAACAATGATATATATCAAAGAGCCGTGAAGATCCTTGAAGCCTTTTGGACGGAAGACAATGAGGAAGAAGGCAACGATGAGAATCATGCTCCACAATCTGGTTTCCAGTTCGGAAGCACTAATGTTCCTCCTGGTCAATTCAACTTTATTTGAAAGGTACTATAATAGTTGCTTGGACTAATGTTCCTCCTGGTAATTGTCACGAAGAAGAAATGTTCACCTCCTCTTTCTCTCCACGTCCACTTCTCAACTCGTGGATACGAAGAAACATTTGTACGTTTTAGGCGTCTTATTTTTGGAAGTTTTTGTCTCTATGTTACTACTAAAAATCATTTGGGGAAGAGAAACAATTATTCTATGTTGGCCGTTATTTCCTTTTTTCCATTAAAGTCCACTTTTTACTCTGTTATTGACTTTCCATATATTAGTGCTGTGCTATTACAAAATCGTGGTTATGTAACTTTAACCACAAACGTTTTATTCAACAGGTAAGTCATTTTGACCCGCAATATTAGAAAAAAACAGAGGAGCTAGAATAGGTCTTACATTCTAAACAAGAGCAATCGGCTTTCAAGAGACTTATGGAGTGTTTTATTTTATTTGGTCTATATATAGAAGTGATTAGTGAGTGATTAAGTGGTTATAATCATGGTCATAGTTTCTTTATGCGAGAAACCAGGGTTTGGCTTTGTGACAGTTTTGGTGTATTTAAAACGCCTTCGTTGTTTCATAACCCAACAGACAACAACAACAATAACTGCATAGCCAGACATAATGTTGTCTTCACCAGCTTTTCATGCAGCACGCTCTACTCTCGGTCGCCGTCTTCATGCAAAGAGACTAGCATCTTCTGGTCGAACCGCTGATCCGGAGATTCACGCTCGTAACGATGGAGACGAGCCTGGTCTTTTTCCATCAGACCCCGAAGTATATTTTTCAATATCTATCTACGTTACTTTCAAGTTTAGCTGTGTCAGAACTAAGTTGGTTGTGATATATGTGGTTGTAGGGTTTGGATGATGTAGCGAATCCCAAGACTCCAGCCGATGAGGATGTCCCGGAGATTCGACCCCCTGGTTTTGTAAAGGAACCGCTCACGCCGCCGAAAAACCCACGAGATACTTCGCACAAGCTTGAATCTACTCCTGTTGGTCTACCCGCAGATCTCAATTTCCAACAGAAACGAAACTAATACCAGAATTACGTACGCTTTAGCCGCCATGGCCTCTTTCCCATGAACGCAGAAATGCTTTACTTTAAAGTAGCTGTGAGAATAAATTTTGATAAAAAAAGTACTAGTCTTTCTGCTTTCTTGGGAGTAAAGAAAACTAGTGTACTCTTTTTTTTTTTCTAAATGTATCGCTTGTCTCACCGTACTTGGAGTTTATGTGAAATATGAGATTACACACACACGGAAGATTTGATTTCTGAGGATAAATGATGAATTGATTGATGATAAAAGACAGTTTTCACATGGTCCAGAAAGGGGTTTAATTTTTGTTCTTCACCAAAGATTCCTTATGTTATTATATTAGCATCCTCACCAAACTGTAAATTTAAAGAGAATCACATTCCAAAAGTTGATTGCTACTACTACGATACTGATAACGTTGTTAAAGAAAAAAAAGTATAGAAAAAGAAAGTCTTGTTTTGGGCCAACATGTATAGAACAAAAACACATTTTGAATAAGATCACAAGACTTTTGTGTACTCTCTTCCTCCTCCACCTTTGAGAAAAAAAAACTAGTGACAATAGAGTTTAACTTAGAAAGAAAGATGTGTGTATTTTGGGGACTAAATGAATAATACCGTCAGATCGAAACTAATTAGACTTCATCACTCTCAATTAACAAACATTAGATTTTAAAAGAGACTGAATGAATATAATGGAGCCAAGAATACTTGAGTCTCAATCGATGATGTCTTGCAACTGTTTTTGTTCCCACGCACCAAAGTAAAGAAAGAATCAACAGAAAATGAGTCGGGTCCGGGTACGGTTTGGGACCCAGGAGGCAGAGACTTTGTGAGAATCCGAGTCACGACCGGACGTGGAAGCCAGCCTGGTCTTAACTGTAATGGGCCTATGTGATTCTGAAGCGTAGACTAGACCGTACGGACCATGTTTTTTTCTTTTTAACACAAAAGAAAAAAAAAACACATTTCACAAGAGAAATGTATTTAAAAACTATTATATTAAGTATACTTAACAAAATGGCATACTTAACAAATTTGTGGATTCTGCCATATACAATAACAAAACTTCTAAGAACTGCCATTTAAAGAAATTCCTTCTCCCGCCTGCCACAAAGGCTTTGTAAAAAGACCAACTTACCCCATTACCTCTCTTCTTCTTCATATTCATTCTTTTCTTATTTCAACAATAAACAGTACCGACGGACCAGATCCGACGGACGAACTCCGACAGACGAACTCCGACGGACTAGATCCGGCGGATCATAACCAATTCCGGTGAACTCTAACCAGTTCCGTAGACCAGTTTTGGCAGACCAGTTTCGGCAGACCAGATTCGACGGCCCAGTTCCGAGTTCCGACAGACCATAACTCCAGCAGACGAGTTCCAGCAGACCACAGTCAGTTCTGGCAGACCAGATTCGGCGGACCAGTTTCGACCAACCAGAAAGACTGTGTGTTCTATTTCTGACGAGCCAATTCCGATGGACCAGATCTGGTAGACAATATCCGATGGACCAGACCCGACGTCTGTAGTATGTCCATATTTCGTTCTCTAACTTGTTGTTCCATTTTTTTATAAGCTAACTTGTCTATAATACATTATGTTAGTGTGCTAATAATGTTGGGTAGTGAGAAAGAACAACCAATAATGATGGACGATACATGTATTTATCTTGTCCGCCGTAATTATTGATGAAACAAGTTAGTTTATAATGATGGACGATACTATTTATTGAACCCACTTACTTCATTACCTAGAGGATATTACACTACATCACATGAAAACCCACTCAACAAATATCAAGGGTAAAATCGTCATAATTTTCTCCTTTGTGGCATGATTTGAAAGAAGCTTTCATTAATGGCAGTTTGACAAAATTGAGTTTCAAAAATGGCATACTTAACAAAATATAATAGTTTTTAAGTCTGCCATGTACAGTGACCAAACTCATAAGAAATGCCATTTCTATAAACTTCTTCTCCCGCCTGCCACAAGAACCATGTAAAAAGACCAACGTACCCCTGGACGAAATGGGCTGCTCTGTCTCTGTTGTGACTGTTTTTTTTTTTCTTTAACTCTTTTTCTTCTTCATCTTTTCTTTCTTTTTCCAACAACAAACAGTTTTAGCGGACCAGATCCGACGGACGAAATCCGGCGGACAAAATCTTGCAGACGAAGTCCAGCAGACCAAATCATGGGGACGAACTCCGACGGTCCAGATCCGACAGACCAGATTCGACTGACCAAATCCGGCGGACCATAGTCAATTATGGTCCAGATTCGGCAGACCAGGTTCGACGGACTATATTTGACGGAACAGTTCCGACAGACCATAACTCCAACGAACGAGTTCTGGCAGACCACTATCAGTTCTGATGAACTATAACCAGTTCAAGCAGACCATATTCGGCGGACTAGTTTCGACCAACCAGAAAGACGAGTGCCGATAGACCAGATCTGGTGGACAAGTTCTCGAATCTTGCGTACTACAAGACACACATCGAAGTTGTCTCTTGAAATCTGTCAAAATGGGTTTTTGATGGACCACATCTACTTTATATATTTTGTCCATCATATATTACTTACTCGTCCGATATATTTGACATGTATGGTCCATTACCCACAGAATATTAGACTATATCCCAGCAATTAATGGCTACTGCTGCCACCAGAAAAAAGCAAAATTTCTCTCTCTAATATCCAAGGCAAAATCGTCATTTTAAATTTCTTTGTGGCATGATTTGAAAGAAGCTTTCAATAATGGCAGAAACAGAAAATTGGCATTTTAAACAAAATTCCCTTAAATAATTACATAATTCAAAGCTTCTTCTCTAGACTCTCTACTACTACGTAAGGGTACGTTTAACGTACGTGTTAGATTTTTTTCCAAAGCCAAGTAGAAATATTTAAGATTCGCATTGGTCGTGTCGCTTGTGTCAGGCTAAACGACGACGTATTTAACGTAGATAACAAAATGGTCCACAGTTGAGAAAGTGAGATATTTAAGTGATTTTTGGTTTTGTGAAATAATAGTTAGTTATTGAACGTCAAATAATAGTTTGCTTTAAAAAAAACGTCCAATATAATAAAATTGCAATTTGACATTTTTAGTATGTGAAGAAAAACTTAAAAATATAAGTATTCACCAAATTTAGAAAAGTACATCCCTACTATAGTAAAAGAGAAGTACAAATGCTTCTTGGGTCGGGTTTAAAAAAAAAAATTAACCCGGAATTTTTCAGTTGGATCTTACTAAAAATTTAAGGATATTAAATACCAGTTTCCATATATATTATTTCGAAATTTACCAAATTAAACCATCAATATCGGTTTGGGAAAGTACATTAATCTTAATTTGTTTAAGGAAAAATACATTAATGTATGATTTTGTATATTGGTTTAACAAATTAACCTAAAAATCAGAAATATAAATTAAATATAAAATAATCATTATCAAATTATCCATAATATTTCAAAACAAAATCTTCCTTAAATATCCTATATTGATATTTGGATGTATAGTTTTCTCCTACATTAACTATGATCTTCACATCAGTTACGGGATATTTCATTTTCAACCATCTTTAATATCTATTTTTTTTTCTCTATGACCATCTTTAATATTTATTTGGCAATAGTTTCGAATTGCTGGCTTGATTATAAAACTAATCTTTTTCAATTTAACCCTAAGAAAATATGATCTATATAAATAAGTTTTTGCTACCAGAAAATTGTAACATCAACACAGATTTTACATTTAAACACGATAAGAAATAAGAAAGCATTGGCTCTTTATTTGTTTATTCTAGAGATTTGCAACTTTACAAAACTGCATGAAAGGTCCAAGTTAAAATCATGTATTTATGATTATGCGGTGTACCGCGGGTCAATCCCTAAATTTTAAAAATGATTCATTGTATAATTTTTTTTTTTCATTGTATAATATTTATACATGTATATATGTCACATATTGTTCTAAAATTAACAATCCAACTAAAATCATACAATTTAAATAATTTTGAACATATTCGAAACCAACACATACAATCTAAAAATGATAAAATTTAATTACTAATCAAAATAAAGTAAAGCAAACACAAATAAAATTATCTCGCAACGTACAAAGAACTAAAAACCCGGTAATTTTCCCCCGCACTATAGCGCGGGTCCGGACCTAGTATATTCGTACAGAATCAACCTTTCAAAAAACAAGAAACAAAAACCCTTAAATACTCAATCTCAACAATAGTTAATAACATTAAATATTTTATTCTGACTTTTCTGTTTTCTATATATATGTATTTTGGTCTTGAATCTTTGATATTAACAGACAAAAAAAAAACATAAACATGTGTTTAACTCTAAACCATAAACATAACACAACATAAGTTGTAGCTCATATTCCATTTTACATCTCTACTTTGAATCTCTGTTTTATATCCTAATCCGTTAATTTTTTATTATTATATTATTTAATGTGAGAATAATAATAATAATAATAATAATAATAAGAATTAAGAAGTAAATCATGGCAGGTCTAAAATATTCAGATTTTTTTTTTTTGGTAATTAAATATTCAGATCATTATTATAATGATGTTGTAGTAATAAATAGCAAAAAATTAGAATAGAAGACAGACAATGACAGCTGGTCTTTTATTTTTCCTGTAATTACACACATAAGATTTGTTTTTCTCATTAAATTAAATATTTATTATAAAAATATTCCAACTTGACGTTAATAATTACAAATACATACTACAAAATAATATAATATGGCAGCATTCACTCTCGTTTTTTTTTTCTTTTCAAAAAAAATATAAAATATTTAATTAAACCATTGATTCTCTCACTCTCTCTTTCTTTCTTCTAGTCCGAGAGCAGAGAAGAAGATGTGTGGCACTCTGTTTTCTTATCGTGAGCTTCCTTTGACTATTTTCGTTGACTAATGGACTCTTCTTCTTCTTCTTCTCCATCTCCTCTTCAAGAACAAATCATCTCTTCTCGTTGTTTCTAAGGGTTTCTTTGATTTTTAGTTTCCTTGGAAATGGTTTGGGCGACGAGGTTTTCAGGATTTTTCTCCGCCGCGATGGCAGTGATCGTGTTATCTCCGTCGCTCCAGTCATTTCCTCCGGCGGCGGCAATCCGCTCGTCTCCATCACCGGTATACAGAAAGTCTCCGGTGGTTTTCAACAATGGCGAGGAATGTCTCTCCTCCGACGGCGGCGTCTGCAACCCGTCGTTGGTCCACGTGGCGATCACGTTAGACGTGGAGTACCTGCGTGGCTCAATCGCAGCCGTTAACTCAATCCTGCAGCACTCGATGTGTCCGGAGAGCGTCTTTTTCCACTTCATCCTGGAGGAGACGAACCACCGGCTGCTGGAGTCTCTGGTGAGATGGGTTTTCCCGGGACTGAAGTTCAATATTTACGATTTTGCCCCTGAGAGGGTTCGCGGTTTGATATCTTCTTCCGTGAGACAAGCTCTTGAGCAGCCTTTGAATTACGCTCGGAACTACTTGGCGGACCTGCTCGAGCCTTGCGTCAACCGTGTCATATACTTGGATTCGGACCTCGTCGTCGTGGACGATGTTGCCAAGCTCTGGAGGACTAGTCTAGTGGGATCGAGGGTCATCGGGGCTCCAGAGTATTGTCACGCGAATTTCACGAGATACTTCACCAGAGGGTTCTGGTCGGAGGAGAGATTCTCCGGCGCCTTTAGAGGGAGGAAGCCTTGTTACTTCAACACAGGTGTGATGGTGATAGATCTCAAGAAATGGAGAAGCGGGGGTTACACCAAACGTATAGAGAGATGGATGGAGGTTCAGAAGTCACAGAGGATTTACGACCTCGGCTCTCTTCCACCGTTTCTTCTTGTTTTCGCCGGTCACGTCGCTCCCATCTCGCACCGGTGGAACCAGCATGGCCTCGGTGGCGACAATGTTAGAGGTAGCTGTCGTGATTTGCACCCTGGTCCTGTGAGTTTGCTGCATTGGTCTGGTAGTGGCAAGCCATGGTTAAGACTCGATTCAAAACGCCCTTGCCCGTTAGACGCATTATGGACGCCTTACGACTTGTATCGACACTCGCTTTGACTACTGTTTGATTAGCTAGCTAGCTGCTTATTACTACTAGCTAGTATGTTTTACTTTCTTCATCAGTTGTTGAACTACTAGCTAGATGATTCTTTGGAACCTACCTGCTCTTGTGTTTTTTCTTTAAAGACTCTCGCTTTGAGTTTCCTTTGAGCACATGTGAAGAAGGCTCTACACTTTTAATTGATAATCTGCAAATAAGCTCTAGTTTGATAAGTTTGATGCGAACATTGTTGTTACTGTCGGTGGATATGAGAGGGTGTGCCACTAGGGTTGTCTTCATCAAAGGGGCAAAAGACTAGTGGCTCCTACTAGCTAGGGTCTGTCTGATCAGAACAACAATGTTTTTATATATACTGAAGTATTATTGATTGTTGTTTTAAGCTGTCGAATTTGTTGAGTACCATATCTTTGTTTGTTTGAAAGAGCTTGTCTTGTGACCAAGCACTGTTCTCTTCACCATCTCTATAAACAGAAACACACTCAGCTATTAGGCTTATATTATTAGAGAGTTGGTCTTTCTTTGTGTCTTGTGTGGTGGTATCTCAAAGACGTACGTTCTCTTTTAGTTTGTTCTTTATAAAAATGTCTGAAAGCAAAGGGTACCGATTCTTTTTTCTTCGGACCCCATTTTGTAGAGGTGACAATGGCTCTCACATTCCATCCACCTATTATTATCTTGTTTTGGAGCAGTCTCGATGGTGCTTCTTCTTTCTATATGAGGAGTTAGTAGATGAATGTTTCATGGGTCTTGAGTCTTGATCGGCCCGGCATGGAAGATTATTGGTTAAGGAAAGTGAAGAGATTGATTTGGTTAATGGATGACTTACTAAAGGCCTGTCGGTCCAAAATTGTAAATAAGTTTATCCAAATGAATGAAATGAATATGTACATATTCCGAAATCAATTAACAACGAGGCTTTTTGTTTTGTCCCATCATCTGCTTCTTCCAAATGAATAATTTATCCAAATGAATGAATTTATTACTAATTCTTTTATACAAAATGTATAAACGACTATTGAAGAGCTTCGACTCATGTGCTCAAATGGGACTGAAGAAGCTTCCTCGCAGCGGATATAAACCCTGTAAAAGATTTTTCCATTACAATATAATCGAGCTTCTACAATAATGGAATATGAGACAAATGTTTGTCAGAAGAATCAAGACTTGCCTAAAAACAGAGGAGAAGGTCTAGTTGGTCTTGACTTAAACTCTGGATGAAACTGAACTCCAACATAAAATGGATGATCCTGATACTCAATTACCTGTTCAAAACAAACCAAAACCAGAAGAAGTTTTTGCAGAGAAAAAAACCAAACAAGAGACCAACAACAAACCACTAAGATGATGTTTTTTCTTTCTTTCTATACCTCAACTCGTTTCCCTGTCTCATCTTTACCCACAAGTCTTAAACCAGCTTCCTCAAGTACTTGAGCTACTTCTGGATTCACCTAACATCATTGAATAGAAACACCTTTTTCACATCATTGTTATACATACATTCACGTTAGTCCAGCTTACCTCAAAGGAACCGCCATTAATGAAATACCAACCTCGTAACGGTGCCTATGCCTTTCGTCTACATAACAAACGTCACCATATCTGGTAAATGCCCGCCAAAAAGTAAAAAAAAAAAACAACAACTTAGCTGTGTATTTAAACCATGAACTGAAAACTACAAAGATGCTCAAGGAAACGGCAAAGATCAGAGCAAAGTTTTTTTAACTTACAGTTTTGAAGTGAGAGAGTCTCGGTTCTGTAAATGTGTTCTTCGGGATCCAAGTCTCATTGTGCTTCCCATATGTGTTCTTGAGCCCTGTAAGGGGTAATATCAACAATAGTAAGAGGAGAATGAACGGAATCCATTGATAGGTTTCTGAATACATACTTCTGGCATAAATATAACAACAGGGTCAGCTGTCTGAGCATCGAACTCGGTGCTATTTGCTCTTTCCAAACCCAAAACCTGAAACCAATGTTAAATTAGTCTTAGGATGACAAGCAAGTTGAAGTTATTTCAGAATTTTACAAGATACATATCTTACAGATCTGGCAAACTCAATTACTGCAATTTGCATCCCCAAGCAGATCCCAAGATAAGGAATTTTGTTCTCTCTAGCGTATTTGGCTGCTAAAACCATTCCGCTCACGCCACGATCTCCAAAGCCACCAGGAACCAGAATGCATTCTGCGCTCTGTAAACAACAGAAACATAGACTATATTGTCGGCAAACAAATGTCTCCTTTTCAATAGACAAGTGGAGAGGTTACGGACTAAATCAAACCAGAGAATTCTAAGACTGAATTTCTCACCTTCAAGATCTTCCAAGCAGCAGCATGTGCCTCCGGAGTCTGCAAAGGAGAAAGTGATGCTTCAAAGGAAAACAGTGATAGTGGGGATAAAAACTCTGGATCAGAAAGATTCAAGAAGATGAAAGTCATTAATGATATATTACCAATTTCTCACTTTCATCATCAAGATCCGAAGCTGCAATCCATTCGATATGTGGTTTCAATGAACATGCAATGCAGGCATGAAGAAGGGCCTGGAATGGAGAAGGACAAAACGAAGAGTAAAGGCAATGCGTCAGAAATTAAATTTGGAGACGACCAAAGTCTAAAATATACTTTCCACACCTTAACAACCGACAGATAAGAATCCGTTAGACCAATGTACTTTCCAACCATAGCAATTTTGACCTGTGCATAACAAAAGGACAATCTCTTTGAATAAGAAAAGTAAACAAAGTGTAGTAGCCAGTTGTAAAATACACACATGATCTGTCAAGTTATCGAAAGTCTCAGCCATCTTAGTCCAGCTATCCAGATCAGGTGCTGTTGCAACGCTGAAAGAGATGAGTTTATGGAATTTCGTGTTAGGCATGAAAGTATTCAATTATGATATCAGAATATTGACCACCATAAGAAATGAGACTAACCTAGTTAGATTCAGTTGTTTGAGAATCGAGTGATGAGCGTTTTGATTCTGCAGCAAGAGCATACATGGAAAACTACTTAAATAACAAAAACACATATTTCTATTTCCTTTTCTTGGAAGAGCCAAAAACGCATCCAACTTACACGGAGTAGGAGAGGAACATGCCAAATGTTTGGAACATCATGGATATTGAGAATATTAGCTGCCTGTAAGAAGTCATCAAGTGATATGAGATCCCAACCGCATAATATATACATCAGTTCAGTAAATACATAACGTAGACTTCACACAAAACGTATACCGCCACATGACAAAACTGAGACAATTTTGCCTTTGTAGTTTCCAGCAGTGGCTGTAGAAAAAAATAAAAGAAAAAAGACATGTCAAGACTCTCTGCAGCTACAGCCTAGAGTGAGTGGCAAAACTTTTCCAAGGTGTATGCAAAATTATAAGTGAACTCAGTAAGTTTTGAAGCTATACCTGAGCAGAGCGACATGCCAAAAAGTGAGGAGTCAATCCCAAAGCTCTTAGTTCTCGGACACTGTGTTGGGTTGGCTTTGTTTTCTGCATGAAAGGTTTAAGCAGATTTTAAAGTTTACCATGAATGAAATGGGATGTAAAGTATTTCAGTGCTAGCTTGAGGCTTGAGCAGATGAAAATATATATTCTACCTGCTCCCCAACAACCCCCAGAACAGGAATCAAGCTCACGTGAATCAGGCAAAAATTTTCTTGTCCTAGCAAGGGAAATATATGAAAAAAATATGATTTAAGAAAAAAGCAGAGAAGAAACCAAGAGGAGGAAGATTCACAGGCTTACCAACTGAGAATGACAATTGTCTCAAGGCCTCGATAAAGGGCATTGATTCGATGTCACCTATGGTATAAGGAGAAGAAAAGAAAGTAAGATAAGGATCTTTAAAACCCTGGTCAAGTAAAGGAGAAATGAATTTCGAATTACCAACAGTTCCTCCAAGCTCAATAACACAAACATCAGCTTGGCCTTCCTTTCCATCCACAGGAATCAGAGAGACAGACTCAATCCAATCCTTGATGGCATCAGTAATGTGTGGAACAACCTACAATCAAACCCCCGTGATCTGGTCAACCTTAGAGCTAACGTACGTACAACACAAACAAAGTTTTACCTGAACAGTCTTCCCAAGGTAGTCGCCTTTGCGCTCCTTGTCAAGAACAGACTGGTGAGAGAGAAAAGGTTACTCACATAAGGAAAAAGTGAAAAGCATACATCTCTAAGTAACACAACCAAATGAGTACCTGATAGATCTTCCCAGTGGTTATGTTGTTGTCTTTGGTTAGTCTCACATCGAGAAATCTTTCGTAGTTGCCCAAATCAAGGTCAACCTTAATTAGAGATATGCAAGCCATTCTTTTAGCAACTAGCCTTTTTTTTTTTTTTTTTTAACGAAACAGAAGTGTAATCAAAGAAATTAACAAGAAAACCTCTCCACCATCATCGAGAACAAAGACCTCTCCATGCTCAAAAGGGGACATAGTACCAGCATCTGTGTTCAAATATGGATCTGTCGGAGAGAGTGTAATAAGAAGGTGTTGTTAAAATTGCAATAATCTCTAGTCGAAAGAAAGTGGAGAGAGAAGAGAAGAGATGTGAACCAATTTTAATGGAGGTAACTCGAAGGCCACAAGCTTTAAGCACGACGCCGATACTACTGGCTGTAACGCCTTTGCCAAGCCCACTCACAACTCCTCCAGTCACCAACACGTACTTCATCGAACAGGGCTAGTCTGGAGAGAAGGAACGCACACACTAACTCTGTTTTTTTGTGTGTCAACGTCTGATCGGAACACCAACAAACAACTCTGGTGGTTTCACTTTCCCAATCCATCCATAGACTTTTCTTTTCTACGATCGATTCTATTCAACCACTAGTATGCTCCCACGTGTTCCGCTCTTCTTTTTTTTTTTTTTAATATCTTTCCGGTCGACAAAACTACTTAACAATTTCCTTTTTTCTAATAAAACCAAATTAGAAATTTCCCTTTTTTCTTTATAACAAAAATTTTCCTTTTTTCTTTATAACAAATGTAACAATTTCCTTTTAAAAAAGAGAAAATTGTATTCTCTGCCATGAACAGTGTCATTTCTTATAAGAAATGCCACTTTCATTCCAATCTTCTAAGAAATGCCATAGGACCCACTTTAACTTATTAAAATGTCAATTCTATCACTCACTCAAACTTTCTCTCTTTTCTTTCATTTTTTCTCATCTCTTTCTTTCTCTTCTTCTTTCATTTTTTCTTTCTTTCTTTCTCTTCTTCTTTCATCTTATCTTTCTTCAACAACAAACAAATCTCTCTACTATTCCGGCAGACTAGTTCCGGCGAACCATTTATGGTGGACCAGTTCCGGCGGACCAGTTGCAGATCCGGCGGACCAGTTGCAGTTCCGGCGGACCAGTTGCAGTTCCGGTGGACCAGTTCCAGTTCCGGCGGACCAGTTCCAGTTCCGGCGGACCAGTTCCAGTTCCAGCGGAATATAACCAGTCTCAGTAGACCAGATCTGATAGACGAGATATGACAGACCAGTTTCGATGGACCAATTCTGGAGTATCAGATCCGGCAAACCAGTTTCAGTAGATCATATCAGGTGAAGAAGTTACAGCGGACCATAACCAGTTTTGATGGACCAGATCTGGTGGACCAGAATCGGTAGACCAAACTTGTCCATCCTACAGATTTCTTGAAACCACAAGAAATTAAGCAGAAGATAAAACAAATGATGCATCTATGGAAGATATCATCAATGATCCATCTAGGTATACACTTTCGATCACACATTTGTGCGTTGATGGACTAGATTCGGTGGACTAGATCTGATGTCTGTAATATGTCCATTTTTTATTTCTTAATTTGTTGTTCATTATACGTATATAGTAAAAGCAAAGAGTATCGGCACAAAAAAAAAACTTGTCTATTAATTAATGTCTATAATTGATTTATGTCAGTTTTTTTGTCTTCTTTCTTTGAGGGCATTTTTGTCTTTTTATTTTACAATAAAAATGAATATGGCATTTTACAAAATACAAAGTTGAAAGTGGCAGTTTTAAAAGTTTGAGTTTTGAAAGTGGCATTTTACATAAAATTCCCTTTTAAAAACTTAACAATTTCCTTTTTTTTTTCTTTCATATAACAAATATATAAAAAGGAAAATTTTCATTGTTTTATTTTGGTCGAGACCTCTTTGTTTATAAATAGAGACTCATTACTCTCACTTAATTCATCCCGGAGAAATAAAAAATTAGAACACATTCTCCACAGAGAGTGAGAGACAGAGAGAGAGAGAGAGAGCGTTCGATTCTAATGGCGACGAGAGAGCAAACACAGATGAACGCACAGAGGTATCTTCTTGTGTTCTTCTTACCTATGAATCGATTTCGTGTGAATGTTTTTGCTTTTGAAATAAAGAGTTTTCTTTCTCACAGGGTTCAATGGCGAGGAGAGAGCAAAACGAGTCAGATGTATCTTTCTAACCCTATTAATCGATTTTGCTTGTGATGATAAAATTTTCGTACTTTGTATGTGTCATCTTTATTAACGGGTTTGTTGTTTCTTTTTAGGTGAATCGAAACCAGGACGATGGCTCGGATGTTTACAAGGACGAAGTTGTTCCAGAACAAAAACGGTTGTCGGCTTTCTTACAGTAAACAAATTCAAACTTATCTAGGTCTTTCTTCCATAAAAGAGAGTTGAACTTGCTTGTTAATGGCTTTGTTTGTTTGTTTTTTTTTTGGTTTTGGGTGAAACAGGTGTGTGTTCGTGTTCCAACCAGGAGGGACGATGATATATTTGACTCAGATTAATGTTTTGATGTTAGATGAAGTGGATTCAGAACAATCACGGTCGTCGGCGTGTTCTTACAGTTACCACATCAAACTGATCGATGAAAAGTTATAGATAGGTATTTTTCTTTACTTTGCACCTCCTCTTCTCTTGTCCGCTTCCTCAAATTTTCAGTTTTCAATTTTAGTGGGATTGTGACTGAGATTTTGTCTTCACATAAGTTGTTATTCTAATTCAGACTTCTAATTCTATATTTTTGTGTAGATATGGTATGGTTTGAAGAATGAAGAAGATTCAGAACAAGAGGTAGTGTTGATGTGTTGCCTTTGAAATAAGAGTTTGTTTTTGTATATGGAATCTTAATTCATGGGTTTGTTGTTTCTTTTTTGGGTGAAACAAAATAGGTGTGTGTGTGTGTGTGCGTGTTCCAACTAGGACTATGACTCAGATTTTTTCAAGGAAGTACCAAGTAGATTCAGAATACAAAAAGGTCGCCAGCGTGTTCTTACAATAACAACATCTTGTCCGCTTCCTCGAATTTGTTTTCGTTTAGGCTGTTGTTTTAACAAAGCTTCTTTCTAATTTTTATATTTTTGTGCTGATCAGAGATATGCTATGTTTTGAAGAATAAAGAAGATTCAGAACTAAACAAAAACAAACTTCGTCCTACGGTAACAACGTAACTTTGATTTTTTTTTCATTGTTTTCTTTGTTGCTTCTTTAGATGATGGAGATATACATATAGTTTACTTATATACTTATAGGATTGACCGGCCCAAGTCAACAACAACAACAACAACAACAATGGGAAAAATCCTCTGTAAGTAAATACTTATTATGATTTTATTTCTTTCTGTTTCAAGTTGGATCACTTAACCAATGATACTCTCTTTCTTTTTCTTTTGTGTGTTTTTATCACCATCACATTTTTTTCTCTACTCTCAGAATCAAAGCATCGTTGATGAATAATATTTGTTGGAAGTAGTGTTTTCGTGTCTCTCAGTGATGGATGTTCAGAGGACATGTCGTTTCTTCTTCAACTCTCATTGGACTTGACGAGAAATCCACAGCAGAAAAGGTAAAAATTTTGGGGGTTTGCTGTGTGTTTCTTCAACTCTCATCTAAATGTTTTGCTTTATTAAATATGAATTTTGTTTTGTATACATGATCTTGATGATGGAGAAGTTTTTGTTTTGTTGTATGCATGATTCAATTTCTTCTCATTATCGTTATAAGGGATTATGCTGAATTATGGACCTAATCGATGGAGATATATGCAGTAAGTCATCTCAAATTCCTCTATACTTTTTTATATTTTCTTTTGTTTCAACTTTATCTATCTCCATTAACCAATATTCTTTTTTTGTGTTTATTGAACAACAAGTTGCTATTGAAGTGGAACTCGACAAGGCACCAGAATTCAAAGCAAAACTTGTGAAAAAAAGGTACTTGTCATTGCCTCATGCCAACTATTTCCTTTCCACAGGTTACAAACAATTGAGGTACTCTTTGATACCTTTTAACTTCTTCTTTTTTTTTTAAATTATAGGATGGTGATGTTTTTTTAAAACCAGTTTCTCAATGAGATAAGTCAATGGACCTTAAGAAGCTGCAAACTGCTAGAAAGATGGTTAATCTACTCAGGCCAAAACACCAGTCACATCCGTCTCAAGCCAATGGCAGTTAACTGAAGATGATGAAAAGGTAGCTCACATTCTTAATTAATAACCATTCTGATACCCCAAATTTGGTTTCAAAGTTCCATTTGTAATTACTGTTTTTTTTTCTTTTTTTTTTGTGCGTTTATTTCCTCATTGCAGGGAAAAGAGTGTTTAAGCATAGCTAGCTCTACAAAACTGATTCAGGAAAATAAAGCTATCAAAAGGCGAGATGATAAACTAGAGGTACATTCTGATTCCACAGGTAATAAACTACTAAGGTACTCTCCGATTCCATTGAATTTTTCTTATATTTTTTTCTTTTTTGGGTGGAACGAAACAGGTGTGTGGTTGTGTTCGTGTTTCAACTAGGACGATGACTCAGAGTTTTTCAAAGAAGTACGAAGTAGATTCAGAACAAAACTGGTGACCGGTTCTTACATTAACGATATCAAATTGATTGGTTAAAAGGTATAGATTGGTTGTTTTGTCCGCTTCCTCAAATTTTCCTTTATTTTACTTTTAGATGGGAATGTGACTGAGATTTTGTTTTCACTGAGGTTGTTGTTTTAAACTTTTAACAAAGTTTCTTCTAATTTAATATTTTTGTGCAGATCGGAGATATGCTATGTTTTGAAGAATGAAGAAGATCCATAACCAAACAGAAACAAATATCTCCTTAGTGTAACAACGTCAAACTGAGATTTTTTCATTGTTTTCTTTGTTGTTTCTCTAGATGATGGAGATATACATATAGTTCACTCTTTCTTCACATGTATAATTTTAGGGATGATCGGGCCAAGTCAACAACAACAAATACAATTGGAAAAATCCTCTGTAAGTAAACACTTATTCAGATCTTATTATGATTTTATTTCCTTCTGTTTCAAGTTTTATCACTAATCAATAATAATCTCTTTTTTTTCTTTCTTTAGTGTGTTATATATCTTATCACTTTCACTTTCACCTTCTCTTCTCTACTCTACTCTCAGAATCCAAGCATTGTTGATGAATAGTATATGTCGGAAGTATTGTTTTCGTGTCTTTTCAAGTGATGGATGTTCAAAGGACATGGCGTTTCTTCTTCAACTTTCATCTCATTTGACGAAAAGTTCACAAAGGAAAAGGTAAAAAAATCTTGGGGTTTACTCAACTCTCTCATCTGAATGTTTTGCTTTCTGAAATATAATTTTTGTTTGTATATATGATCTTGATGGTGATGGAGATTTTTTGGTTTTGTCGTTAATGCTTTTCTAGATGATGGAGATATATGGTGATTTACTTTCTTCTCATTATTATTATTAGGGCTGTTGCTGAATTATGGACCCAATCGATGAAGATATATGTTGTTAGTCATCTCAAATTCTTCTATGCGTTTCTATCTTTTCTTATGTTTCAAGTTTTTCTATTTCCCTCAACCAATATTCTTTTTGTTTTTGTTTTTGTTTTTGTGTTTGTTGAACAATTGCTATTGTAGTGTAACTCGACAAGGCACCAGAATTCAAAGCAAAAATTGTGAACAAAAAGGTACTTGTCATTGCCTCATGCCAGTAATTCCATTCCACAGGTAATAAACAATTGAGGTACTCTCTGATTCCTTTAAACTTTTCTATGATCTCTTTTTCTTTTTGACTAACTTCCAGGATGATGATGTTTTCCTAACAGTTGTTGCTCAAGGAGATAAGTCAATGGTCTTTAAGAAGCTGCAAACTGCTAGAAAGTTGGTTACTCACTTAATCCGCTTAGGAATCCGTCTGCACTCAAGCTAAAAAACAAGTCGCAACTGTCCCAAGCCAAAGGCAGTCATAAAAAATTGTAAAAAGGTAGCTCACGTTCTTATTAATAACCATTCTGACACTCAAATATTTTTCACGTTCCTATTGTAATTGTGTTTTTTTTGTGCGTTTATCACTGCAGGGAAAAGAGTGTTAAAACACACATAGCTCTACCAAACTGATTCAAGAAAATAAAGCTATCAAAAGGCGAAGCTAGATGATAAACTATTGAGGTACTCTTTGATTCCTTTTAACTTTTCTATTTTTTTTCTTTTTTTGGGTGAAACGAAACATATGTGTTTCTGTGTTCGTGTTCCAACTAGGATGATAACTCAGAATTTTTCAAGGACGTACGAAGTAGATTTAGAACAAAAATGGTGGTTGGTGTGTTCTTATAATAACAACATCAAACTGATTGGTTAAAAGGTATAGATAGGTTGTCTTGTCCGCTTACTCGAATTTTCTTTTGTTTCAATTTTGGATGGGAATGAGACTGAGATTTTGTTTTCACTAAGACTAACAGTTTTAACGAAGTTTCTAATGTTATATTTTGTGCAGATAGGAGATATGCTATGTTTTGAAGAATGAAGAAGATCCAGAACCAAACAAAGACGAACTTCGCCTTACGGTTCAACGTCAGTTTTTTATTGTTTTCTTTGTTGTTTCTCAAGATGATGGATACATATAGTTCACTCTTTCTTCGCATGCATAAGTTTAGGGATGACAGGCCCAAGTAAAAAACAACAACAATGGGAAAAATCATCTGTAAGTAAACACTTGTTAAGATCCTTATTATGATTTTATTTCTTTCTGTTTCACTTAACCAATACTAATCTCTTTTCTTTTTCTTTTGTGTGCTATATATCTTATCACCTTCAACTTCTCTTATCTACTCTCAGAATCCAAGCATTGTTGATGAATCGTATCTGTTTGGAGTATTGTTTTTGTGTCTTTTCAAGTGATGGATGTCCAGAGGACATGGCGTTTCTTCTTCAACTTTCATCTGATTTGACGAGAAAGTCCACAAAGAAAAAGGTAAAAAAATCTTGGGGTTTACTCTGTGTTTCTAAAAGCTCTCTCATCTGAATGTTTTGCTTTCTTAAATGTAAATTTTGTTTTATATATGATCTTGATGATGATGGAGATTTTTTGGTTTTGTTGTTGCTGCTTCTCTAGATGATGGAGATATATGGATATTTACTTTCTTCTCATTTTTATTATCAGGGATGATGCTGAATAATGGACCCAATCGATGGAGGTATATGCTGTAAGTCATCTCGAATTCCTCTCTGCTTATTTTCTTTTTTTTCAAGTTTATCTATCTCCCTCAACCAATATCCCTTTTATTGTTGTGTTTGTTGAATAAGTTGTTATTGAAGTGGAATTCGACAAGGCATCAGAGTTCAAAGCAAAACTTCTCAACAAAAAGGTACTTGTCATGCCTCATGCCAACAATTCCCTTCCACATGTAATAAACAATTGAGGTACTCTCTGGTTCCTTATAACTTTTCTCTTATCTTATCTTTTTTTTTTTGATTAACTTCCATGATGGTGCTGTTTTCTCAAGGCGATAAGTCAATAGACCATAAAAAGCTGCAAATTGCTAGAAAGATGGTTTATCTACTAAGGAATCCGTCTGCACTCAAGCCAAAAAACCAGTCAAACCAGTCACAACTGACTCAAGATTGTTGCTCGGGATGCTCGGGATTGAGGTGATAAGCGAGATTCACCTCGGGTTGCCCACCCGCCACTAACAAACCTTTTCTTTCCCGTTTCACCTTCTCCAGTCATCATTATTGTAACTTTAGTGTTGTTGATAAAGACGGAGATCGACGCCACAAGAGCCATTTCACTAGTAGTAGTAATAGTAGTGCATAAAGACAAAAGGATATTAGTATGTTAATCCTTTTACTTGTGTTTGTAAGCAAGTCCAATTCTGTCACTATTCAGCATTCTATCACATCTACGCTATCATGGAGACGAAATTCTTGGCAACTGTGCTAACCACGCCGAAATCAACTAATCCTTGTTTTAACCCCGAAACTGTGGTACATGTTCGTGGGCTTAACTGGATGAGTGAATGGCAGGTGCTATTATTTGGGACTGGAGAAACGACACAACTTCAGTCTGAATGATCTCAACGTAGTTGCCAATGGCTACGCCTGCTTTAGAAGCTTTAACAAAGAAGATGGACTTTGCGAGTTGTGTCCTTAATGCTTTCCAATGTGAGCAAGAGAAGGGGACTTTTGTGGGCAAGCTCATTGACAATTCACATATCCCTCAGTACATGAAAGATTACGATAGAGGAGAAGACATTGAGGTTTGGCAGATCAAATATATATTTTGATTAACATTCCAATTTGATTTGCATTTCTTTTGCTGTTAAAAACAGTCCAATGCAGAACGAATCCGCATTACTCTCAACAATAATTAAATCGAAGAAACAACCAAAACTTATATTGAAACAAAAAAAAAGGGAATAGTAAAAAATTACTTCCTATAAAAATGTTATCCAAAGGAAGAACAAAATATAGTTTTTTTTTTTGGGGAGATAATAATAGCAAACTAGAAAATGAGGTTCACTATTATATCACTAAAGAAAGAACGAAAAACAAAATCGATACAACACCATCTAGCTCTCGTGATTGATTTAGGCACTACCTTCGGTGGGATTCTCAGTCTCCATTGGTTCGGAAGAAGCTGGTGGCTGTGGCTCACTCTTGCCCTCATCTGTCGGTTCACCTGCCTTGGCTTGTGGTGCCTCTGCTTTAGCCGGCTTTGGTTTGGTCATTATAGGCCTGCAAAACCTACAAAACATCCAAAGCATGTTCACTTTCTATATCATGTAGCAATTCTCTTCGGATAAACAAAAACAAAGAGCCTTGCTTACTTGTCCAATGCCTCCGCCTTGTTTGAAACATCAGCTGACAATATGGCCGGAGTGGCATACTTGGGAAGCGTGTCTTGCTGCTGCTTCTTCTCCCGCAGCCAAGCTTCAGCTTCCACACACTCGTTCAAAACCTTCATTATTGCACAACGACAAATAGAGCATCAGATCATCTTCTCATACCTGAAAATTTCACGAATTGTTCTGTGCTTTATAGATGAGCCAAATTATTACCTTTTGCTTCTCTGCCAATTCAATGTGGTCAAACTTTGGATCATTAGACATAGCTGCCTCTCTATAGCTGTTAATGCAGTAACCTAGCTGATCAATGACCGACCCTCTTTCTAATGACTCCTTGTAACGCACTTCAACAGGGTCACCCACCTATAAAATATCAAATCCCCAACCTCTGTCAAAATATTGTCTTGAAAAATGCTTTTTTGCACAGAAGTGTCATCCTGTGAAGTACCTTCTTGAGCTCTTCGAGCTTCGCAACATAAACACCTTTAGTCTCATCTTCCCCATCTTCGTACAACCAGTCCTCCACTTCCTGCAGCTTCACCAGGAATGCTTCCCTATCTGCGTCAGTGATGTATTCCTGGTATTTATCGCTCAGCTGAAAACAAGATATGTCAGTACTCTATACTCTAAACCTTTTTAATGCATACTCCCAATGCAGATGAAGAAGATAAGGATTCTCACTTTGTTCCTCATATCATAAACATAGGATTCAACAGCATTCTTGCGGTCCTTGGTCTCCTCCATAACTCTGTCTTGCAAAGCCATCTCAAATTCCTTCTCCACCGCCTTTTCGACCTCAACAGATTTCAAGGCACCATAGACCACTTCTGACAGAGGTACATTTGTTTTCTTCACCTTCTTCTTTGGAGCCTCGGCCTGTACACCCCATTAATAAATATCAATTCAAAAGCAAATGAACAGAGTAAGCAGTACCAGTTAAGTAGAGAAACTAACCTTTGAATCGGTTTCCATTTGCACCGGCTTGTCAGCAGACTCTGGAGCACCATTATCAGTACCAGCTGCATCACTGATTTCCTTTGCATCCTGCATGTTAACATCAGAGTCCCCAGAAGCAGGAGCTGTCTCAGCAGATGTAGTCTCCATCTTAGTAGTTTCTTCTGATTGTTCTTTAGAGACATGAACTTCAACTTGTTCCTCTTCCAAAAGCTGAATTTAGGGGAGAGAAATCATAAATTAAATGAACCCCAAGTTCATGTGGGAAGCCACTGTTAAGAGTGATCAATTTGTAATGAATTATTAGAGAGAATGAACCTTTAAATAGTTCAATTAAAGAAACTTACAGTTGCCGATTCAACTGAGACAATTCCATGCAGGTTCAATCTCACTTTCACTTTAAGCTTTGCCCTCTCACCCTTTGATGACTGGAAGGGACCAATCTACAAAAACGAGATTAACCATGAGAAAAAAGAGCGCTACAGTCATACGCAGAAATGACAATGGGGGAAGATCATACCGAGTATGTGCTGATTTTTGGAGGTGCTTGCAACTCGTTCACATCACTGTACTGCACATCAACAGAGAATGTTCCAGAACGATAAAATGTTAGAGCCTTGACACTAGGAATGGGATTTCCTTTGGGAAAAACAATGGTGCTCTGCTGATTCTCGGCTCCACCATTTTGAGCATCGGAAGCTAGTCCTTTCCGCGCCAGCGAAATCGAGAAAGGGAAGCTCTCATGGACCTTCAGAGAACAAAAAAAATAAAATTACAACTAGTCAGAAAACCTGGAGTATAACAGTTCTCGAGATACTTATAAGTACATTAGAAAAACGACATATACTTAAGCATAGATATGCACACATCACCTGGAATTCGCGAACTTTAAAGGTTGGACTGAGAATGGCACACTGCAAGGCACATCCCCTCGACACACACTCACTTGCATTCATTGTACGCCTGGGCTCCTTACCAAAAAACTCAGTTAGGATCTTGATCATAGCAGGGACACGAGAGCCAGAGCCAACAACCTCAACCATATGTACATCTTCAACAGTAAGGCCGGCATCAGAGAGAGCTTTTTCTAGAGGCCTCTTAACACGCTCCAAAATCGGGATGCTGATCTCTTCAAACTCTTCCCTCTTGATGACACCCCTAACATCTTTCTCATCCATCAAACACTCGATATTCAATGGCGCCACAGGATTGGCGCTTAGAACTTTTTTCAGTTTCTCGCATGCAGCACGGAGCCTGAGAGAAGCCTTAGCATTCTGGGAGACATCAATCTTGTACTCCTCCTTGAACTTGGCAGCAAAATGATGGAAAAGAACCTCATCAAAATCCCTTCCCCCTAGGGAGCGATCGAAACCGTGAGACAAGATTTTGAGCTGTCCTTTTTTGAAGCCTGCAATGCAGACTTGCATGCTAGCATGCCCAATGTCAATGAAAGCGACATTGAGTGGTTCGTTCTCCGGCAAATCAGTCTTATAAATTCCATATGCCAAAGCTGTTGCTGTAGTCTCATGGATCAAGTGGAGCGGATGCAAGCCTGCAATTGTTGCAGCATCGAGAACAGCCCTTCGCTGGAGGTCGGTAAAGTAGACGGGAATGCCAATACAGCAGTCCACGACAGCTGCATTGAGATTCTTCTCAGCAATACCTTTCAAGTTAGAAAGCATCATTCCCATGAGCTGAGTAGGGGTAAAGGCTCTCATGTCTCCCAAATAATTAGCATGGATCAAAGGATACCCATCAGGCCCTTGGGTGACAGAAAAGGGCAGAGATTTGATATCCCTTTGAAGCTCAGGGTCGGAAAACTGGCGACCGATAAGGCGCTTGATTTGGGAAATGGAATTTTTGGGGTTCATCATGGTAGAAGCAGCTCCAGCAGTGCCGATAAAGCGCTGCTTGTCGCCAAAGCAGACAATGGCGGGGGTCTCGCGATTAGACTCGTCATTAAGAACGACGTCGATACCTCTTTGCCTGGCAACAGCAACAAGGCAGTTCTCGTTTCCAAAATCAAACCCAACTACACTCATTATCAGGCTTCGGGTTCGTCAATTCCAAAGTATTTGATAGCAACCTTACAAGTCAGTCAATGGAAAAACCATAAAACTATGAGATTTTACAAGAGCGAAAAAAACAAACAGACTAGTCTTAAGAGCTCAAACTGAGGTTGTAGCTATCCTAACAACAAAAATCAAACCACAAATCTTAGATTTCAATCAAATAGACCAAGCGATGGAGTATGATAACAAAAGAAGCTAGAGATTTCCCAAACTTTATAGATCAAACCTAAAATAAAAAGTCACATCTACGGGAAAAAAAAAAACAAAGCTACAGATCTGAAACTAGAGCTTCAGAATCAAACCTAGATCGCGAGAGGGGTTCGCGTTCTGGAAGCTTCTAGCCAAATCTGGGTGAGTTGAGCTGAATCGTCGTGTCGCAGCGAAAAACTCAAGAGAGAGAGAGGTGGTTTATAAACAGGGTTTGGGTTCGTCTGGAATGTTTCTTCTCCTTTCCTTTTTTTCTTTTTCAACAACTTTCATTTACTTTTTATTTTCTGATATTTTGCCTTCTTTAGTTTTCTTAGTTTTTAAAAAAATACATATAATCCAAAGGTTTTAGGAATATTATTAAAAACTTATCATCAAAAAAAAGAAATGTTTCAGAAAATATTTGTTTTCGATGAATTTGGGTGAGTGAAGAAGTTATACCGATAAAATTTTGAAAAACTATAAAGTATAATTACAATGATATACTATATATTTAATTATTATACTTAATGGGTTTGGCCGAAAGTTACAAAATTAATAGGTAGACAAAAGTGAATTGATAAGAATGTAGGAAAATAAAATTTGGTTGGGATTCTGCTACACGCTCAAAATCTAAAAAATGATCGGAAGCAGAGAGTTGTGAGCATTAGCTCCTGGCAGATTTAAGTTGTACGGCTTTACAACGACAAAGAGGGATCGGAAAGCTATATATAGATAAGATGTGTAACTCATCTGAACTATTACATCAAGGAAGATATATGTGTGTCCTTATGGGGTTCAGATGTGTTTAAAGCTCAAACCTCAGACATGTTTTTATACAACTGGCAAGGAACCCGCGAACAAGAGTAGTAGTTTTGTCACGCATAAACGTCACGTAAGATCTAAGGGTTAGATGATAACCTTAAGGAGATCAAATATGTACTGAATGATTACAAATCTCCAATGCACGTAGGATCATATTGCACTTCATTTGCTGACAGTCCAATTCAACATAGAACGAATCCGCAATTACACCCGGTAACAATTAGAGTAACAACAAACAAACACGAAACAAGACTTTCAAATTCAAAAGAAACCACAAGGAGCAATTTTCTTTTAAAGAAAAAAAAAAAAAAAAAAAAAAGTAAACTAGAAAATGATATTAGATTTTTGTAAATTGGCGAACAGAAATTAGATTTTTTTTTTTTTTTTTTTTATGATTTTGGGAGTGACAAGGACATTATGAAGATTGAGAGGACGTTTGTAGTTGTAGGAAGGAAGAGAAGTGAAGCCAGTAAGAGAAACGGGGATGGATGAACTGTTGCTGACTGAATTTTTTTATGTTGGAATTAATAAGGAGTGATGCTAAGTGAGTTGTAGCTGCAGAATCCGCCTGATGAGAGTCACGGTATTTGTAAGCTTCAGCAATGTCTATTGTTGGTTGAAGATTTGCAATATGAGCCTCAACCTGTGTAGAGTTGTGCAATCTCGGGCTAGGTCCGCAGGAGGACGAGTGTTCTTGTTCTGGCTCGATGGTACTTGATCTAATGTTCGTTGTGACTAGTGCGGCAGGGGACGAGGCATGGGCAGAGTGTGAAGCAATATGACTTTGTGTAAGCGTCTTGAAGCATTAATTTTGCATCATCAAACGTTGGAAATGGTTGCTGATGTTTGATAACATTGATGATGTTATCAAATTTCTCATTTACACCATTCAACATAGACATCACCATGTTTCGATCATTGACTGGAGCATCGAGGTTGGAGAGATGAAGAAAACAAAGAAGAGAAAAAGTAACGAGAGAGAGAGAAGAATAGAAGAAAGGAACAACAAAAGAAGAGGAGATTTAAGGCTTTGTATTCTCTTGAACCTTTAATTACAATCCAGATTTAAAAGATATATAAACACAAACTAGTTACAACTCTAATTTTGATCTTACTAGAATATAGGAGAAGAATCTGAACTAGTAGTATTTGACCGAGTAATATTTCTTACTCCATCAGATACCAACGACTAATTTAGTCAACCTAGACAAACATGAATCATGTTTGAAATCATGACAAGAAGAGGAAAACATATTGGACATAAAAGTCTTAAAAAGCCTGACCGATGCGGCGATGGCCCTTAGCCTCGCAAGGTCTAATTTAAAGAGAAAATGTTCAACTTTAGTGTTATTGGAAACATAATAAGCAACCTTCAAAAACTTAAGTACAGTATAAGTTACATTTGATGAGTTGGAAGAAAGGATAATAAAAAACCATTGGTGAAAAAAACGTAAAAACATGATATATGTATACTATAGTCAGAGAATGTCCAATGCTGGTATGTTATTAAAAAAATTTAGTAATAAATTATGTAATTTTTTAAAATAAGAGTTTTTTGAAGATAATTAAAATTATCTACCTCCAATGGTAAAACTCCTAACTGGAGTTCTTAAAAAATAATAATTTGAAAACTAAAATTTTTATAAAACATGAAAATTATTAATTTGTAACACCAATAATATAAAAACATAATTAAAACATAACAAAAACACTTAATACAAATCATATTTTAATTGTTGCCAAATATTATCAACCAGATCAGACAAGAGATGAAATTGTTTCGTTGCCTGATAGAACGAGAGAAACATGGAGAGTTTTTTTTTTTTTTGGTTGGAAGAAAAATATAATATCAAAAACACCCATTTTAAAATACCACTTTTTAAAAATACCACATTTTCAAAACTTCAAAAAACCACTAAAAATGTTGAAATTTATCCAAATATGTGTGTAAACCTTATAAATATACACAAATTACCTTTTTATATGTACAAAATTTGATATATCTTTCATAAATAGCGTAAAGATAATTTATAATTTTTTAAAAAAAACCTTATAAACATTCTAAAAACCTTATAAAACTTGTATAAATGATTTAAAACCTTTTAAAACATTATAAAATATTTGTATCGAAACATTATAAAGACATTATAAACCTTTTAAAATCTAATGATTGTTTGGAGCAATTTTTTTTTTTTTTTTCTTAAACTTTCTAAGAGTGACACGTGTCCCTAACAAACTACTTAAAAACTTCTTACCTAAGAGATATATCTAAGCTTAATATTGATTATTGATTTAATTTTTCCCCTTTTATTTCTAAGATACAAGTTAAAAAACCAGCATTGGAGATGATCTCTTACCCAACCGTAAAACACCTATTTATAAGTCGATCGATGTCCATCCATCATCATTACACTATATAATTTTTGAAAATTTGATGATAAAATTAATTATGTAGTATATTTTTCCACAATTTATGCTATGTAAAATTTGATTAGTCGCTTATTCTTAATTTAACATCATTGTTTTTCTTTTTATTTTTATATATTTTTTTCTAAAGTATATGATAATATTTTTATTACATTTTATTTAATATAAATGTTGTTGCGGATAATCTGGCTCGTAAAGTGCTAGTCTTACCGCTTGCTGCTATGTTTGTAAATAATTTTCCCCACCATTGGCTTTTTTTAAAGTCAATCTATTCGATTTGTTGTAAAAATGTTATTTTTGAAAATATCACAAAATATATATAATTAAACTTAAATATGTTTAATTTCGAATTTAATTGTCCACTTTTTACGGTAGCAAAATCAATATTATTTCCATAAATATAGATAGCTTTTATTTTTATTTTTTTTTCTTTTTTGCTGTCTTTAAATGTGTTTAACTAAGATTTCACGTTCTTGTAATACAAAAGCAGACTGACTTGCTCGTTCTTCCAGATCACTTGATTCAGAAGTTATTTTTGTAAACGATTTCTCTTATGATTGGGCTACCAATCATGGAGTATTATTTTAATCAATGTGTGGTTGGAAAAAAAATGTGTTTGGCTACATGATTGGCATCACATTCAATGTCATTTTTTTATCTCTTTGGTTATAATGACAAAAAAAGGCTCCCCTTTTAATAATATATATTAATCATTAATCTTTTATCTATTCAAAAATAATTAATCTATTTTAAAATAAAGTAAATTAAATGTTTTCAGTTAAATAATTTAGAAAATATTTAATTCAGGAATATTAATGAAAAGCATAATATACTCATCAGATTCTTCACCAAATATAATACCTTTATAAAAAAATATAATAACTACAAAATCTTTTAGAGATTCAAAAATTAGATTAACGGTCAAGATTTAATTTGAAGATTTAATTTCAAAACCCGATTATGAGACCGGTTTTAGGAGATAATCCAAATATCCTTCATAGTAGTGCTATTTATAATGCTTCCCAAGATTAATTTGGATTATTTTATTTTATTTTTATCTAAAATTCGTTAGCAAGAGAGGTATAAAATATTAGTTGAAATTTGTTTCCTTCCTTTTTGTTTTTAAAAATGATTTTCACCTAAATTTTCTTAAACAAAAAAAGGTTATCAATGAAACTTTTTATTTCGTTCTTTTTTTATTTTTTTATGGTTACAAAATATATTTGTTACATAAGATGTTTTTAGATATCTTGGAGATCTTCTCTTTTAAAAAAGAACTAGATCAGTACGCACGAGTTATATTTCATATTAATCTATATACCTTTTTTCTTTTGTCGGCAAAAGAAAACTATGCTATGACACTCTCGGAAAGAGACTCTCCGCTAAGGAGAGCCAGTCGGGGGTCGAAGTGCTCATATGCGAGAAGAGGCAGTCGCGGGCTCGTGCTTTTTTGGCAAGATGATCGGCCCGGATATTGGATAGACGGGGGAGAAGACGTAAGCGGAAAGACGGGAACATAACTTAGAGAGACTTGAAAGATGCCAATTCTGCTGCAAAGGTTGGCCAATCTGAAGGACTCTCCACCATAGCTACAAGATCAGAGCAATCGGAGGCGAAAGTAGCAGATGTGTGCCCCAATTTAATCATACATTCCATTGCCCAAAGGAGGGCATCAAATTCGGCATGAAGGGGTGATAGACTTCGACGGACATTCCTAAGTCCCAGGTGATGAACTATATTCAAATCCGCCAAAACCCATCCTAGACCACTTAAGGATCCAGATGGAGTCCAGATATCTCGAGGCCGAGGTGGGATAGCAGAGGAGGGTTCCGGCGTAGAATCCTTATCCATAGCTCTCTGCCACACCTGCGCCTCCTGAAGTGATATTTGTAGAGTCTCATCCGGTGGGACCCGGAGATTTTCAAAAACAAAGCTATTACGGGCCTTTCAGATGTACCATAAGATCCATGGGAAGGCTTGTAATAGCATGACATATATTCCTCTTTCTTGACCTCGACAAAAGAGGAAGTCAAAATTGTTGAATAGAGAGAATCTTGGGAAAATGTCCCCAGAGGTTGTCATGGGAGAAAGAGCCCAAACTTGTCGAGTCGGAGGACAGTCAAAGAGGAGGTGATTTAATCTATATACCTAGAAGAAGAGTTTATTAGTTTTATAACACTAAGACCAACATTATTGGGAGATTCTTAATTAGGGTATCTTAGTTTAAATTTAGTATTAATTTTGAAAAAGTGAAGTTTAAGAGTTTTAGTTTAGTTTTGAGTTTTGATATGTGTTTATTGGTAGGATCTTAAATTGGGTATCTTAGAAAAAAATATTATTATTTTTTTAAAATAAATATTTAATTTGTAATTTAAGAAAATCTTATAATAATTGTAAATTTAAAATGTGAAAACATACATAAGATAGAAACAATGATACAATAATTTTAAACTTGATTGGGGGAAAATTTATTCCAAAGATGCTCGACCAAATCGTTCTTCAATTGTTCATGCATATTTCGATCTCGAAGTCGAGTTCTAGCGGTCATCATATCGACGACATTTGAAGGCATATCTGTTTCATACGAGAAATCCACTCTTGTACTTCCTTCAGTTTCTACTTGTTGGAATTCAGTGACATCGAACTGAGTATACATATCTCGTTCATCTTCTACTATCATATTGTGAAGTATTATGCATGCCCGCATAATATTTCCTATTCTTTCCTTATCCCAAATAAGAGCCGGATTTTTGACAATGGCAAATCGAGCTTGTAAAACTCCAAAAGCCCGCTCAACATCTTGTGGAAGTGGGATCGATTGGATAAATGTAGCCCATTTTGGATAAATTCCATCTGTCAGATAGTAACCCAAACTATACTGGGTTCCGTTGACTACATACTTGCATTTTGGTGCTCGTCCTTGTATGATATCATCAAAAACAGGAGATCGATCTAGAATATTGATATCATTTAAAGTACCTGGAGGTCCAAAAAATGCGTGCCATATCCAAAGATCTTGCGAAGCTACAGCCTCTAAAACGATCGTTGGTTTTCCCGAGGCTCGTGTATATTGACCTTTCCAAGCGGTTGGGCAATTCGTCCACTCCCAATGCATACAATCGATGCTTCCCATCATCCCGGGAAATCCTCTTATCTCTCCAATAATGAGGAGCCTTTGAAGATCTGCACGGGTTGGTTTTCTTAAGTACTCATCTCCAAAGCAAAAAATAATACCGTCAACAAAATGTTACATGCATTTCATGGAAGTGGTTTCACCAATCCGGAGATATTCGTCAACCGCATCAGCCGCATAACCATATGCAAGCATGCGAATTGCTGCTGTACACTTCTGTAATGGAGAGAATCCTAACCTTCCGGTCGCATCCCGTCTTTGTGGAAAGAAAAGAATTTCATTGGTTAGTCGATCCACGATACGCAAGAATAAATGCTTATTCATTCTAAAACGACGTCGGAATAAATTAGGCGGGAAGGTTGCATTATCTCCAAAATAATCGTTCCATAACCTTATGTGACCTTCTTCACGATATCTTTCGATATGAACTCTTTTTTTTCTTGGTTTTCGGGGTCGTTGATCCTCCTCCAAAGAATAATCAAATTCTTCTTGAATTTGGTTATCAAATTCTTCTTGAAAAAGATTATCAAATTCTTCATTCAATACTTGTGAAAATTCATCATGAGAAGATGAAGCCATTTTGTATATAAATTACAAAATGAAAAGAACAATTTTGTGGTTTGGTAGATTTTTGGAGATTGAGGTTTTTCTTGGTTTGGTTTGAGGTTGTTGACGATTTTGTATATAAATTAAAAAATATTGTTGACGATTGTGAACGAGAGTTCTGTTGAGGTTTTTGTTGAATAAGGATTTTGTGAACGATAGTGGTTTGGTAGTGGTGTGGTTTGAGGTTTGTTTTGTCAACGATTGTGAAGGAGAGTGGGTTGGTAGTTTTGTGGTTTGAGGTTTGGTTTTGTGAACGATTGTGAAGAGAGTGGGTTGGTAATGGTTTGGTTTTGTGAAGGAGACTTTTGTAAAGGTTGTGAACGATTTGTAAAAACTAAAAATGACACAAAAGAAAGTGAATATAATTTTTGTCAAATACAAAGTGAATGAAATTGTTTTGAGAAGTGAATGCAATACAAAGAGAAAGTGAATGCGATGAGAAGTTCAAATGACTTGAAAAATTTATATACAAAGTTCAGACTTCTGTAGTGTCCGTGAATTGCCAATGATGAAACTGTGCCATGTATGTCCGTGAACGGGTGAAGTTTTCACTCTCCCCACCAATTTCAGACTTCTTTGTTTTCTTCTTCTTTGCCATAGTCACGTGAAGCTACAAAACAGAAAAGAGTGTCAATAAAGGAACTGAAATATGACCAATGTATCACACAAACATTGATTGATCATTGAATAAAGAAACTTGTCCCTGACCACAATCATTCACGTGAACCAAACTTTGATTAAAGAACAGACATTACAATACAATCCAAGAAACATAAACATTGATTAAAGGCCAGATATTACAATACAATACTGAAACTATCTCACATAACACAACATTTATCAAACATAACACAGACACTACCAAACTGAAACAAACATAACACAGACACTACCAAACTGAAACTAACATAACACAGACACTACCAAACTGAAACTAACATAACACAGACATTAGACAACATTGTTCTCCACCAGAGATTCAAAAGAAACACAAACTAATTAGCTTTGGTTTAAGGTCTTTCTCTATCTGAGATAGAGGACCGGATTTTGCTAAAATAGTGTCTAGCAATTTCTTGTTTGAGATTTTATCATTGAACTCATGCTCTTTTTGCTTCAATGCAAAATCCTTTTCCTTTAACTCCCACATCGTCTTCATCCTTTCCAATCTCTCCAAACCTCCATCAGCAGTCACTGAACTAGTGACAGTCTTCTTGGCACTAGCCTTGGCTGCAGCCTTGGCAGCCTTAACTCCTTGTGGTCTTGCTTGAGGAGCTTGTGATTCTCCTTGAGTTTGAGACTCTCCTTGAGCTTGAGAGTCTCCACCATCTTCAGAACATTGCATAGAGGATGAATCTAGCTTCCTTCTTTTGTTCTTCTCGTCTCCTTTAGAAGCTACCATTGAACACCACTTCTGATCGTATCTGAGTTCTCTCCATGCATGCTCCATGGTGAATTTTTTCTTGTAGTCACCCTCATAGATGAGGTGAGCTTTCTTTATCAAATCATCATCATTTATCCCACTACTATTCAGACTTGATGCAGCTTGGTAAGATCCTACGAATTTGCAAACTGACTCATTTATCTTGCACCACCTTTGTTTGAAGTGATTAGCCTCTCTTTGCTTCAGACCAGCCACCTTGGGACTTGCAGCCACATAAGCTGCAATCCTCTTCCAGAAGGCTGCTCCCCTTTGTTCATTTCCAACAATGGCGTCTTTGCTGGTGTTGAGCTATGCCGAGATCAAAACTATGTCTTCTTTGCTTGTCCAAGCAATCCTCTTTCTTGGTGCAGCCTTAGCAGCCAGGTTATGAGCTTGAGCCGTTGGCTGAGACCAATCAGTGGTGAAGACAACTTCTTCACTTTCACCAAGTCTAATACTTCGTGATGGAGAGTCAAAACAAGGTGGCGGCTGAGGGTTATGGGATTCATTTTGACTAGTTAGAAGATCCATGAAGCCAACAGAGTTGGCATCATATGGATTCATTTAGAGAAGAGATTGAAAAGGTTTTAAAGTTTGTTCTTTTACTGTCAAAGAGAAACAGATAGATTTAGGTGAAGTGGTTTGTGTTAAGTGTAAACTATATACAGTTAGAGTTAGGTTAATGATTTACTGTTTTTTTACAGTTGCGGAGGTCATTAAAGTGTGCATTTATCACAAACAACAAGTACTACCCTATATGAAACAACAAGTACTTCCCTATATGAAACAACTGTAAACACTACACAAACACTTGCATGCATTTATCATTTTTACTATCCTATCAGTTCAACTCAATTCTCACCTAAACTACTCAATTTGACTAAATCAACCATCAACCAAATAACAACATCTACTACTAGGGATCTTTAATGTGATAACTTACAATTTTAAACGTCTCTGGCCACCTCTGATCAAGCTGCTACACTCTCAATTGTCATTTGTAGGAGAAGCATTTGATACAGCAACATGATACATACACCTCGCATAAAACAGAGAACACTCTATTAAATTCATAAGACATAAACAAATATGTCAACATTACAAAGCTAAACATCTCAATTATATCATCCCTATAACCTAAAACCATTCAATTCACGATATTATAACTTACCAGGATTGAACGCAAAGTTGCCATCCTCTGACTTAGCTGATCATCTTTCAACCTTCTATGTATCCTTTGTCTCAGACAGCTCTCGTTCATCTCCTGGTATCAGACATCAAACAACAAAATCAATATCAACAATAAACCAAATAACAACAGAACCAACTCGGGATATATAAATGTCAAACCACTTTCAGGTGATCACTTACAGGATTAATTCTCTGGCCTCCTCTGAAGTCTCTGCTACACTCTCAATCCTCATATGTAGCAGAGCAGATAACATACATACACCTCGCATAAAACACATAACAATCTATCAAATTCAAAAGACATACCCAAATATTTCAACATTTGACACACATACATATCAATTATACCATCCCTAATACCAAAAATTATTCAAATTCACGATACTATTAAGATCTAACAGACTAATTAACGAAAAATGAATCACACGAGACAATGCATACAATCGGGTTTATCCTGTTTCTCAAATAATTCATGCCTTACATTCATGCCACACAATCATCCACGTTTATAATTACCCTAATTGAAGATTTAATTACGGGTAATAACGTATACTTCGGATAACAAAAACTACAATAAATCCATGTATTAAAAAAATAGAAATACTTAAATCTTTAGAAAACAAAAAGGTTAAAACATGAATTTTTAAATTGAAGAAAGTAATGATAAATAAAGATGAAACTGAAAGATCAATAAAATTAAAAATCGAACAAGGATTGTTTATGCTAGGATTACAGACAGTGCCTTGTGAATGAAAATGGTGGGAGCATGTGACTTAGATTGATAACTAGATTTTTATTAGTTTGATAAAAATAAATATTTAAATGAGGAATACGGGTATCCCGTCTAAATCTTTTACCAAGTTTCTTATAATAAACATTGGCAAATGATTATGTTTTAAAAAGAAACGATTATGGGACAGAAATTTTATGACAGATAGAAGACGGGACGGGACGGGGCAGGGTGGGACGGGACGGGTCAGGACGAGACGGAAAGGGACATGACGGGTTTCCATTATAAACTACACATAAAAAATTCAAACTAAAGCCAAACCCAAATACGATTTAACATCTCTAAGAAAACAGTTAGAAATGTTTTGATTAGTTTAAAAAATAAACACTTAATATCACTTATCATTTTCATTTAAATAATTTTAAAATTGTATTATGTAATACAATATCTATATTTTACAACTGTATGTCTATATATATTTTATCAAATAAACTCATATAACAAAATCTAACAAAAATAGCATCTACTTGAAAAATTGTAATTTTGTAAAAATAACACCGCACGTACGTGCGGGTCCATCACTAGTTCAGACATAAAAGAGAAAGAAAGAAAAGAGATAAGGCTGTAGGATAGTATAGTCATTCACCTATATACAGTAAAGATCAAATAGTACTCAAGAGAGAGACCTAATTTTTGAGTATTTTGTGTATTTTCGTTATAAATGCCCTTTTTATATTATAATTTTTTATATATTTTATATTTAAAACAAAGTTTTGATATATTATGATAGTTACCGTTATTTTTGTCATCTATATATATAAAGTTAATTTTTTCTCTCTTCTCCTTATGCCAAATCATCTTCCACACAAGCTGCCACATCATCATGTATCTTAATTTTTTACATTGATTTAGAATTATAACACTTTAGATTTTAATTTCTTTTATACCTCATAACTTAGCCTTTATTTTATTTTTATATTCAGTAGTGGTTTTAAGAAAATAAATAATATACTAAAAAACATTTATGTACAAAATAAATAAAACAAGTATCTATTTATAAAGTAATGATCAATTTTTTGATTAATGGGGCTAAATACAAAACAAAATACAAAATACAAAACAATGATATTTATACTATACAGATAAATATACCACTAAATTGATGTCATCCAAAGCCACATCAAACGAGAACACAACCGATTTTAAGCATAAGAAGTAGAAAAAAAAAACTAAAAAAAAAATTGAAAACACTTGAATAAATAAATAAGTGGATTCACCAGAATAATTTGACCTACAAGAATTGAAGACTTTTGAAATGTAAGGTTATAACAGCTACTATTTGACTTGAATCAAAGTTAAACAAATAACAATAAACATTTCATATAGTAAATTAATACAAAAACAAGAGTGAAAACAAAAAACAAAAAAAATCAAAATATAAAATTTAAAATATAAAAAACAATTATAAAACTTCCGCACGTAGCGCGGATCAACAACTAGTTTGTTATAAAGATCACAATTCATTTTACCATATAGAACATTACATTTTATATAAATATTAACTTTCTTTAATATTATTTTAAACAAAATAAATGATGTTTAAAATATAAATAACAGATTATTTGTATTAAAATATCAAAACTAAAACGTGATAATATTTTTTGCATACTACATGTATAGTTATTTAAATGATTTTTAAGTTTAAAAGTAACCAATAATCAATACAAACATACCCACACAAACTTAATAGTTAAAATAATAAAACTTAGCATAGTCAGGTACTGCTAGCCCAAAAAGAAAGCAAGAATATTTAGGTAAAGAATGGCATCCTGCAAGTGACATTTTCATCTTACAAGTGAGTTTTGCATGGAAAAATACATGCGCATCTAAAATATTCTTTGGAGATAAATCCATCTCTAGACTTCACTCTTTTAAAATATTTTCCCCGGCAAGGCCTGCACCGAATAGGTTTTGCTCCGAATCTCGTTGTCTTTGACTCTTTAATACAATTAGTACTTGCCATGCAAATTCCTTCGTGATTCTCTACGTGATGACACTCCCAAGGTATCATTTTAGACACTAGTGGGGCACTCGGAGACTCGGAGTGGCCCTAACGCCTAACAAGAAAATCAGAGAATAGAAGAAGATTAATCGGAGATTCGTTTTAGGGTTATTTTATTAAATTAATGAAAAAATATTAAGTATATGATATTAATTATATGTATAGTTCCATTTCTCTTAATGGAAAGAACAATATAACATGCAAACCTGTAATATTGGCTTCAAAATTATAGTTAATAAATGTAAACATATTTTTAAACCCAAATTTATGATTTTCATAAAATTTTGAACAGAAATTATCATAAAATATCATATAATTCCCAGTTTAAATGTTTGATAACCGATAAAAAAAGTAGACGGGGATTAGTCATTAATCGAAGCGAATAAAGTGGGTCTAGTGATTACACAGAGAGTAATCATAGTTAGGCGGAGATTTTTTAAACAGGGCTCCAAAGGTATGAACCAAGCTTTCACATCTTGCATTTTATTTATATTATATTGTTCATGAAAAAATGTTGTAATGGTTGTTGGTAGAAATCAAAGTTTATTAGTTGTTGGTTCCCATCTGTTTTCTTTTTGCGGAAAAATTAACTATCTTTGGAAATATATATATATATATATATATATTTCCCTTTAATTTTAGTTTTGTTGGTGATTTGAAACACCAACAAAACTAAAACTAAAGGGAAACTAATATTTTACCTTGCACGTGACTCCAAACAACGAGTAATATCAAAATTGAAGAAGAAACCATGAACAAAGTAGCAGATCTCATGACTGATCAATATAAATTAAATTTGGAGAAATTCTATTTTGTTTTCTTTGTAACACACTACTCGGTAATAAGTATATGTAAATACACTCCTAATTATATAGCCATTAATCTACTAAATTTTGGGGGAAAAGAGAGGCTAAAACTGGTTTACAAAAAAAAAAAAAAGAGAGGCTAAAACTAATTCAGTATAAAATCAGCGAGATTAATGGTCATCCTTTTAAATTATACTTGTACTAGTCGGTTATCCGCGCTACGCGCTGAAGTTTTATTATCTTGTTTATGAGTAATTAGTTCGTATTTCCTATGTTTTTTTTCACTATAGCATACTTTAATTTATTAATCTTAGATTGCGTTTGTATAGAAAACTTGTTGAGTTTTAGCTTTATTAGTAGTTGAGAAAGTAAATGTATATAGTATAGGTCGATGTGTGGGTGTAAACGGATGTGCGGTGGATAATCATAGAGAAACATTAAGATTTCCACCAAATATAGATCTAAATGTTAATATTGTGGGCCCTTTTAATATGTTGGTCCGAACGTCGAAAATGATTTGTGGGTTTTGGGCGGATTGTTGTATTTTTTATTAGTTACATTATCTCTTTATATATTGTCATAATTTAATTTTTTATTTTACGTTTTTCTTTTTTCGATTTGATGTAATTGATATCTCATAATGATCATTTTTATACTATTATATATTTTCTGATTTTCTGTTTTATATATTTTTCGTATTTTCATATGGAACAATTTTAAAATTTACTTTATATTTTGTAAGACATAAATTAGATATATTTCTATTCTCAAAATTTCTTACTTTTTGTTTTATTCCCGTTAAATCCCATTATAATTTAGGTTTATATTGTGTAAATATAATCAAATTTTGTGTCATATTATTTTTAATCGATATATATATATATATATCTATATTCATTATAAAGCATTCACTTAAAAACTATAATCTATTATTTATATATTAGTTAGTATAATCAATAATTAGTAAGATTTATATTTTTTAATCAATTATTTTTTTAGTTTTATAATATAAAATATAAGAAAAAACCTTTTATATTCCTCTCTCGAAAAATTATATGTATATTTTTAAATCTTAAAATTATATGATAAAATAGTGTAATTAATTTTAAAATTAAATGAATGATGATTAGGATAATGAAGTGGCTTAAAGAGAAGGGAGAAAAGTTAACTTTATATATATAGATAGATAGATGCTTAGAAAAATATACTAGTAGTCGCTTCAATATTTTAATACTAATTATAGATATTTTAAATTCATATATATATATATATATAGTTGATCATGACAAAAATAAATACCCACTATATTATATATTGTCGCTCTACGTACTGAACTCTATTCAGATGAAAACCCAACCTTGTGGGTTTAGTTTATGCTTGAAATTTAGGGCCAAGTTGACGGTGAAGAGAGGAATGTGCTTTAGTTAAGTCTATGGGAGAGATCGATGGAGGCCAAGGCTAGCTATAACAGAGAATATGGACCTCTATGTTTCACAACATGTTCCGATTTATATTGCATAGGTAATGTAAATTAAATACACTCCAAACATGTTGTATATATAATTACTTTAGAGAGACCCACAAATATATTCTTGTTTTTTGAAGAAAATTTCTATGCAGCTCATGTTACATTTTTATGTTACACTAAGTCAAGTCGAGTGTTTTTTTTAAAAAAAAAATTCAAATTCTGATCAAATAAAAATACGGAGACCTGAGTCTTCCTTGATTTCACCCGTTCTTGAATTTTTTAGGATCGATTGAAATTTTAAAAAGCATCAAACGTTAACGCAACTTACACGTAAATGTTTGGAACATACCAAAACGCTCCCAACCGCTTCTAAGAAGTCATCAGGTAATAAATATCTAATAAGATCCCAAAACACCATTAGACAAAACTGAGACAATATTTTGCAAGTGATAAGTGATATGACTTGATAATAATAAAAAAAACTTATATGTGGCGCCACATGACAAAACTGATAAAATGTTGTCTTTGTAGTTTCCAGCAGTGGCATGTAGAAAGAAAAATAAAATAAAATAAAAAGACATGTCAAGGTCAACCTTAATTAGAGATGGAACACAAACAAGGGATATATGCAACCATTCTTTCTAGCAACTATAGCATCTATGAGTGAGAATGCTAGCTTAGCTCGTCATCGAGTACACATTAAGACCTCTCCATGCTCAAAAGGGGACAATAGTACCAGCATTCTCTGTCGGAGAGAGTGTGTTTACACAAAGTCTAGGAAACTCATTAAAGAGTTCCAAATCAGATCAACACAACGGTAACAAAATAAAATAAATGTAAAAGCAGAAATAAAAATGTCTTTCAACATTTACTCTTCTGTCTCATTAGTCATTTACGAAGCTTTAATTTTTATGTCAAATGTAGAACAAAACCAATCATGTTCAGGAACATTTGTTGATGGAGGATCGCATCACAAAACAAACACAATGTTACTAGTACTCGAGGAAAGGACGAGATTTTTTTTAGTTGTTCCAACTTAATTATTGCTTAAGGGAATTAAGGTGTCTAGCTTAGCTATTTTTTTTTTTTTTTTTTTTTGCTTACGCATAAAAAATGATGCAACCGATTGATACTTAAAACGACTCTAATTGAGATATATAAACCAAAAGAATCTAGATCATATAAAAGGGAATACTGTATATGTATATAATACTCTACGTAGAATTATTCAGTTGAGGATTTTATTTAATTTAGTTTCTTAAGTGAATACTAATATGCTAAGACATTAACTAAAACTAATGTGACAGGTTTTTGTCACGATCAATGTGCTACAAAAACACATGACACCTAAACTGAAAAACTAAATAAGACCCGAAGTAAAAAGTCTTTGAACATTTACTCTTCTGTCTCTTATTTATTGCGCAGCTTTACATGTCAACGAGGAACATAACCAATCATGTTAAATGGAAGATCGCATCACAACAAACAATGTTAGCTAACAAACAACCATGACTTTTTAAGTTGTTTGAACTTATTGCTTACGGGAGGATTTTAAGAGAAGTGTCGGGATTTGTTTTGGTGATCTAAACAAGTCTTTTTAGAAAAATCTTAGCTCAACATTGGCTTAAGATGAGAGCTCATCCACTTCGTGTCATCTCCGTGTTCTTTTTCCTCTTCATCTTATATCAGATCACTTCTTCTAAGTCATTACTTTACTCTCCAGAAATTTTTACAGTCTCAAGCAACCAAACCCTTGTGTCTCCTGGAAATGTCTTCGAGTTAGGTCTCTTCAAACCCAACATATCCGTTAGTTGTTGGTATCTTGGGCTATGGTACAAGGAAGACCCAAAGAGAACCATTTTATGGGTAGCCAACAGAATGAAACCTCTCACCAAACCTGTAGGAACCCTCAAATTCTTCGACACAAATCTTGCCATGTTCGAACAAGAAACTGAGATCCCTGTGTGGTTGACCAATCTGACCGGAGAAGGTGTGAGGTCTAGGATGGTGGCTGAACTTGTCGATAATGGTAACTTCGTGATTAGGGACTCGGAAGGTTACTTATGGCAGAGCTTCGATTTTCCAACAGATACTTTACTGCCTCAGATGAAAATCAAAGTACTTGATTCCTTTCCTAGTAAAGAAGATCAGCACAAACTCCTCTATCCCTGGTTTAGTCCAAGCGACCCCTCACTCGCGGATGAATCCTTTGAAATTCATAATGAATCAAACATAATTGCAATATATAATGGAGGGTACGAAAGAGATACATGGAACGGGTACCAATTTGGGGACATGCCCCCAGTGTTGGAGCTTAAGGAAGGTTGGTTAGTAATGAAGACCCTCAAAAACAGCAGCTACTCCAGGTTGACAATACGGCAAAGCGATCTTTATGAGTTATACTCGTGGAACTCGAAAGCCAAGGAATGGATCCTGACATGGTCCTCTACCCCTTGCTATGAGAGACTCCTCGAAAATCAATGTGGATCTTATAGTTACTGTTCCAAGAAGGATATGTCCCCAGCGACGTGTAACTGCATTAGAGGGTTCCATTTGAAGTTGGAACGTAAGCGAAATGACTGTGTGAGGAAGACTGCTCTACATTGTAGAGGATATGGGTTTACGAAGCTACCACATATGAAATTGCCGGAAACCATATCTGAGGTCTGAATTTGGATGAATGCAAGGCGTCGTGCCTTGTGGGTTGTGACTGTACCGCTTATGCGGTTGTGGAATATCGGAAAGGAGAGCGTTTGTGTATGACTTGGAAAGACGAGCTCCAACGTATGCAAACTACACCTCCGGCGGTCAAAACCTATATGTCAGAGTGGCGGCTAATGATCTTGGTTAGTCTAACCCTAATTTATTTAGTTAGTTAGTTTCGTTAATCAATCTTTTTATCAAATAAATTCAAACAAACCTATCCCCCCTCCCACGTAAACGAATAATAAATATAGAAAACACAACCTATATAATATAAATGATGACGGGCCTAGATTTGCTTTTCGAATTAGATCTTTCATAAGTGTCTTGGTCGATTTTAAAGATTTTTTTCCTCGATTAATTATGGCCTTTTTGCGAAGGATAAATAACGCATAATTATGCGAAAATCATTAATTTTAGACCAATCAAAGCTAGGCATGTCAATTAGAGCTAAAGCCCGCGTGCTAGTTTGGTCCGTTCCTGAAAAATATCGGGGTCGGACTTAAATATATATGTCCAGAAAAAACCGGGTTTTTGGGCTAATCCCATACGGATTAAAGGATTTTTTGGGCTTAGCCCGGTCGGGCTCGGGCCGGCCCGAAAGCCCTTAAACAAATATATTTTTAATTTTTTAATATTTAAGTTTGATTAAAAGATTTGATTAATGTTATAGTTTTCATATTTACTTACTAGCCTTACTTATTATTTTTAAAATCTTTATCTATAATATTTTCTCTTATTTATATATGTCAGAACTGAACAAAGCTAAAACTAAATATATATAAGTATCATGATTTTGAAATCATCAAAATATATATTAAATTTTGACTCTATCATATACTTTAAAGTATTTTAGTTCCATGTTTTATTGGGTTAAAGTGTAAATAATTTATTTGGCTTTTATTTTTTCTCTTAAATTAAGTTAGTTTTATTGAATATTGATAAGTTATTTAAAATTTGATGCATTATTTTTATAGTAGACCTTTAAATATAGTTTTTGAAATACTATTATGAACTTTGAAATTGATTTTTTATCGGTAAGTAAAGCCCAAAAAAGCCCGAAAAGCCCTGTAACCCTGTTAGGACCGGGCCGGGCTTTCAAATATAGGCTCGGAAATTTTTTGGGCCGGGCCGGGCCGGGCTCACGTATATGAGGGCTTTACGGGTTTCGGGCCGGGCCGGGCCGGGCTAGCCCGATTGACATGCCTAATCAAAGCCCTAGAAAAAAGTATCAATCATGCTTATACATTGTAAAAGTTATGTTTTCTCTGATTTACCTCCCACTAATTGATACCTTATTGTTTAGATTTAGCAAGCAAATATTATGACTAGCATAACGAATATCCTAGATTTAGCAAACTAATATATGAAGATAAATTCAATATCCCATTTTATTAGCATAAAACATAAACCATAATATAGTGACCATTTGATTTGATTTCATTGCGGTGGAATATTATAACCATTTATTCAATATTTTTTTAATAAAAATTAAATGATAGATTTAAGATTGATATTACTATTGAGTTTAATCTTAATATTGATTGGAATACTTAAAAATGCATTTGAGTGAGAACGAAGGTGTCGAAGACTCGAAGTACATTTGTGTTGCGGGTCGGGTCAAGCTAAAAATTTAATCCAAAAATGATAATTTACTTTAAAATTGGATATTTAATTTAATTAGTATAGAAATTCGGATACTTCCCCTGTGGATTATATTATTTACATATCTAATTTGGATTTCCTAATATTACTGTAACTAATTTTAAAAATATACTAAAACAATTATTATTCTCTTTTCATCTTAATTTGATCTTTTTAAAAAAAAATTATTATATTATAATATATAATATTATTTTTACATATGTTGCAATTTAGATTTTTCAAAGCGAACATATATTACTCGAACGGAAAAAAAAATATGTATCTACAACGTCCCACATCAGCTAAAATACTTTTGACAATACTTCATATTATTATAAATAAGACCAACATGCTTCGAACTACGAATGAGCAGTACACTTGATTATCATGCATCCAAATTTAAAAGTTTTATTTTATATAATCTGATTCTAAGTTTGAGCAAATTAAAATTATTAAAAATCTTCAAAATATTATAATAGTTAAATTTTTATAACTTTTAAGATTTTTTTTAAAATTTTAGAATATTATAATTTTTATCTTTTAAAAGTTTAAAATACTATAAATATTGAAACTTTTAAAAGATTCATATATTATAAATATTAAAACTTTTAAAAGGTTCGAATATTATAAATAATAATTGATAATTTTGCAACGGGTCATACCATATATTAAAATCATTGATAATTTTGCAACGGGTTAGAGCATAATACACACCACTTAAGTTTTACAACCAAATACTTTGTAATACCTAATCTTACATAAATATGATTTCAAATTATATGGAAAACTTATTCACTTTTAGTGAACATTTATTTATTAAAAAATATATTAATATAAGTACTTACCAAAACTTAAACTATATGGATTACCGAAAACAGAATAATTACTCTCCACTGCCAATTGCAACTATTTGATCAATAGTGTTTATTGATCATAAAAAATTATCAACACAACCGGAAAAATCTCTCATATGGAAAATGTTTTTGTTAATAAAAAACAAGTCAAAAATTTTCCCACGCGCTGTAGTGCGGATCCGATTCTAGTACAATACATTAGGAGATATTCCGCACGGATGACGATCTTTTGAAGAAATGATTAAAAATATAATAGGTTGTGTATTAATATTTGGTATTTAATAGTATAGGATAAATAGAATTTCATGTTTACTTGTATATTTTAATTTTAAGTTTATAGAGCTACATCGTGTGTTGATTTGATAATTTACTTGTATAGAAAGTAAATAGCGTGTACAGTAGTAATTAGGTTTGGTTTTAATACTCCCAAATACCGCTAAATTTATTGAGCACGGATATTACCGCAATTAGTGTTTAGGAAAATGCGATCTTTTAATATAGTTTAGTGTATTGTATATTGGTTGAAAGATGTGTTTCATTACATAAGTGATATATAGCAATTCCATAAATTTGGAAAATTTATTCAAAAATCCCTTATGAATAGTATTTAGTTATTGGCAAAAACATATGATAAACTAAATATATGATTAGGGTAACGAAATTATTTTTTGATGTAGTGGATCAGCCAAAAAATGGTAGAAAGAGCAAAAACTTTTGGGTTATCGGACTGGGAATCATCGGCGGATTTTTTCTGATAGGCTGTTCCTGCTTTTGTTATTATTGGAAGAGACATCAAGGAACAACAACTACACAACTTACACAAGGTCGTAAAAACTCAAAAGAAACTCAAAATTCTTTTTCTTGTTTTTTCATTTGTCGTTTCCTTTTATTTATACTAACTTTTTTTGTTTTTTATTTGTTTCAGAATCAGCCCAAAGGGAGATCATCATGAACGAACTAGTCGGGCCTGTAGACAGATTCCAATTTATGGAATTTCGAGCTGTTGCCGAAGCCACCAACCAGTTCGCTGAGAGTAACAAACTCGGACAAGGAGGTTTCGGAACAGTTTACAAGGTTCTGTAATCTTTATATACTATATAATTAATAGTTTGGTCTTTATAGTTACTTTAAGCATTAATTAAGTTATCTATGATAAAGTGAGTTTTTTGATAATGAATATATGTACCGTACGTGATCACTCACAGGGAACACTACCCGATGGTAGTGAAGTCGCCGTCAAACGACTGGCGAACACGTCTTCACAAGGAATGACGGAATTCAGAAACGAGATTCAGACGATCCTGAATGTATTACATCTGAACTTAGTGCGGCTGCTAGGTTGTTGTTGCGAACGAGAAGAGATCATTTTGATCTACGAGTTCTTAGAAAACTCTAGCTTAAATCAATATATTTTTGGTTAGTATAATCATCACTTTCTCTTTCTATATAATATATAAACTTATTTTAATCTAATCAAGAGAATAATTTTTTCGACACAGATAAAACTCGGAGTAAATTATTGAATTGGGATACGAGATACAAAATTATTAAAGGGATTGCGGAGGGTCTGTTGTATCTTCACAGTTACACAAACCCTCCGATAATACATCGTGATCTGAAACCTAGTAACATCTTACTAGGTAAAGATATGATCCCAAAAATCTCGGATTTTGGGATGGCGAAAATACTTACAGGTGACCAGAGAGAAGTTGCAACGGAAAAAGCTGTCGGTACTCGGTAAGCAACGAAACAACATCGTATTATATATTATTACTGAAATTGAAAAGCAAACACAGAAACACTCTTTGCCTAATATATCCGTTACATAATATAGGGGATATATGGCCGAAGAATATGCCATGCATATGACAGTATCGCAAAAGTCCGACATATTCAGCTTTGGGGTCACTGTCCTCGAGATTGTTACCGGAGAAAGAAACTTGGAGTATTGCAACTCGTTTAGAGGAGATAGTCTACTGGATAAGGTAAAAAAAAAACATTATTATTTATTTATGTTTTTTAAACATAAAATATAACTGAGTTTTACGTGAAAAAAAATGCTTGTAACAGGCATGGAGATATTGGAACGACGGGAACTGTATCAATCTCATAGATTCTAACTACCTTGATTCATCCCTAGTGGAAGAAGAGATTTTGAGATCCATACAGGTTGGTCTCTTATGTGTTCAACCACATGTAGACGACAGACCGAGCACAAAGTCTCTGTCGTATTGATGCTCCAAAGCCAACAACATGATATCCCCAAGCCAAGAATTCCCAATTATTTCTATGCGAGGATCCTCCGCGATGAGGCCCCTTCGTCTTCGTCAGTCGGACAATCCAGCACTGTGAACTATGCCACTGCGTCAGGCATTGATCCTCGGTGATGTATTATCTGGTAGGGTATTCTTAAATATGCCACTTATATATTTGATGCTTTGTTTGTTTAAATATGATACAATCCGGTTGTTGTTATATTTGTAACCGGAATCAACTTCATTAATATTTAATAATAATACTCTTGGTATTGGTTGTATCAATTTATAATCTTGTCTCCTAATAGGTCTTTTGTGGTATCTCCTTTATAAGATGACACCTTTCTTGTTTATCTGCCGAGTGTTGTTCACTCCATAATGATTGTTCACTTCTTTATTTGTTTGCCAATGGTTTTATAGCAAAAGTTTAACTCATCTGCTTTTAAGTTAAATGGTACACACATCTGCACTAAGCTGCATCTTATTAAACGACCTTTCTGCCCATGAGTTCGTGTTGTAGAGCACGTGCTTGTCAAGTGCGTATCCAGGCTTACAAACGTACTCCACCAGGTAATCCGAGAGGACACAAGGGATTTCATGGCGTATAAACTCTTGGATCCAGATGTCGTCCCGCGGCATCCCGGGGCTTATCAACGCGAAATCAGTGTTTTCATTCAAGAAACGCGTGTACGGAGGCGCTGTTGCCAATATCATACCATCCCCAGCTTTCACAGCTCGCTTTAATGTATCCTGATTACGGCCAATAACATATAGAAAGACATCAAGAACCAATAAAAAATGACAAGGATGTGTGACATATATCTAGACGAATCATTCTAGTGTTTCAACTCTATCAATCTCTTTTAGCTAAATTCCATCAGGTTTCTTGTTTTAAGAGACGAATTCACTCTGCCAAGGAAATCAAGAACGAAGAAATTTGGCAGAGCTGTGAGAAATACATTACTTACCAAAGAAGGGATGGTGCAGTCACCGTATACAACAATGCGCAGTCCATATAAAGCACCATGTCCTGTTTGCTCCCTGACGAGCCGCCATTTCCTTGGGGACTCGAGGCTTATCGCACCATCAGCACTAAGACCACTGCTGTGCCATTCATAAGGCTCCTCTGGTAATAGTTTCCCAGCTTCCTTTGAATCAGCCACATAGTCAGTCTTCAGAATCCAACTGCGTTACAGAAACTGATGAGTAAAAGATGAAAAGAAAAAGTTTTCATCAAAGCAGAAGCTCAAACTAGGAAACTGTTTGAAAATCAGGGCTTAGTTTGGTGTTCGACACAGTACAGAGGGTGTATGATACTAAAGGGTTGATTGTAAAAAGTTATTGTACCTTCCAGATGCAGCAGCAGCGAAGAACTTTTCAGTTCTACGGATTTCAGGAGCAATAAAATGTGTTGCTTGATAAGACCACTGATGAGAATCTCGGCAACATTTTCCTTTTAAACGCCTAATGATCTGCTGATATTCGTTTCTCTGGGACCTAGGACCACTGACAATAAAACACTTCGGCTCATGCTCTTGGTCCTGCAAGACTTTTCTACTAGCCAAGGGATTAGCCCTGAGCTGCGTAGACTCTTTATCCACCTTTGTACCTGTTGTAGCTGACTTTGCAACTTTCTTTCTTGCTAATGCTTTTCCTGAAACTGGGCTTTGGTCTCCACCAGAACCGATCTTCCCAGATTTACTATCCGCTGCAATATTCTCCTTATCTTTTGCAGAGTTATCCCCTATATTGTTCATCACAGTGTCAGTTGTTTTGGCGCCACTTCCTTTTTTCGATTTTTTAGTCTTCTTAACACTGGATTTTCCTACTTCAACTGTAGAAGAACTTCCCATCTTTCCACTTTGAAGACCACTTCTATCTACAATAGCTTTCTTTCCGTGTTTACATTTATTCTTATCAACCTCTAATTGCATTGCAGCATTACTTGGGTCCTTAGCTGCAGCCTCCTTTCTAACTAGTAGTTTCCCCGCAACCAGGCTTTGAGCTCCATCAGAATTGACATCTCCAGATTTCTTATCTACTGCTACATTCTCCTGCACTTCGGCAGAGCTAACCCATATATCATTCATAACAGTATTGTTTGCTTTGGCGTCATCTTCTTTTCTAGAATATTTCACCTTTTTGACACAAGGTTTTTGAAGCCAAGTGTTTTCTACAGTGGCCTCCTTTCTGCGTTTACTTTTATTCGTATCAACCTCAGATTGCACTTCAGCATCACTTGGATCTTTAGTTGCACCTTCCTTTCTTGCTAATGTTTCTCCTGCAACTGGGCTTTGGTCTCCACCAGAACTGACCTTCGCAGATATATGTTCAAAAGCTAACTTATCCTTCTCATCCGAAGAGTTATCCCCTATATCTTTCATCAGAGTACCGATTGCTTCTGTATCATGTTCGTTTCTAGATTTTTTGGTCTTCTTAACACTGCATTTTCCTACTTTGACTGTAGAAGAACTTTCTTTCTTTCCACTTTGAAGGCTATTTTTGCATACAGTAGCCTCCCTTTTGCGTTTACTTTTAATCTTATCAACCTCTAATTGCAACGCACCACTTGGATCTTCAACTGGAACATCAGTAAGCTCCAGTTCTAGCACAGTAATTTCCACATCTGCATCAGCTTCCTCTGAGGTCTTAGCCTGCAGCTTACCTTGGTTCACCATCAAATCCAGCCCAAGATGGTCTTTCTCTTCTGGGGCTAAACATTTATTATCTAGAGAGTCAATTCCCTGGAAGGCTTCAGTCTCTGAGTCAATATGTTTTGCCATTTCTGGTACAACCTCAGTATTTAGGACAGGGCTTGATATCTTCTTCTGATTTCTGTTACCTGATTTAGGCACTGAAACTTGTCCTCTGTTTAGACAATCATTGCGCTCATCCTTTCGGGTAGGTTCACTCAAGTATATTGATCCCTTTTCGTTAATGGGGTTCTTTTTCCTGCCTCTGGTGCCTAGGCTCTTTTTTGGAACTGTTTTCTTCTTGGGCAGCTCTGTTTCTTGATCGTCTTTCATTTCAATTAAACCCGGCCCAGGAGAGGTGCTGCTAGATATCCTCATCACAGGTTCAGTTACAGATCTTTCAGGTACCTCATCCAATGCTTCCTCCTTAGTAGAATTTTCAGGCGTCCGCATATCAGCTTCCATGGGAACAACACCTGAACTGAACAACCTAGCTGCTGAATCACTCAGATCCAAGTTATGTGCAGCTTCCCTGCCTCCAGCGTGGTCACTGAGGTTTGGCACAACCCTAAGGTTTTGCTTAGGCGAGACTGATCTTGGTTCATGCAATAAGACATTTCCCGCCATTGCCTCAGCCAATGAACTCTCCGATTTAGTGTTAAACACACTTGCGGCAGATTTATGGCCAAATTCCCCGCTTTCAGTTGGATCATTAATGCTTGTCACAAGCCTAAGGTTTTCTTTAGGCGAACTTGGTCTTAATTCCTGCAATAACAAACTAGTCGGTGATGGAATACTTGCCTTGCTCTTGTGATGTACCTTCTGTGAATCTTTGCTACTGACGGATTCATCTGTAAATTTTGCCTGAGGCATCATTGGAGGGGACTCCTTGCCATGCAACTTATCAATCTTGTCAAAATCTTCAAAGAGTATTGTTCTTTCCACGGAGGAACCAGATTTTGATGCAGAGATATTAAAAGAAGTCGAAGCTTTTTGTCCCTTGTCATCCATTTGCAGAGAACCGTTTTGGCCACTTGACTCTTTTCCCAGAGTATTTGTTTCTGGTGATCTCTGAAGTGTTTTTCTTGAATAAGTGGCTAGAGAAGAATGCCTTCTGATGCTCCTGTTAATAGACATCTGGCTATCAGTCTCCATTTTTCTCATCCCTAGCTCACGAGACTTGTTTGCAAGCCTAATGGGGGACAGAAAATTGGAAGTATCCTGACATGTGCTTTCTCTCTGGTAATTATGTTGCTGAGCAACACTAGGATCAGTAGAGACCACGGCTTCAACAGGTCTGTCCGTATTTTTAGGAGTCAACCCATTGTCTTTGGACGTATTACATAATGATGAAACTTCCTGTGCGCCTGAATTTGTTTGAACAACAGGGATATTTTTTTCTCCCGGCTTAGACATTTCAGCTGCAGCCCTAGCACCGACCCTAAGACCAAGAGGGCTGTTGTTTACACACTTCACAGACGCATCTTCGTCCTCAGAATCCCTAGCTGAAGCCTCCATCATCTCCAACTCGTAGGCACTAACAAAAGAGAAAATGATCAGCTTGTAGTGGAAGTATATGCTGAACAGTAACACTATGAATCAGGGTGAAAGGAGCACGAAATCCAGAAACCAATTTCTTCAAGAAGACATCAGTTCATCGTTCAATAAGAGCCTACACCAACTCTATAGAATAGCAAATCTAGGCGGTCTACTAATACAAGAGAATAGAGATGGATATGTCAGCACTTTTACCTTATCTCGTAATCAACCTCAGGAAGGAGCTTCCAATTCTTTAGGCTGCAAGGAAAGAAAGAAATAAAGCGAAAAATAAAATCACAATCACAAAACGAAAAACGAAAAAAGTGTATGAAGAGAACTTTTGTATGCCTCTTACCAGTCCTCTAACCACCGGTGGTTCACTAGTTTAATCCTCTTCATCCGCTTGGCTAGCTCATACTTTTCTCCTGCACAGAAAGAAATGTTGGTTCCCCCGAAAAACACAAGCTTAGGAAAGTAAAAGATGTGACACCTAATGGCTGCGATCAAGTAAATGACGCACCCTCAAACTTGTAGCATATAAGATGAGTGATTCGGTTAGCAACCAAGGGCTTAGAGAAGTTCCCACCCATCAAATCAACCATTGTCTGTAAAAGGAAGAAACAAGGCTCAAAAGGGTTACAAAAACGGGAAACAAATACCAAAATAACAAGATGAAGAAAAAGGGAAAGCACACCACACCATAATGTCTTCTCTATCTTGACCTTGGTACCCGGTCAAGCACACAACTAATGTACTGGAACCTGGAACGCCATTCAAATCTCTAAGAGGCCTATACAAAACCTGTGAACAAATAAAAGCAATCAACAACAAGAAAAGATAATAAATGGCTAACAAAATCATACAGAAACTGACCGAATTGGCATCGAGAAGTGTTCCAATATCGGAGCTGTGATCAACCCATGACCCTGTGACAACCGCCTTCCCACTGCTTCGAGCAGCGACGCAAATCGGGTCATCCTAAGAGAGGTGTCAACAACAACAACAACAACAAAAAGTAAGAATCATTTGAACAAGAGACTCAAGAAAGTAAGAAAATTTAGAGAATTGGACTAACATAAACAAGCTTATCTACGATGAGGTGAGTACAGGATTGAGAGTTTTGGCCAACATCAACACCACCACCACTCACAAGCTTGGACCGTAACTGTTATGGCAAAATCAGAAACCTTACAATATTTACAAGAAGAAGAAGAAGAAAGAAAAAAACCGAATCTTGAAGAGAGTAGAGAAATACCGAGTTTTCATGGATGGGATTGAATCCAACGAGAGCGAATTGAACACCCAAAAACGTCTTAGGAGTAGAACTCGATTCCTGCATTATTTGTTTTTGAGTGGGAAAATTAGGGTTTCATCAGGGTGGATAAGACCGAAACTTGGATTGAATCCCCAAATAAAATAAAATAAAAACCCAGATTTGTACAGAAATCGACTTCAATCAGAATTCAGAAGGAAACACAAAAAAAGAAGAAGAGATTTTTAGAAGAAGAAATTGGGATTTTGCAGAGAGAAGGAGAGAAGAGAGTCGTCCCCGGGAAGATTCAGAACTGTATTGGCAAAGCGGGGGAAATTGAAAAAAAAATGAAAACTTTTGATTTTCCTTTTTTCTCTTTTTTTTATATAATTTATTAAATGGCTCGAGTGGTCTGGCGGGATAAGCAAAATCAACGTGGCGCCATCACGTGACTCTACCGACTAGTGAAAATTGGTTTGGTTTAATTCAAATCCAAATTGAAATTTGTTTGGTTCGGACCAAACTAATTGCTGGCGAAACCGGAACAATATTTATAACGGGGACATGCATGCATGAGCTTGACAATGTACAATAACTACGACGAACGAACCAAAGAGACTTTTCAGAACTACTACGATACTTATTTTTAAAAAAATACGTTTTCGGATGCAAAAGCAAATTTAAATTAAAAAAAACAGTATATACAGTGAAAATGTGTGTTTGGAACCTAAACCAAAATAACACGACTGAGTAAAGTGACACAATTGTTGTATGAACGAACTGTATCAACTTCTCTAAACCCTTTGTGGTATTCTCAACGGGCGGTGTTATTGTCTCTAAATCTTTTTTTGTAAAGGTTTCCTTTTTTTTTTTGTTTTTTTTTGGTCAACAATAAAGGTTTCCTTAGTTATACCAACATTACTTTAAAAATACAATAGTTAACACTTAACACTATCCTAATTTTGTGTATTCTAACCAAAGTCTCCTCAACTCTCACCTGATTTAACGTAACCCACTTGGTTCTTTCTATTCATACTTTTACACATTGGTAAAATCAACAAAACCCTCGTTTACCAATGTGCTGTCTGATTTGTGGCATGCAAAACAACATCAAACCGAATTAAAAAAAAAAAAAAAGATTTAACACAGCGTTTAAAAAATAAAAATAAAAATTGACACACAAAAAAAAAAAAAACAATGGGAAAGTGCATCTAAGCAGAACCACCAACGTTATGTGCAGCAGTAGTATATATATCATACATTCATGTACCTCTCGATATGTCATGTCCAAAGCGAAGAAAGTTTTGTCTTTTGCTAGTTTTCTTCGTTTTGTGTGCATTTGATTAGACTTCTGTCAATTCATTTAAAAAAAAAAAAAAATGTAGCCTTTTCTGATGGTAAAATAACCTGTTGTCTGAAAATTTTATTAGCTACAATCTTTTATTTTTCTGAATTTTATTAGAAATAGAACTTTATATTTTAAATTTGGTTATGATCATTCGTTTGTTGATTGATTTTTATTATGCTATATAACAAACGCTAATTCTCTCAATTGGTCTATCTAATTGTTTGACATATAAAGTATAGTAGGAAAATGCGAACTAGCTAGTCCACGATGACAACTCATAGAAGCATAGAGACGAAGAGACGATGAAACATGTTGTGTACTCAGTAATCTCTACAACCAGACCTCATCACCAGCTCTCACTTCTCAACAAATATCTTATAACTTGCATTTCTTTTCTTTTTGGCATTTTTATAACTTGCATTGTTTCATAAAGACTAAAGTATTCCACTTGTAAGTTGTAACCAACAAAAAAAAAAAAAAGACTAAGACTTTAAAGATATACTATAATTTTTTCATAAGGAAATCTGCCTTATATGACATATTTAAACCTAATTCTTTAAATGATATCAGCAAAGATCACGTGAAACCATATTTAAAATTTACTTAGAAAATAATATTTGCTTTTCAATTTTCAACTAACAGAAATATAAGAAGTACAAAGAAAACAAAAGTTCCGAATGATTTGTATAATAACGATTATTTATCTGAAATAAAATATTCTGTTTCAAATGTTTATTATTGTATTTGGATTTTCTTAAAAAATCAATATTTTAATTTAAAATTATCGTAAATGCATAATACAATTTTGACATTTGCTTTAATCATCTGTGCGTGGTAAACTCTAAAAGAAAGTAACAAATCAAATTTGATGTTAAATAAATAAACACTAACTAATTACTCAATCATCGAAAAATAAATAAATATGTATGAGAAATGTTTTAATCATGAGAAGCAGAAACACAAATGTGAAAAGATGTAAAGAAAATGTTCATAATTATGTTTGCTAGGGATCACATTTTTGGGTGTTTTTTGTCGTTTAGGCAGAGTGAGGAATAAAGAAGAAAACAAACAAGAGGGAAAGCTCCAAAATTCTCGGGCAGAGACAATATTCTTATTATCCATAATTTCATCCAATGTGAATCTTTCTTTTGTACAAAGAAGAAGAAACATCTTCTCGCCGGTTCAATCATATTTATGACTCAGCAACTTAGCGCTTCGTATTTAACCGGAATCGGTTGATTAAACCCGGTCCGTGCAATCAAACTCCCAACCACCGTCAAATCTCTACAAAACACTCCTTTCACCACATTCGTATTGTTGTTATTATTACTGTTCACCGCAACCGCTCTAATCGGCGTTTCGACGTTGTTACTCCGATGATGAGTATCCGCCGCTACGGCGGCTTTTCGTTGCTTCTCCGCCGCTTGTTCCGTTGCGATGTTACTTGTCACGACTGAGTAGCCTTTCTGGATCAATCTGTATAATAATAGAGTTGACATTCTGGCTCGGTCCTTAACCGAGTCTAATTCTTCCTCATCATCGGTTAACTCAAACCGGTCGATAAATGACATTGATCTCTCCGGTTTATGCTTCAAATTGAGTAACAAGTAGGCTCGATCCAGCTCTGATCTCGAGCAATCACGTCTGATTCCCATCAGAGCGTAGTAATCCACGTTTCCGATTTCTCCGTTTGCGATTTTCGTCTTCAGTTGCTGGATTTTCGTGGTCAAGACGCATAGTTTTCCCGGTATTTCTCTGTACCGGACATTGTGCCGTTTCCAAACCGGACCGGGTAGTTTCCGGTCACGTAAGATGGAGTTGTATAGGAGTTTCAGATGTTCCAGATCGTGAAGCGAATCGGGGAAACAACGAACGGATTCTAGCAATGCGGCTCTCGTTTCCAAGGCTTGGAGACACGACGGGTCTAACGCTAAGGTTTTGTTACAGTCGGCGATTGATTCAGCTATTCGTCCGGCGGATCTGTAGGCGGAGGCGCGGTGCATAAAGCACTGGGCGAGAAATCCCTGCGGCGCGCCGCGGCGGCTGTCTAAGATTTTGGAGAAATGGCGGATCGACTCGGAGTAGAGGCCTGCGTCGAGAGCGGCGAGTGCGGCGGCGCGGCGTCGTAAGAGTAGCTTGATGTGAGAAAGCACGTGAGCGATGCTCTCTGATCGTGGCTGAGATCCGGAGGTAACGACAACGGAAGGAGGAGAGGAACAGCCGTCGTTGGAGGAGAAGAGAATGAAGCTGTCGTCGGACAAGCAGATGCTCTGACGGCGGAAGGCGGCCGTGGCTAAGCGTTTACCGGTTTGGAGAAGAACCATAGCGTCCTCCATTAGACCTAAATGGCAACAAGCTTGACCTAAAACCAAATATCTGTAAAACGAAGAAGAAAAGATCCGAGTCAGTAAAAAAAAAAACCGGGTCGGGTTTTAAAAGAGTATTGGGGTGAAAGTGAAAATGACCTCCATTGCCCTTGTTCGTGACAGTTTTTAGTGAGACCAGCCATGACCTTCTTCTTCAAATCAGAGACAGAGAAGCATTTAAAGGAGGAGTCATGAGCGGGCAAATCGTTGAGAAGATTGACAGATTCACGAGAAGAATGAGTAAAAGAGAGCTCGCCGGAATCATCGGCGGCTAATTTAAGGCTAGGGATGTAATCGTGAAGCATATCGGCGACGTCTTTGAAACGGCGGAGGTAAAGAAGCGATCTGGCTTTGAGTTCGAGAGCGAGTTCGTAACGAGGGGATACAGAGAGCGCAGATTCGAGAAGATCCAGAGCCGATTTAACGTCGTTTGGATCTTGACTCGCTATTAAATTCTTCGCTTCTTTCATATACTTATCCACGATCTGAGAGATGAGATTAAAAAAAATTGATCATTGAATATATATATTAAAAAAATGATCAGATCCGAAGAGGCGAAATGAGAAATTAGTTAGACAGAGACCTTCTTGTTGCGGAGCCACCAATGCTTCTTCTCGCCATAAACCGCCATTGACGTAAACCTTTCGGTCTTCGTGTGAAACAAATCCAGAACACGAAGAGGAGGGAGGGAGGAAGAAGAAGAACTTTTCTCTCTTCTCGATCCGGAAAAAAAAATTACAATTAAATTTTATTATATAAATTTAGAGAGAGAGAGAGAGAGAGAGAGAGAGAGAGGAAAAGTCGAAAACACGAGAGAGAGAGAGAGATTTTGAAAAATCATGTGAAGAATTGAAGTGTCTTAAATATGGAAGGGAGTTGTGGAATAGTAGTAGTAGTAGTAAAGAAGATGAATGCTAAAATGACGGATTAACCCCTCGAACTTCTTTGGATCCTGTTTTTTATTTATTTATTTTTATTTTAAATCCTAGCTGGCAACACTATTGCTTTGCTTGCTTACCATCAAACCTATCATGATTCCACTCTTCCTTCATTCATTATTTCCTAAAATACATTTTTTTCTTTCTTTCTTTTCTTTTTCTTGTTGGTTACAGGAAAAATAAAAACCACAAAATTTATATTTTTATAATATATTTCTATAAACATTCAATTTTCGTAACTATTTTTTTTTATTAAAAATAATTGGATATATAAAACTAACTTTTGATATCCCAAGAATTATGTGGTTTAAATTAGTAGTGATCATTTATATCTTTGGAAGAGTTTTTTTTAATAGTTCCTTTTTTTTTTGTTATTTGTATACTGTTATCTTAATTGAGGAGAAAGCTTTCTGGCTTTATTTAATAAATGGGTTATTAAATACAAATATATTTAGGCCTTTCAATGAATGCACATGTACATGAGTACAAGATTTTAGATAAAACTAAAAAGAATGGCCTGCTTTAGTTACTTGTGGCTTTAAAAGTCTCTCTCTCAAATAACTAAATATATTTGGAAGGTGACAATTATTTTTAATCTTTGCAAGGAGATTGAGTCGTTAAGATGTAAGATGAAAAGTGATTAATTATTAACTAAAGATTACTAGTCAATTTCACTTATGCTAGTAAATAGTAATTAAGATACTAAATGATGTTTATGTTATCCACAGTAAATATATAAATAGTTCTGTACAAAATACCAAACAAAAAAAAACAATAACAGTATATAGTATTTGTGTATATAAAATACAAGAAAAAATAAGAAAAAATTGACAAAGGTAAGAAAAGTAAATGTTCTCCAACTAACGGGTTTGCTTTTTGCAGTTGCTGCTGATATTATCTCATGCACGCAACAATTATACCGCTCGAGGTTAGACGCAATAAATATTTTTCTTTTTTTTATATATATATAAATTTAAAAGGAACCAAATTTAAATCTATAAACCCTAGCAGTATTACAATTTTATGTACATGTAACTTTTTCTCAACGTATATTATGTAACATGGTAAATAGTGTTTTGTTGAAGGATTTTTTTTTTATGCAGAAGAGGGGGAAATAAAATAGTGAAATTATTTTTGGTGGGCAGGAAGGAACAAATTTGTAATTAACATTTTTAAGTAACAAGGAAATGGTTGCGTTAACGCCAAGAATATATATATGACTTTGTATTAGCTTCGACGTGGCATTCTCCTATACAATCTAGCTTATATAAATACATTAAACTCGGCTAAAAGAAATATTCATAAATTTAGTGAATCATTACATCAACATCGAGGATTAAAAAATGCCTAATCTAAGTTCCATATTGAAGAGAATAAAACGAGGAAATGAATACCTAGTGATCTAAACCCATTTCATATTTTCATTAATATATACTTACAATATTTTTTGCACATTGTAACAAAACTTTACCCCTATATATGTTAATTCTATACATACCACTGGATAAATATCGTTAAAATAGGGATGCTGCTATGTACACCAAATCAAAAGCAATTATTTAGAGATTAGTATTAATTTCGGTACACTAATTAATTGTGCCACAATGTTGGAAAAGTACAATCTTATGAGCTAACCATTAGGACATAATTATTGGTCATTCAAAAACAATTATTCTATCTTCATGATTCGATTCTCTTTCAAACGCTAAGTACAATTTTTTTTTTCTTGGATTATGTTTATGTGAAGAAAAAAAAAAAAAACCATGACTGATAATTGTGGTGTTCACAAAATCATACCACATATATATATTTATGTTATTTATATGTCTTGTCCTAGGAATAATAAATGATTATGTGTGTATGAGTTTCTAATTCTATTATGAAGAAGTCTTCAGAATTGGGGGCTCCAATGTATGGAAAGGGGCCAGCAAAGAATGACATAATTGCAAAATAACATGACCAGTTCTAATATGTAATGTATCATATGAGTCTGCTTAATTTGGTTTCTTTCTATACAAACATGTTATCACAGCTCATTTTACATATACAGCTCTTAACCTCTCTCTCCTTTATTCTTTTTCAATGTTGTGTCGAGGAAACAAATGACTTCTGATTTGATGCAAACGATATATATAATCACATAATTTAGTTGATGGTTGTAAAACTTGATGATGATGATGAATGATGATGATGATGATGTTGCCTTACGTTAATGCTTTAGGGTTTTTGAAAGTGAAGATTGGACTAGTAACATTGTAGAGTTGAGATACCTGCATGCAGTGCAATAATAAGTTAAGATATATACAATAATTTTACCCCCAAAAAAAAAACTTATTGTTGATGTGAAATTCTTTTCAATTTCCGTAATACTTGAAAATTCCAACTGATCAAAATCGTGATTTTTGAATAATTAGGTGGGTCATTGTGCATTGTAATGACAAAATTAGGATGTCACTTTGGATTAACTACCTGGCAGAGTTTAAGCATAGCGGGGTAAACAATCATACCAAAAATAATTGAAACCCACTTGTTTTGTGAAATTTATTTTACATCCAAGCAAATCTTGTGTTTATAGTAAACTCCATATAATTAAATTAAAACAATTCTCCCGGAAGTTGTTAAGTAGTCTTTTAATTCTTTGTCAATTAAAGTATTATGCAACTGATCACCCGTAATAAATATGTCTTTGTTGATGATACAGTACAGCTATGGCTGCTGCTCAGTGTTGGTATATATATATATATATATATATGCAAGGCATAGAAGGATCCAATCTTTAATACTCTAAAGAATCATGACATGGTACATGATGGTTTGGTTTCTAAAACAATTTAATTAAGAATCAAATTTTAAAATACCGAGGATACAAAGTGCCGAGTTAGAAGAGAGCAAGTCATCAATGTTTCAAGTGGGCAAACACATGTTGTGTTTTTTTTGTAATACATCAAACTTTTTTTTTTCTTCGTTCCGTAATTAGTAAATAATTTATTCGTTTCTTTAAGGGAAATTTTAATTTTTTTATATATTAATTTGAATGTTTGATCTTTTTAATTTATATATATTTGTTAATGGAGAAAAATTAGAAGTATCTCTAGATTTTTTTTTTTTTTTTGGTCAAGTATCTCTAGATTATAAATATGTTTTCTTCTGCGTATAGGCTACTCATGCTCATTGGATCCCTTACGTACAGCTGCCGAGTAGTTGTTGTTTGGTGAGAGCTTACTAATTGTACATTTAATAACGTTTTATTTAATACAAACCGAAACATGCCTATGTTATTTTTCAGGAGTATAAAAGAGAAGTTTATAATTGTATCACTATACTAGATAAGAGAAGGATATATAATCTGAATTCAATTTCTGTCGATTAACAATTTTGGTGTTTGGCACTTTGTTTGTTGTATACTCGAAGTTGTACATTGTGTGTTTACTAAATGACACAACATTTTAGTTTCCTAACAGAGATATATTTGGTAAATTCAATAAACATTATTACAAAGTGAATTTTCTTTAATATATAATGGAAATTGCGTATTTATTGAAAGTTATTATTACAAGAGTGTATTAGTTAAATATATATATAGTCCTGAAGTTTACAGATATGCGAATGCAATCTCGTGAGTGGTCCATTTAGTTGCCACTAATAATTTCGATTTATTCATATTTATATACAACTATATGCCATTGATCTCACCATTATCATTCTATTGTGTCATTTAAGTATAATGTAAAGTAGTTAAATATAATAACATGCACTAACTCTTCCAATGAGATCTCATCTACTGGTAACTTGCTATTTAAGCTATTAGTTAATTAACATGAATGGTAAAGCTTTTCAATTATCAATACGTGTTGGTGTCCAATGAAGGCACAACTTTGTTGTGAAGCCCTAAAGATTCCCTTATCCAAAAATTTGACCCACATCCACATGTGTTGATTTATGATAATATATTTTAATTACCATATTTAGATTACTGCATTTATTATTAATTTTAACCATAATATATATATGTACATATGATTATATTTTAGTTTTTGAAAAATAATTTTATACCATTTTCAGCAAAATGTAGCACGCATTATTCCTTAGTTACGTTTTTATTATTTGATAAATAAAGACTTAAAAGGCCTAACATATATTTTTATAATTTTCCTCTAGATGTTAAGTTTACATTTGTTGGCCGCAAACAAACAATGTTTGTGAACGGGGGTGTATTTAGGAGCAAAAAGCCTATGACCTAACAACATTGAAGAAAGTAATTATAGTAGTATATTTTTGAATTTTGAGGATTAATGCTATTTTTGAGAATTGTCCTATATTATTTATCATTAGATATGCAAGATGAACCAATCATATTATGTTGAGATCATCATCATCCGATCCATTGTGACCTCATCACCTCTCTGCACGTGCATGATGGCGAGATTTCACGTGTCACATGCAAACCATTTTATTTCTATGGATTCTCTTATAATCGATTAGTGTAGTTGCTTTCTAAACTATTAATAATAACATCGGATTAATCATAATTTCTCTCATATAAAGAAGAAGAAAAAAAAGTGTAAAATGTATTGTTCTTTTTTCAGTACGTACGCTCCTCAAATTGTATCATACCAAATCATGGTGCGCGATCGAATTAGATATCCGAAAAGTGTGTGTGCGTATGGGGTTGCTTTGCGTCCATTATGCCACGTTTTTATGTCCTTGACCGGTTTATTAGGCCAAATTTTAAAATCCACCAAGTTATTATCTTTAAAAAATGCCACTCATGTAAATAGATCTCTCAATATTAAAGTGTCAAAAATGCATACAAAAAGAGATGTTTTCTACCCTAATTTCTCAAATTTTAATCATACCAACATAAATTTTTTGATACTTCTTTCTTATACACAAAAGTTTTCTTCTATAACTTCATCAACTAATCATAAAAAAAGAAGAAAGTATTTTCACATGAAAAGGAAAAACGTAACTTGCATTTTACTTAGTTTTGTACCACGATTTTATTTTGTTGTTTTTGCTCGACTTTAAAATGCATGTTCTTATATATACCCTATACTTTGGAATTTTCTTTTACCGATACTTTGCTCTGTTCATATACATTGCTTTAGGATGACAAAAAAAAAAATATATACATTGCTTTATATATGCAAAGTATATTTATACACACGTTTGAAGGTTTTGTTTTCATATATAGATTTTATTTTAACAAGAAAATGCAACATGCATCTCTTTATTTCCTTAACGACCCTTTCTTGGTTCTTATGGATAATAAAGTATTTGGGCTGAAATGAAAACCCTTGATGAGTCTAAGAGTCGTTGGTTGATTTAACACAAGTTTAGAAAGTACACACAATTTCACCAAATTACAATATGTGAACCTCACAAAGACCAATATTGGTCCCATAATTAATATGCGTAAAGACTTTTTCTAGTTAGCAGATCACACACATAGCTAGGACCAAAAAGCCAGAATGGTTTAGTTCTCAATAACAACATCAATTTGAAAATCACAGGCCTCATCGAAAGGTTGGTTTTAGCTGAGAGAACTATATATAGGCATATAGCTGATGAGGAGCTCTTCGACACCACAGATATAAAAGTTGACTTTTGCTTTTGCATAGTAAATTAAATACTAAGTACTACAAGTATCAAGAGCTGCCGAGCGAAACAGAGGGTTCTGGGATTTCACGTGAGTTTCCCGTGACCGGCGTACAGACACACCACGCACGTAAAAAGAAGCGATTTACACAATTTTAGCACAAAAAAACACACAAAAATACTTGGAAAAGGATATGAACAAAACGACCTCGTATTTAAAACAAGAACCGTTGATGCATTTTCTTCTTTGCTTTCTTCTCTTTGATAGGATCCAAGCTTGGTTTCCACCCTTTTCCCGACAATTGCCGGCTCAAAAACTCCGACCTCTCTTCCTCCTCCATCTCCGCCTCCAACCTTCCAACCGTCGTAGCAGCAACCACCGCATCCGCCGCCGGACTAATATTTTTATTACTTCTAGTAGTAAACCAAGGAAGAATCCCTTCATAGTAGCTAAATGACGACCTTACCATCGCCGTGGCGCTAAACAGCATTTTCCTCATCTCCTCTGACGTCAGCACCGTCGATGACGATGATGATGAGGATGACGATGATTTGGTTGCACCACCAAAGCTTCTTTTGGCGGGGAGCACCAAATAGATCTTTCCCGGCTCGAGTGTTTTGTCCGCTGGCAAAGGAGCCAGCTTCTTCTTAACCGTGTTTCCATCTTTGTTTTTCCGGTGGGGGTTGTTGAATGATATGGATGATGGATCAAATTCGACAACCACGTGTTGCGGATTTTCCAGCATAATCTCAGCCACCGTCGTCTCTTCCTCTAAGTTTTGCACTCTTCCGTCCGATAATACAACTTTTCCGGCAGCCATTGTAGCTGCAGCATCCAACTTCCGAGAACCGGCGACATTACCCATTGTCAGATCAGAATGATCTTATAACTATGTTTTCTACGTCTATGTAGATTATATATAACACACACAAGACATGTGAAATATGGTTTGGTTTGTATTGAGTTCGTTAAACGGTTCCATCTTTTACTTATAATGATAATTTATTCATATACAAAACAAATTGTATGGGTTTGTTGGGTAATCTCATGGATGGTTTGATTTTATTTCAAAGATTCATCAAACGGTCGTGACACTCTTTTGCTGCTTGTACATCTACATCTACACACGTATTTAAACTTTTTTCTTATTTATATATCGACTAATGCGTGAAATGAAAGTGAAAAAAACTGGTCAACCACACATCTCTTTCTCTATTGGGTTAGTTAACTAACTTCACATATAGAAAACTTTTTCATCTTTTATTTCAATAATATATCGAGGATAAGTAACGAAGCATGTAATGTAAAAAAAAATCACTACAAGAAACAAACCAGTGCAGGATCAGACAAACGAGAAGCTACGTTTTATGACATTTTCTTACAACACATTTAAAAAAAAAAAAAAGGAGCAAGACAAAGTACAAAAAAGAAAAAGAAAACGAGATTTAAAGAAACTTAGGTTTAATTATATACCCATGGGGAATCTAGTAGTCTTACTTGATGTATTGAGAGAGCCATTTAAAGCCTTCGCCATAACCCATTTTCCTGACGATGCTGCACATGAAAACCTCCAATGGCCTTACATTCGAATCCGTTAGATTCACTTTACCCTTTCCTGTAGTGAAGTTGGAGAGGCCAAGATGGTAACGGAGCTCGTCCTCTGATGCAGCATAGGGTATGTCAATTTTGTTTCCTAGAATGAGGAATGGAACGTTGGCTAGGGATTCGTCTGAGAGAAGTGCGTCGAGTTCCTTTTTCGATTCTGCAAATCTCTCTTTGTCGTAAGCATCAACTAGGTAGACCACAGCATCCACCTGCAAAAAACAGAGTAATCATCGAAACTGATGGTTCATAAAACTCTTCCACTGAAGTAGTTTAACCAGGCCGAAACACTTGGAGATTCTGATTCTTCCTTCAATGTTTATCAGAGACGATGACTACCGAAAGCTACACACTCAAAGTCTTCGACTTGGATAATCTTGAAAACTGACACTAGAGTGAAAACTGTTTCACATGATGCATTGTCTGCAAGCTAAGCTACAAGACATAATCTTTTGTTTTCACAAGGAAGAAGTGCATAAGAACAATGTAACGGGTGCACATACAGAGAGGCAAACACGTGAAATGAGGAGAAATCTTCAATAAAGACAACAAGGGGGCAGTGAATAGCTAGAATCGACAAAACCATAAGTTGTAAAGATAGATGCCTCATGTTAAGATAAATGACAAAAAGATACAACAGAGGAGATGATATCTCAAAATACCTTGGCATAGTAATCCTTCCACACCCTCCGAGCAATCTGATGACCACCCAAATCAAAAGCCTTGAACTTGATTTTCCCAATGCTGAGTTCTTCAGAGGTTGGATGCTGCGTCGGCTGATGCTGTACCAATCTCTGTTTTACCGGTTAATAAGATCATTAATGAACTAAACACTAATCTGGGATTGAGCTAAAAAGGATTTCAAACAGTAGCAATAACCTAAAATCAAAGTAAAGCATCTACTCCAAAAAATCAGAAACTTGTCACAAATCAAAGCGCAATCTATTAAGAAGAATTCAAAAAAAAAAAAGGATTGGGATCGAGAGAGCGAACCTCGTCTTTCAACATATGAAGCAAGGTGGTTTTACCAGCATTATCGAGTCCTAGAAACAAGATCTTAGCCTCCTTCTGCCATAACCCTAACGAAGCGAGGACGCCATAGAACCAATCAAGCATGAACATGACTACTACTCAGTCTCAGATCATACAAACTACTCAGATCAAGAGAGAAAGAGAGAGATGGTCTCTCGTCAGGTTTCTAATTTGCTATGATCACAACTCAAGTGTGGGAAAGGGATTGAAAAAGTAAAGTAAAACAGGAAAAACGGCAAGCAGTGCAGATTCCGAAATCACAAACTGATGTTTACAATGGATACCGCCTTTGTCTTTTACGTCAAAAGCAAGCCCAATTAGATAGGATCCACTAAGCCCACTTACAGATTTAACACAAGCTCTCCAAATGGGCCTTTTTTTAGTTCAAGGAATATAATTTTTTTTCTTCTTTTCCGGATCATTACTGTATGTATGTACACAGTATATTATAGGAAATATCTGATAAAAATCCAAGAGTATTTTTTTTTTTTTTTGATAATACACATGCATGGTTCATAAGTCATAACAAACAATTATACTTTCTATAAATGAATTTACGAAAAATAGCTTTATATGTACAATATCTCCTGATATATGTATATAGTGACATATTCTTCAACAATATATACTTTTGTGTGGCTGCGCAATTAAATTTTTTTTTTTTAAATTTAAATATGAGCAAATCAATAATGTTGCATAATAATACAGTATTATACAAGAATCTACCAGAAAATGATTAGTCGGCGAATTTTGAAATAGTATAATTATTAATTAGATGTTTTCTTTTAGTAATAGAAAGCCAAACAAAAATCCAACGTAGAAAGATAAGGTCCCCAACTGAAAAGAAAAAATTGAGATAAGCACAAATGTCAGCATCTAAGATTGTCATGATGATATTTATCAAATAATTACGCAATTTTATAACTACATAATAACAACATTTGTCTTATATATTATAAAGAATGAAATAATTGTCTAAGAGTGTCGTCGTGTTAAATATAGACAACATCAGAGTATGGGTACGATCCAAAATGGATACTTGACCTTGATAACATTTTCAATATGTGTTTTGTTAAAATAATGATAGTAATCCATTACTTTTTGTTATGATTAAATGATAAAAGATGAAATGTACTGTTTTGATAGTATCGTTAATCTTCTTCATAAGAGCATATATAATCTTGTAAAATGAAAAACTCTGTTTTTACTACTTATTTACAGAATCTGCCATTTAAAGATAATTAAACAATATTAATTGAACTAAGAAGCTATACAACAATGACAATTTTTTCTTTTTAATTAAATCATAAACTTCAAACAGAAAATTGAATTTAATGTTTTAAAAAAATATTTTATAGTTGATACAATAACAATTACTCACTTATATGTTTAATTTCCTATTTATAAATGATTTAGGCAAAAACGTCATATAATTGTTTATGAAAAATGACAAATAGGTGAAAAATGAAAAAAAAAAAAAAATGGAGATAATACTTTTTGCCAAGATTTTTATATTTGGGCAACATAAAAAAGAACTACTAAGATTTTATTTTTATTTTTTATTGGGTAATGCTGATTATATTTTATGTTTGGATAAAAGTGGAACCCACGAGTTCAAAAATTTCTGGTGAACTGAGCAGAGATGACCAGGCCGACCGTTGCTAAAGCAATCATACAATTCATATATTCAAAATTAGTTCCAACTCCATATTTTATATAAGTTTCATAGGTTGAAAAATAAAATATAAAATGAAAAATAGTATAACTACATCGGTAATCAGATTGTCGCTACTAGTTCAGGCTGCCTATGCGTATGGTTTGACATTATATTAATTAATCCAAATATATATTTTTATAAAAGACAAGAAATGACAAGAAAAAGTTGATTTTGTATGAAATGAAAGCTAACCTAATGGTGTATTATTTATAATTTAGTGTGTGTAATTGATGAGTTTTCTATAGATCATCTAAAGAGACAACAGTGATTTGAAGGTTTATTTACCCATAAAGAAAGCTTTATCAAATCAAAAAGATATTGCACGTACATACGTACCTAGAGTAATCTTATTAATTATTACTGTTATTTAATTAGTTACTCCCCTAAAAACCTAGATTATCATTTCTATAATCCGGCCACTAGAAATATCACTATACAGTATTTGTTGTCTACCGAAAGAACACAAAATCTAATAATAACGTCACCCCAAGTACAACCCAAAAGTGAAAGTACCACTAGATGAGATGAGATGAGATGAGATGAGATGAGAGAGCCTCTCAGCTATATATAGAAGAAACAGATGAGAAATGTCTGAAGTTTATGTTGACTTGTGTGATCTCATAGTTGACAATTTATACATACCATCTCTTTTTCCCAACTCTTAATTTTGTTTTGAAACTGAAATAAAATCATTTATTCCAGCTATCTTATTACATAAACCGCGTTTTTTGTTTCACATAAAAAAAATTGTCTAGGTTTGTTTTTGTTTTTCAATCACATTGCAACATGATGATTGGAAATTAATGTTATTGAAAATACTATTATACCCATTATTTTATTTTTTGCTCTAATTCTTCCCATGATGATAAGTTCTTAAAAAAAAAAAGAAAAAAAATCTTGAAACACGAAAAACACTTCCATATGCAATATTAATATGTTTACGTATATGTAAATCCTGCTTTTGTTCTCATGCAATATATTGGGAGATGCTAACTGGGAGTTTTAAGCCAAATGTTGTTTATTTGATGATTCTTTCTGAATTTAGTTGGTCAAAGATTCATTCACAGTTTTTTTTTTTTTGCATTGTATTTTGAATGAAAATTTCTATATAATTAATTAACTAATTCTGTATTCATATATTTTTTGACTTCAAAATTTCTCTGCATATATGTTTATTTCCATTTCATCATTTTCTTTATATAGTTAGATTATATAAAAAAAACACAGCATGTTAGTAGGAAAATTGATTTAATAATTGGAATCTTATCAGAACATCAAAAGAAATTTGCATTTTATAAGAATTGAATAAAAGAGACTTAAACATGTACAATGGTGATATATTGGATGTTTTAAGATGGGTCTTATGTAATAATAATATAGTTTATTCTATGTTTTGATCTAATATTTAGTATTTTGGTCCAAAATAATACTTTTTTGTGGATTTAAGACATGGTGACATGGCGTTTTGCAATTAGTCGGGGGAAAATAAATAAATGAAAAACAAAAAAAGGGAATGAATAATAACCCATTTATCTCATTTTTTTAATATATAGAATTACAATACTAAAATAATTTCAATTAAGAAAAAATAATAAAAACTTACACAATAAATTCAATATAATTATTATTTGTTAATTACTAAACAATCATGAGGAAAAAAAAAATTACTAAACAATCTAGTAATAGATTTCATAAAATGTATTATTGTATTATGTTTTCAAATTTTATAAAGAATTTTTTATTTAGACACCTCTCTATTGTATGTCTTTATTGGATGGATAATTATTTCAAAATATCTAAAAATCAAATTTATATAAAACTTAATAATTAATTGTTTTAGACACCCTTAATGGTTATCACCATTGAACATGCTAGTGTAAAATAGGAATTTGGTATACTATATGCTAAAAAAAAAAAAACTGTTTATATAATAAAGCTTCAGACTATCTCTCTCTGCCAAAAGCTCTTCTTCAAGAAGATAAACAAAACAGAGCACAAAAAAAAAAAAAAACAGAGGAACGAAGAAGTTTCAAAAAAATCAGTAAGAAAAAAAGAGAAAGATGGGAGATGTGGTATTGGTAATGGAGGAGAAGAAATCAAAAGTGAGAATATCGCGTTGCAGAATCTGTCATGATGAAGAAGAAGAAAGCTTCTTCGAAGTTCCTTGTGCTTGTTCAGGCACCGTTAAGGTTTTTTTTTTCACTTCTTCTTCATCTTCATCTTCTTTTTGGTGTGTGTTTCTGAGTGTTGTCAAAAATATTGAAATGATGTATTCGTTCGTTGGGTGTGATGATCAAATCAAAACAGTACGCACACAGAAACTGCATACAACGTTGGTGTGATGAAAAAGGAAACACTACTTGTGAAATCTGTCTTCAGGTACTTCTTTTTCTTTTCTTTTCTTTTCTTTTATTTTTTCCTTCTTGAAATAAAATCTATCTTCTTCATTATCAATTTTTTTTCTTGATTTTTGTGTGTGTGTGATGTGCGCTTCGCTGTATTCAGATATTTTAATTACTTTTTTTTTTTTGGGTTTGTTTGTTTGTTTGTTTGTTTGTCTGTGTCCTCCAAATTCTTTAGTTTCTTGAATTTGTTTAGTGCGTCACTGTTTCTTCCTTGTCGTCGAATTATTTTCATGCCGATATAATGATTTATAAGATACAATTTAATTGTCGCAATCACAATTGTTAATTACGGCTCTTTTTAAAAAGTATTATTCTTTCTCAACTCAGTGAAATCTATATTCTTTAAAAATGATGATCACGCATTACAAAATTATGAAACTAAGAATATTAAGAAACCATGCAGGTGTATAGAGATGGATACACAGCAGTTTCAAAACAATCTAAATTCATTGAAGAAGCAGAAGAAGAAGAAGAAGAAGAAGAAGTCATAATCAGGTGAAATTATTATTTTCTTAATACAAAAAATTAGGGTTTGAATTATGCAAAATAATTGACAGACGTACGTGGTTTCTTGATTCTTTCCTTGCTTACGCGTTTTAGAGTGTTATATTATATTATAGCTTGCAAATACTTTAATTACTCTTAACAATATATCAAAAAGATTTGCTAATTTTTTTTATGTTTGGTTAATGCATGGAACAGAGTAAATGGACGAAGGCGAAGAAGAAGAAGAAGAAGATTAGTAGCTGAATCCGATTATTCTCAGTGTGATTCTTTTGCTGATAGAGGAGCTTCGTTTTGTAGATCTTTAACTTTTACTGTAAGTTCTCTTTTTTAATTTTTAAATCTTTTAAGTATATATCTTTTGATCAATCATCCTTTTTAGTTTAGGAAAGAAGAAAGTGATTAGATTAGTAGTAGTAAATATAATAATAAAAATTAGTTAAAACAAATGATGAGGGAGAGAGAGAGAGATAGGGGAAAAGTCCATAGTTAAGGGGGGAGCTCTGAAATAGATATGGCAACCACTTCTTACTGTTTCATAGCTTTTTTGTTTTCTTGTTTTGGCCAAATCTAATTTCGTAGTTATGTGGCAAAGCCTATATATGTTAATATTTTTTTTTTTTTTTTTCTTAAGTTTGTTTGTGTGTGGGTTATTGTTATCATTATTATAGTGTTTCTTTTTTCCCACCATGAATATATAAATTAAAAAGAACTCTTTCTGAACATATTTTGAAAAAGAAAGAAATGTACATGTTACCGTTATATAAACTTTATCACTATTTTTTTCTATTACCATTTAGTACCAAATTATGGTGAGGACAATTTTTTATTGAATGGTTGGATTGTTGTTGCATAGTGTTGGGTAAGTTGGTGGTTGGCCAATAAAATTTTGAGTATTTTTAGTTTTTGTTTACAATATATACAAAACATTGTCTCACCTAAGGCCACAACTCCTACCAAAATAATTTCTTACCCCTTTACCAAATCCGGATCGGTTTTATATTTAATTATCTCATAGTATAAAATCTGGTTGTATTGTTTTGTTGATTGCAAAATAAATTGATTCTTGAGGTAATAATTAGAGACTAATCTTTTGAAAAAATGGTTGGCAGCTTTCAGTGTTTTTGCTGATGAAACATACATTCGATGTGATTTATGGAACCGAAGAGTATCCATTCACAGTATTTACGGTAAAAATTACTCTTCCTTTTATAATAAAAAAAAAAACCAATCATAAAATAAAAATTAAAAAATCATTGAAAATTATATATCTGAAATATATATGACAGGTACTAACATTAAAGGCCATAGGGATTCTATTGCCAATGTTCATAATAATTCGAACAATCACAGCTATTCAGAAAATTCTTCGTCGTCTTCAATATCATGTAAGTTTACTTTTCTATATATATATAAATATGATACGTAACAAAACCTCTACATGCATATATTCATTATTAGCATGTTTGACCATATATATTCCAAATTAAATCAAACATGTGAGGTTGTGAATTTTTAAGATTCAAGCATGCGAGTCCGTAGTAGTATAGTATGTAGGTACCACGTTTTGAGGATTTTGTGATCTTTTATAAACGAAATTTGACTTTTTATATCGTCATCATAAGTTAACATATCAATTCATCATCATTTAATGCCAAATGTGAAATATTCAACTTCTTTCTCTCTCTCTCTCTACTTGTTATTTTGACTTTTTGGTGGTGTGCATGTTTGACCTTTGAAAATAGGAATCTGATGAAGAAGAAGATACGTTGAGCTCTGAGTCTGACGACGACTATGACTTGGAAAATGATGAAGACGATGATGAAGAGCAGCAACAACATCTGGCTTAAACCCCCGCTTTGTTTAACCAAACTTAACGCATTCTTTCTAATTCTTCTTCTTTTTATTTTACTTTTTCTTTCTTTTACGAAATGCATCTATTCGATGCTTATGGATGGATGGTGTCATTACAAATTTACAAAGTATAATAATAAACAACGTAAATTTACATAAGAAAATTCCTGTTTCTTGTTTTGAATATTTTCCCAATACATTACCTTCAAATTGTCGAGTTATTTGGTATAAAAAAAATAATCAAAATATGTATTATCAACTCAGCCTAATAAAAAAAAGTACGTTAAATTACCGTAAACAAGTATACTCACTTTCGCTTAAATTATTTACTCTTTTGTTAACTTCTTGTGTTGCCTACTTGTTTCACCAATTTTAAGATCAAACAGAATCTGAGAGTACTCATATTCACAAAAATTAAACCGATCATACATACTATACAGAGTCTGTGGAAAACCCAAAACTTCACAAAAGACTCAAAAAGCTCAAAGCCACACCTCAAAATTGAGCCTACTCGGAGTTTAAATTTCCGACTGACTTGGGTTTTAGATTTTGAAAGGAGGAAGCTCATGGATCAGACACTGGTTAAAGGGTTACAAGAACAATCACAAACCGGAAAGACATAGAGCTGTTAGACTAGCTGGTTGACTGGAGATATGTGTTGGCCATGGAGTGTAGCTCACATAATGAGTCCTTTGAAGTTGAGTTATCAGAATCTGATGCAACACTACTGATGATCTTCTTTACCATAGCTGCCAACTCACTATCAGTTTTTCCATGTTTTTTACCATACAAGGCCTCAAATTCTTGGGATTTTATCACGGCTCTCTGAAGCACGTATTCTGGAAGACCTATAGAGATTAAACCAATAAAACATATGATGAGTGAATCATTTTGTTTAAGCGAAAGCTTAAGGTGATGGAGTAGTGAAGTCGATGTTCTTACCAGCTAGCCGAGCAACGTTAACTCCATAGCTTTTAGGACAGGCACCAGGTGTCAATCTATAGAGAAATGTAACTTCTTCTACTCCACCAATTCCTTCTCCTACTTGACATGCCATATGGCAAAGTGAGACCTATCCAACAATATCAAGACCCATCAGTTTTCTGAAAAGTTTCCGAATGTACACAGCAATCAGATGATTTATAGTCTCAAGTCTTTCAAACTCAGAAACTGAAGCAGACACTTTTCACAATACCTTCGGATTCGTTTGGTAATCCACAGAGAGACGATGATAATGAGTAGAGAATAATCCTCTACACTGCACCTTGTCTATGAAGTGCTCAAGTACGGATTCCCTGTAAATAGTTAAAATATTTAACATGAACTGAACAATATACCGTAAGTACCAACAACAAGATATGCAATAAATGATTCAACATACGCAATGGCTTGTCCATCTGATGTGGCTGTTCCTCGTCCAAGCTCATCTAGCACCACCAGCGAGTTTTGGGTGGCTGATGTCTGCATATTATTATATTATAACTTTTATCAATGTGTTTGTTGTTATTTCACATACTTTAACAAAGCATGCGACCAACACTCAAAAGGGTAACAACTGTGATAAGTTCCACATTAATCATAGAAAGCTTCAAGTAATCAATTTGACAAACAGTATGAACATTTCTTACCAACATCACCGCAGTTTCTGAAAGTTCTGTTAAGAACGTGCTTTGTCCTGCCATGATATGATCTTTTGCACCCATCCGGACACAAATTCTATCAACAGGCGAAACCTCAAAGGTTTCTGCTGGGACATCTGCTCCAATCTGTGAAAAGACCATCATTTCTTGAGTCTCTTTTATCAACATTAAATATGTCAAGGTCCATTGCCTTCAAAGTTTTTAAAATGATAGCATACCTGAGCCAAGATTACAGCCAAGCAAACTTGGCGGAGAAGGGTTGATTTTCCACCCATATTAGGGCCTGTGAGAAGGATGAAACTGGCTTTCTCAGCACCACCAATCTTTACATTATTTGGTACAAAAGAACCTCTGCCTAACGAATCACCCCTTAGAACTGGATGCCCTAAACCAGTGGCGGACAAGTGTGGAACATCAGATGTAGATCCTGATACTACTACTGGGCGGCATCTTACGCTGTCATAAGAATCACTAGCAAAAGCGAGGCTGATCAACACATCCAGCTCTGCAATAGAATGTGTTCATGTCAATAATGTATTCACTTAAACGAATGAATTCATGTCAACAATATATCCACATAAACGTCAGCAATGCATTGTTAATAGAATGCATGCCTAATTGGCTAGTTCTATAAATCAATCTTACACCCATCTCGCCTATGAGATGTAATTGAACAATATCTCTGCCTAAGATTCATTTTCTTCCGCATGCTTTACTTCTATCTAAAGTGTGTAATCAAACCCAATTCTAACTAGCTCTGCAAATGTCCACAACGAAAGAGTCCAAGCGACCCACAAAGCTAGCACTGGGTGACAGTTAACAGGAATTGAATATGAAAGATACATATTCAGTAGGAAGATACTGACAATTTCTTAAACAAAAAATTATAAAACATGAACTTGTCAATACCAGCTGTTGCAGAAACCAATTGTCTCCATTTTTCCTGATGTTCGCAGAAACGTCCAATTAATCTCTGTGAAATGTTCTTTAGAGCCGACTCTTTTTCAGATTTTGCTGATGATAGCTCTTTTAATAATTTCTTGATGGTAGGAGTCCAATATCTAAAAACACCCTGAAAAGAGAGTAAACACTCAAGTTCAAGTTTCAGGGTCTCTATATAGTAAATATATCCGCAATTACGAGAAGACTACATATCCTCCTAACAGCGAGGGCACAATCATGAAACACGAGGCAGAAATAGTCAACTAAAACCATCATATCAACTTGTTGAAATGAAAGTGAAATGCCAATTTTTCTTTAGAATGGTCCAATATTTACCTTTTTCGATGAGCATAATTCATAATCATGAGGAACACTCCCACTTAAAATTTCAGGAACTTCCAAGAGGTATTCATCCTTTCCGACTGTAACATAATTTATCTGGATAAGAAGAATATCACCAAAGCTCTGATTAGAAAACCCTCAGTTGATTAGTCATTTAAGGAGCTTAAACAAATAGTGAAGTAATTCTCACTGATGCATCTCCAAGTAATTTCCGTTGCTCTTTCAGATGTTTTTTCAAACTGGACTCAAATTCTTCTACTGTTTTGCAGGCACAATCATACTCTTCATCAGCTCCTTCATGGGGTATTACACGTCCAGAATCGTGAGCTTCTACCCAGTCAAAAGCATCCTTGAAATACTTAATGAAGGATGATATATTAGGAAGACTTTGACCTGACATAGAAATGATATTAGATGCTCTGCAATTTGCCTGGCATTGGTAAATGAAGCTTTGAATATGGAGCAAATTGATGTACCAGGAGTTAATAAATGAAGCAGACGCCTGGATTTATCATGCTTCAAGATAGCACGGAGAGAAGAGCATGCTTCTGCCATTGTTTCACAACCGCGTAGAGTTGATACAAATTCTTGTACCTGCTTCTTTGCCGTATCTTCATATAACACCACTTTATCTCCATTTCTTCCACTAGCTTCACTAAAACACCACGTAGAGTTTTTGACAAATATTTTTAGTAAATCTTTGTTATAAACATATGGTGTAAGAATTAACGTCTCCTCAGTCCAGCTAATCCTTACATGCTAGAAAATATACGTGCGATCAACCGTTCCATGTCTGGAAGCCTGGACAGCGCCTTCCGGAATTCCAGTGAGTACGGAAGATTTTCACCCTGAAGGTAAAGACAATACCATAATACGTAGAGTTGTCAGATGGATAGTGTAATCTAAAGCCTTGACATAGCATTCTGAAGAAGCAGAGTAAGTTTCATAATATTAGGGAATAAGTTCTAGAAATAGATGGTTAGTTGAAAGCATGGGAAAACATGATCTTGACCCAGAACTGGGGATATAGTATAGTTATGAGAGATTTATGGATTAGAAAACAAAAATGAAAATGGATCAAATGGGAAACCAAGTTGACAAGTTATTTTCTAGTTGAGAAACAGAAATGTATCCAATTGCTAGTTAAAAGACTCACCCGCAGAATTGCTACAGCATCTTGTCGTTCCTTGATCATTTCTGGATTATATAAAGGTCTTGCCAGCCATGTCTTCAGTAAGCGTTTCCCAGATGCAGTGACGCATTGATTCAGTTGAGCATACAGCGTTCTTCAAAACACAAAACTCTAGATTTAGATCACATAAATTATTTTATAAAACATAGTACGATTGAGAAACTTTACCCCGAATAGCCTCCATTTCTACTATTTTCAAATATCTCAAGGTTTTCGAGAGCAGCAGCATCAAGAACCATGTGCTGTTTCTCATTAACGTTGCTGAAATCACAGTAAGGCAGTGATTCAAACTTGGCAAATCTAAGCAGACTCTCATCCAAGAATGCTTGTCGCAGGTAGTAAATGGCACCACCAAGAGCAGAGAGTGCCAGGCTACCACTACCATTCTTATCTTCTGTTGCTAAGTCAGTCAGCATTTTTGGAAGGAAGCTAGAACCATCGCCTAGAATCTTTCCCTCACTAGAAGACAGTTGACAATTGATTCGCTTATAGAAAATTCCAACTTCATGTATGGTCTTCTCTGCATCCCAGAATTCAGATAGTGGGACCAAATTATTTACTAAGGGATTTCTGGTTTGTCTAACTATTGTTCTCTCAGTTGCAGAACTCAACACCCTAGCTGGTTTGATAATTTCCACCGGCCTTATCTCAGATAGCAGGCAAGATAATGCACTACAATCTTGATCATCCTTGAACTGGTAGGAGCGGAAATAAAAAAAACATCAATTAGAATAGAAAAGTCAAAAATAAAAAAATTTCCACCAAGACAGTTCCTAAGAGAGATACTGTAATTCGGAAAATGTTACGTATGCTAAGTGCAACCAGACACCAAATATCAACGACTAGAACTCACCTGCCCCAGCATTATCTTCTTTGTCGCAACATCAACCAAACAGACACCAAAATTGTGCTCTGCTTTCTGATCGGTTAAACTTTCTCCTCCTTCAGTCAACGCCATTAGATAAGATGCATCCGGATTAGTTAATATCATCTCCCCATCTGTCAGAGTGCCTTTTGTAACAACTGCACATACTTCGCGCT